CTGGATCTTTTTATTTTTAATAGTGATTTAGGTGGCTTTAACTTCCACAAGCTGTCAATATGTCACAACTGCTGGGGGATCTCTCTATCTATGATCTGTGCTGTTTGAGCATAGAAGAGTCTATTTAGATATGTGATGTCTCCATAAAGAGCACTTTTGAATATTGCTATTTAGGTGGCACGTTAGCCCCATTTTAACAGTTAGGTTGTTTTTTCACAGGCACTTAGCCGTGCTGAAATTCCCATTGGCAAGAATCTACTGATTCCTGTAGCTGGGATTGACGGCTTTATGCAGATAGCTGAAGACACTGATGCCATCCAGTGGAATGACAGGCTGTTGATGGCCGCAGCTATTCTTGACTGTTTGTACAGCCAGCCATTAGCTGCAGTGATCATGGCTGGACTTACAGAGCGTCCAAACTCTGAATGCAGCTTTATAAAGAAAAAGGGGTTAAAATGTATAAATACATTTAAATAATAAAAAAATATATAATTTGGTAGTACTTCTGTGGCTCACAGAAGAGCAATTCTTTCTGAACTCCTGTAACCTGTTTTCAGCTGACAGTGGGCTGAAGAACTCAGTGATCAACGATCACACATAGAGTGCATCCACCTAGGTAAGTATGATTAGTTAAAAAAAAAAAAACCCATACTTCTCTTACACTTGCATGCTTGCATATACATAAAAGACACGTGTCCAAAAAAGGTTTTTTTGCCACGCAAATTATGCATCTCTCCACCATAAGCAGTAAAGTAATTATTTTTGGGTCATCAGTTTAGTTACTCTAAAGTGTTAATGTTTTTTAATTCCATTGTAGTGCTTACCCTCACAGGGGTTGCCGCAGGTTCGTTTCCAAGATCAGTGCAGAGGCAGCCAGGCACACAAAGACAGTTAAAATGCATTTCTGAATAAACATGAGTGAGGTGCAGGGAGCTATAGTATATTCTAGCAACACTATGCAGTAACAAGAGGACACTCTTCTCTTTGCTATTACTCCTTAGAACAGTCTCTACAGTAGGAGCCAGGGGCAGACTGACCATTTGGAAACTCGGGCACTGTCCGAGGGCCGGGGTCAGTAGGGGGCCCCATGAGATGCCCCTAGTACCTTTTTCATAGGCTTTTTTGAGATTGGGCAAGGACACAGGGGTCCCATGATCCCCTATTGCCCGGGGGCCCCATGAATTGTCAGTCCCAGTCCAAGCAACCACTGGCACTTTTTGTGCTAGGGAAAACAGCAAATAGTCGCTAGGATCCTGACTTCAGGTCTGTATTCACGATGTCCATGGATAATTGGATGCTTCCTTCCAATAGTAGCCAGATATTCACCAGTGCACTCTCCAGACCAGATTCCCATTAAAATCCCTCAAATTTTTCTAAAGATTCACAGAAAAATAGCCACCTCCAGTTCTGGCACAGCTGGGACCTCGATGAGTACATGTAAAACTTCATCTGGGCTACCCAGAATGGCAGCAACCCTTCAGGCTGGGAACTTTTCCCATTAGATAAGAACAGGGCTGCCTCAGACCCCAGACAATTTATGCACTACCCAGCCACCTACAGGGCACCCTCCCCCAGGGATTAGCTGAGGCAGCATATTCAGGATGCTTATTTGTCTTTTGTAACCCATTACATTCAAGAATCCTCCAGGAGGCAAGGGGGAAATAACCAAACCCTCAGGCTGTCCAGAACAGCCCAAAGTAATCACAAACTGTTCCACTGATTACAGAGGAGCCAAAAAGTACCTAATAATCCTAGCAACATACCTGGGGGGTGCTACGCCATCTATTTATAAACTTTTGGCTTTCTTTTTTTTTATTTTTCAGCAAATAAGCAAAATTGTGTGAACATGGATGTATTTATTATTTTCTAACTTGTCAGTCTCATATTTGACACTCAGTGAAAAAGTGTATATAATATGGTGTTCTTGTGCAATAAAATTATATTATTAAAAATATATTGATTTACATTTTTAGAAGCATCATCCAATATCAAGAAACTTGGGTTCTCATTCTAAAGCTTTTAGAAAATATGTGGTTTGGGAGGTATTTAGTTTTTTTTTTCTAGGAACATCGTGTACATGTTTTTGTCCATGTGAGAAAGTAAATCATTTTTTATTTCATACTTTTAGAGTTTCTTCCTTTGACATCTCTTCAAAGTTAATCCTCTGGAAGGATTTTCACCATGATCCACCAAACCATCATAAATCCTCAGTCACAAGCAGCCTGTGTACACTTCTCCCACTAACTGACACTAATGCTTTTTCCAATCTGAATGCTAATATTTGATAAGATACAGCTGTCTTTGATGGGAAAGACCATAATGGACAGGAGGACCCGACACCAAACATGCTGACCCCACACCTACAGATTTGTGTATTTACAGGGTTCTTCTATAAGCTCCTTGCCAGCAACCCTCTTCTGGTTTGGAGTCACCTTTTTCCTATCAATCATAACTCTATCTCATCAATTTTCATCATTCACAATTGATGAAAAGTACAAGCATCAACCAGTGGGAGAAGTGTTTAGATGACAATGATTAAGCAAAACACTTTGGTGGATCATGCTGAAAAACAAACTAGGTGTGGGGTCATTTATGACCACTTTAATTGAGAAGTTTTATATGTTTTGGTGACATTGCCATTCTCGGTGTGAAGGTAATTGGTGGTGGATATAGGAATGTCTGAATATTGCAAATTCATAGATAAAATGACTGTGACTTTATGGACACCATAAATCCTCCTGTGCACCTTTATTTGCACAGGTATTTTGTATTAGGCTACATTCACACAGGCAATCAGGGGTGCATAGTTTGTTGTGTTCAGAGGTGATAAAACACTGCCTTTGGGTGTAATAACACCCTGCCCCAGTTCACACTGTCACATTGCATGTGATTCACACAGGAATCGCACCGAACTCTTGTGCAAATCACATGCGATTCTGTGCGGTGCGATTTGAGCCCAATATGTTCTGTAGGTGCAGGCACTTTTTTTTTTTGCCGCACCAGAATTTGATCACATGAGTGTTCATACCAATGTGATCCGATTCTGGCAAGCGCACTGCGTTCTGTGACCTGCTTTTGGGGTGTTGTTAACTTTTAATTGACACCCACAGCAGAAATTGCTTTGCGGTGGAATACGGGAAACACAGCAATTCCTGTACATTTCCCGCATCGCATATTGTGAACCAAGCCTTTATGCTATGGCCGCATACAAACTGGCTGATTATCTGCAGCCAGTTTGTATGTGTACAGCACACTGCAGAAACTCCAACCATGGATGCACACTGTCTGCATCAGGGTTGGTCAGAAGCTCTATTTACATATAACAGCAGTTACATGCAAACAGCAGCGGTACTGCCATTGTTTTGTATGGAGTACAATTCTGACAGTCACTGACTGCACACCATGGGGGGGATTTACTAAAACTGGAGAATGCAAAATCTGGTGCAGCTGTGCATATAAACACCAATCAGTTTCCAGGTTTTTTTAAAGTGGTTGTAAAGGCTCAAGGTTTTTTACCTTTATGCATTCTATGCATGAAGGTAAATAACCTTTGGTGTGCAGCAGTGCATCCAGCCTCCTCAATACTTATCTGAGCCCCATCGTGATCCAGCGATGTGCATGACAGCCTTGGCTGTCCTGGGTCTCTACCTCTTCATTGGCTGAGACAGCAAGCGGAACCTTTGGCTCCCGCTGCTGTTAATCACATCCAGTTAGCCAATGAGGAGAGGGGGGGCGGGGGTCCAAGCCACGGTTCCGTGTGTGCTTGCTGTGGGGGCACCCCACAGAGGGGAAGGGCCAAGAAAGCCTGTGGGGGACCCGAGAAGAGGAGGAGCCAGGCTGCTCTGTACAAAACCACTACACACAGTAGGTAAGTAGAGGCGTTTGTTATTTTCCAAAAATAAAACATTAACCATTAGAATCACTTTAAAGCTTTTTACATTCATGCGTTCTATGAAGATAAAAAAAACTTCAGTATGCAGCCCCCCCTAATATTTACCCAAGCCCGATTGTTATCCAGCACTGTACACAAGAGCAGTTGCTCTTGGGGGTGTCTGCCTCTTGTCAATCACAGCAAGTGAGGAGGGAGCAGGGGCACACACAGAGTGGGGCTTTGGAGCGCGCATGCACGAGTGCCCCCAGAGCAAGCAGCTTGCTCTGGGGGCACTCAGCAGGACAGAGAAGACCGGGAGCACCAGTGGGGGAAGAGGAGGATCGGGATTACCCTGTACAAAAGCATTGCACAGAGCAGGTAAGTATAACGTGTTTTCTTTTTAATTAATTTTACCTTTAATATCAACCAGCTTCCAGATTTTATTGTCAAAGTTTAATTGAGCAAGCTGAAGCTAGAAGCTGATTGGATACCATGCACAGCTGCACCATATTCTGTGTGCACTCATTTTAGTAAATCTCCCTAGAATGTGTGCAGGCAGCATTTAAAACTGCCAGCAAAAATATGCTGATTTTCACTGGCGGCTGCCCCTTGCCACCCCATGGGGCCTTGTGAAGGTAGCCTTATTTATTAATAGTGCTATATGTTTGTACATTGTTATTGTATGTTTGAAAATACATGCAATTAAACCCTCTATTCATAATCCTAGACAGCTTTGTGCTTGAGCTTGAAAGGGTCCCTTTTGTATTGTTTGCTGTGCAATGTAGAGGATCATTATTCAATACACTCAATACTCAATATAGAGGGTCCAAGGTGTAAAGTGTAAGAACGGTGCTGATTTATTCATTTTATTTGTCAGTTGTGTATATTCTATTCCTATGTATTTTAGTAACTGTTTGCCTCTAAGAGATTATTCCCTGTGACTGGGTAGGTGTCTGCAATCTGCTCATGAAATCAAAGACAGCATGAAATGACAATGATTTGTCCATTTAGAAATAACAAAAATGAATCTTCAGAATACATGTAACTTAAGATCCTCTCCCCTCTTATTCATTGTCCTTCTGAGTAATCTTCCGTCTCACTGACTTCATATCTCTGTCTTCCTATACAGAAGTTTTTCCATGCTGTCAGCCACATACTGGATGCGGATAATAGAGAGAAGTGGGAGGACGCACAGCAGGTGGGGAGCAGTGACGCCGTAGCAGTGAACTGCAGATCTGTGATGTCTGCCTGTGGCGTGGGTGGGCTGCTTGTGTGTATGTGTGACAACCAGGGGATAATACGCACATGCTACAAAAATGTTGTCAATGTAATTACATGCGTGCAAGAGTAATTCACCTGTTATGGCGCAAGGAACTGTATGGATACTTGAGCTATGATTGTAGGGAGACACAAATCACTGACGATCACCTTTTCAGCCTACAGTTCATTACAGAAAGGAAGGATGAGCTGTAAGAAGTAGCACTGCTATATTAGTAGGTTTTTTTGCTTTAGGCAGTACGCGCACATTATCTCCCTTTTAAATTGGATTTTCATTAGAACTGAATCTTAATGCAGTGTGTTCATTGTAACCAAGGATACATAATATACTTTGAAACATAATAAGCATTTCTGAACAGGAGGAGACAAAAGAAACACTTGTACAGTGCTGCCTATAGCAGCAAGCTTCCAAAATTTAATCGAATTGCGTGCTAGGAGAAACAGCTCCACCTTTACTCCAGTTTCCTCCTGTCGGCTCTGGCAGGTTAAAAGCAAGCATCCACAGGAAATTAAATCTTTAATGTATAAATCAGCGATATTCGGAGGCTGCTAGTTAAATAATGTAACATAATATATGAACAATATGGAAAGTATATATGCAAAAGTAAATCGATGTATGGCATAATTAAAGTAGGTGCAAACCCATTCATGAGAGTCTCATATTATCTTCAACATGTTAATATTACTTCAAAAGTCATTTTCAATCATTTTAAATCTACAGCTTTTATTAAAATAATATCCGGTAATCCCGCTACAAAGGTCCTTGTTCAGTCACTTCCTAATATAGAGTGACAACACTCTGTCCCTCCCAGTTGCTCTCCTGAACTTCTGGAGGAGAATATTAGCAACTGCAATGACAGGCATGTTCCTCTGTTGTCACCATGACCTTACATGAGCAATGACATGCAACAGCAGCTGGAGTGGAGATCGGGAAGTGTCTGCGAAGACTTTGAATGAGATCAATGGGGCAAAAAAAAAAGTATAAAGGGTCCATGCAAAATTTTAAAGTACAAACTCCAACGCCACAGAACAACCCCCCACAGGAAACGGTATGAGCTACTGCTGTACACTAGTGCAATACACCAAATAATAAAAAAACAAAATAACAGCTCAAATCAACACCCAAAACAAATTTTTAGGACTTTTAGGGATCCTACACCCACCAGATATTGGTGAATTAGTAGACAAAAAGAAAAAACCTCAGCGCCCAGGATTCTCTTATTAGACACACAATTCCACGTGAGATGCTGCTGTACACAGGTGCAAAAACCAAAAAAAACTTATATCAATAAATACCAACGCAAACCCACATAATAAATTACATCACCCAACCTAATTAGACAAACTAAAAAAACGTGACCACCTATATGCTAATGAAATAATAAAAAATATATATATAAATAAATACATAAATAAAAATAAATAAGAAAATAATTATTGAATTAATAAGTCCAGTGACAAAAAAATCCCAAGATAACAGTCCCGTGACAAAAATTTTAATTATATACTGTAATTTTCATTGGATTCTTCCGTGCTTTTGATCCCTTCACCATCCACCAGTGCAAAAACCAACATTAACCGCACTCACCAGATATTAGTGAGTCACACGCCTTTCAGGAATATTAAGGGCTCCTGGACCCATGGCAGACCCTGCTGTATACTAGGCTGTGGGGTCTTTTATGCAAGAGTCGCTGTACATGGAAAGTGGATCGTTTTTAAAGAAAGATCGTTGTTGTTTCAAATAAAATGTGGGTTATATCCTGCTAAAATGTGAGTGGTCTGGGAGAGATTTTTTTGATGAGAAATCACTACGGTATTACGCTATGGTTTTTTTTTCTTCTTCCTGATTTTCCTTGGGGGATTCGGTGAGAGGAGTAACCAGAAGAGGTACCCAGATCTGAAAGGAGGTATTATTTGGAGGTCCTATATAAAGTAAAGGGGGTCCAGGAGCCCTTAATATTCCTGAAAGGCGTGTGACTCACTAATATCTGGTGAGTGCGGTTAATGTTGGTTTTTGCACTGGTGGATGGTGAAGGGATCAAAAGCACGGAAGAATCCAATGAAAATTACAGTATAATTATAATTTTTGTCACGGGACTGTTATCTTGGGATTTTTTTGTCACTGGACTTATTAATTCAATAATTATTTACTTATTTATTTATTTATGTATTTATTTATATATATATTTTTTATTATTTCATTAGCATATAGGTGGTCACGTTTTTTTTAGTTTGTCTAATAGGTTGGGTGATGTAATTTATTATGTGGGTTTGCGCTGGTATTTATTGATATAAGTTTTATTGGTGAATTAGTGAATGGAGGCCTGGAGGTTGTAGAGGGGGTGTAGGATCCCTAAAAGGCCTACAATTCACCAATATCTGGTGAGTGCGGTTTATGTTGGTTATAGCATTGGTGGATGGTGGAAGCACATACCATAGGAGGAAATTATTTTTTGGTTGAAGTACCATGGAACTTGGGAAGAAGGACTTTATGTTTTATTAATTTATTGTTTTGGACACATTAAGTTTTTTTGGACACTAATAATTTTAGTTTTATTAATATTTGTAATTAATTTGTTTTGGGTATTGATTTTCACTGTTATTTTGTTTTTTTTATTAAAGGGTCCATGCACCCTGGCCTAAAACAGCCGTCTTAATAGCATCATGGCCCCTGGGCAAAATAATGCACTGGGGCCCCTACCAGCCTGCCCACTGACTCTCAGGAATTTAAGGATAAAGAGTTGAAAGGATTAAACATATATTTATTAGTACTTTTAATAAAATCAATTTTAAACAATAAGAAAACATGCCATAAATCAGAGACTAAGCAGCACAAGGGCACAATACAGAGGGAGGCAGAAGAGCAGAGTATGGGGGATCAGGAGGGCACAATACTGGTATCAGAAGGTCACAGTACATTTTCTGGGACACTGCCCGGGACATGGCCATCCAGGGGCAGCTTAGTTAAAAGCGTAACTGTCCTGGCAAATCAGGGACAGTTGGAAAGTATGATGTAATGCAAAATTATCATGGGGCCTCCATGCACCTGGGGCCCCTGGGCAGTTCCCAGGGGAGCCCATGCATTAAGATAACCCTGGCTTATAGAGGAGTTTAGAGTTTTGCCTATTTCTCCTGAGGTTGCCTGTTGTTTTTTCTTTCTATCCCGGGCAATTATTCTAGCAGTTGCAGCTGCAATCTTTCTTGGTCTACCTGCACTTGACTTGGTATCAAGAGATCCCTGAGTTTTTCCACTTCTTAATAAGTGATTGAACAGTACTGATTGGCATATTCAAGGCTTTGGACATATTTTTAAATCCTTTTCCATATTTATAAAGTTCCTTTACTTTATTATGCAGGTCATTGACAGTTCTTTTCTGATCCCAATGGCTCAGCATCTACTGTAGCCTGCTCAGTGCTTCCACATAAGAGCTAACAAACTAATTGATTATTTATACACAGACACTAATTGCAATTTAAAAAGCCACAGATGTGGGAAATTAACCTTTAATTGCCATTTTAACACGTGTGTGTCACCTTGTGTGTCTGTACCAAAGCCAAACATTCTAGGATATGTAAACTCTTGATCAGGGCCATTTGGGTGATTTCTGTTATCATTATGATTTAAAATGGAGCCAAACAACTATGTGATAATAAATGGCATATTTTCAATATCAGTGCCAAAATTTCAGGATTTCTGCTGGGGTATGCAAACCTTTGAGCACAACCATATATCTCCATAACCATAGTAGGAAGGGGAGAACAGCATTGCCTTGCACAAAGAAACAGATATATGAATGGTGACAATATATGGATAAAATGACTGTGGGTTTATGAAAATCTATAAGTGCACCTGTGCACCTTATTTGGCACAAATATGATGCATTAGTTATCAATAATGCGGTGTATAATTACACTATACAATATGTTATACACAAAGTACACAACAGAAAACTATTAACCGCTTGCCCACCACTCTATAGTAAAAGTAATGCTACAGGGTGGCAGGGCTGCGCTAAATAATATATATATATATATATATACCGTGTTCCAAATTATTATGCAAATGATATTTTTCTAATTTACCTAAATAATTGATGTAAATAACAGTCAGCATAATTCTAATGTTATCAACTATTAAGAGTACAATTCAAATTTTATTGAACAAACCTCCTAATGATAACAGTATTTTTGTTAAACATAAAACACTTACAATGCACTGTTCCAAATTATTATGCACAGTAAGTTTCAAAACACTTTATAGGTTGTAAAGAATTGAAAATTGTTATTTGTTGTGTTTGCAGCATATTTACTGAAATCAAAAGCTATTTCAATCAAACTTTTGACAACATTTTAACTTAATAAACATTTTAACAGGTCACGTTACATTTTAACATAGGACCCCTTATTTGATAGCAGCTTCACAAGTCTTGCATCCATTGAGCTTGTGAGTTTTTGGACAGTTTCTGCTTGAATTTGTTTGCAAGATGTCAGAATAGTCTCCCAGAGCTGCTGTTTGGATGTAAACTGCCTCCCACCCTCATAGATCTTTTGCTTGAGGATGCTCCAAAGGTTCTCAATAAGATTGTGGTCAGGGGAGGATGGAGGCCACACCTTGACTTTCTCTCCTTTTATCCCCATAACAGCCATTGATGCAGAGGTATTCTTTGCAGCATGAGATGGTGCATTGTCATGCATGAAGATGATTTTATTACAGAAAGCATAGTTATTCCTTCTGTACCAGGGAAGAAAGTGGTCAGTCATAAACTCCACATACTTTGCAGAGGTCATCTTTACACCTTCGGGGGCCCTAAACATGACTCCACCACTGCCTTGCTGATGTCGCAGCCTTGTTGGAACAGGGTGGCCGTCCACCAACCATCCACTACTCTATCCATCTGGACCATCCAGGGTTGCACGGCACTCATCAGTGAACAGGACTGTTTGAAAATTAGTCTTCATGTATTTTTCTGCCCAATGCAGCCGTTTCTGCTTGTGAGCATTGGTTATTGGTGGCCGAATAGAAGGTTTATGCACAGTTGCAAGACTGTGGAGGACTCTACACCTTGATGTCCGTGGGACTCCAGAGGCACCAGCAGCTTCAAATATCTGTTTGCTGCTATGTAATGGTATTTTAGCAGCTGCTTTCTTGATCCGATGCATGGATCTGGCAGAAATCTTCCTCAATGTGCCTTTATCTGCACGACCCCGTCTGTGCTCTGAATCAGCCGCATATCTCTTAATAGTGCGATGATCACGCTTAAGTTTTTGTGAAATATCTAATGTTTTCATACCTCGTCCAAGGCATTGAACTATTTCACTCTTTTCGGCAGCAGAGAGATCCTTTTTCTTCCCCATATTGCTTGAAAATAGTGCTCTGCTTAATATTGTGGAACACCGTCCTTTAGTAGTTTTTCCTTAAATTGGGCTCACCGGCCAATCTAATTATCACAGGTGTCCGAGATTGTTTTCAATGATCAAAAGAGCCCTGATACACAATGCCATCCATGAGTTAAACTGAAAAACAAAATATTTAATCTTTGTGACAGTTAAATAGAATTTTCATAATAATTTGGAACGCGGTGTATATATATACGTGATTTGCATTTCCAGGCAGGGGGCGCATGCACACGCTGCCCTACCTGCGCTGCCATTGCGGGCTGGAGATGTCAATCACCGGGTCTCGGCTTGTGATTCCCCACCGGCACTCGATGATCATCGGGGAAAGCTGACAAGGGACAGACCTGTGTGTAAACAACACAGGTCTCTCTCCTGCCAGGAAGGACATACTGCTTTGTATTTCTCTGCACAGCAAAGAAATACAAATCAGCATGTCTCCGTTGTAAGACAGCACACAGCACATAATGAAAAAAACACACACAGCACACAGTTAACCCTTTAATTGCCCCAGATGTTAACCCCTTCCTGCCCTGTGTTATTAGCACAGTGTAAGTGCTTTTTATTTGCACTGACCATTGTATTAGTGTTGCTGGGGATGTCAGTGGAAGTTAGTCAGTTCCCCCCCAGTGTCAGAATGCCCTCCGCAGTCCTGCAGTCCCGCTATAAGTCGCTGATCACCGCCATTACTAGTATTAAAAAAAATTCCATTTGTAGACGCTATAACTTTCACATAAACCAAATAATTTGCACATATTGGAATTTTTTTGGTTGATAAATAATACATCTCCACAGATCTCTCCATTTATCTCTACTGAGAATATAGTTGGAAGGGGTTGACCACATCACTTGGCATTAAGGAAACAGAGGTATAATATGTACATGCTATACAGTAGATCTGGTATCTCCAGTGGGAGACCTCTCCTATTCGAGAGATTTGTTGGTGACCAAAGCCACTAATGTAGATCTAAAACTCAGTTATCAGCGTTAAACTTGCTTCCTAAAGTAAAGCTCTGAAGAGTCATGTGAATGCTGTGTTTAATAAAACCATAAAGACACCATTGAGACAATAACTGTTTAAGATCAGGACGTAAATGTTTAAGATTTATATTCAAATTTAGAGTTGTAAATACACGTTTCTCCTCAAACATTACATAGTCATTAGGCTGTCTTAAATGGATGTGATTTATTCAATTGAGGAAACCAACATCTGTCTTACAGGTGGCTCCAGGCTCTGTACTTCTAATGAAGGTGCTTGAAGATTATATTCACCTTATCGGGGATGCTTTAAAGCCTTTTCAGAGCTCAATCATTGTTACAGAAAATTTGGGTATGAGTCTTCTTGTTTTTCTTACTTTCCAAGAAATATTGATTTATGACCTAGCGTATAGCTACAGAAAAGATAGAGGATGCCAGTAAAGTCATTGGGCTCATCATAACATATACCATTACCTGATCTGCTGTATGCCCATACTACAAGGTATAAAGATCCAGGATTCTGTTAAATGATGTATAGGCCCCTCTCCTTTACTGACATTGCTTACTCTGATTTCACTGCACACCATGAGCTCCTCAAGCTGCAACAAGTCATATAGAGCCCACTTCATTTCCACGACATCCAAAATAATCCAGCTACTTTCTCCCCAGTTTTACTGTCCCACCCTCCTCATTCATTGGGTTCCAGTTGTTTTAATCACAGAAGGTTCCACTTCACGTTTGGTATGCATGCAAAGGCAGCTTGCCTAGGATTGCCAACTCCTCCAGACTGACATCAACCAATCAAGGCAATTTAATACTTGCATTAGTCTTCTCCAAGAGCCATCTCACTGCATGCATCAGGACAGAGGGCTCCTGAGAGGAGTACTAAAGCAGACTGCTGTGATATTTTCTTTCTCACCAGTCATGATCTACATGCATTGTATAGAGAAGCACAGAGATAACATCATTCGGTCTGAAATAAGGTGTTATGAAAATGGAAAGATTTTAGTTAAAAATTTAAATAGTACATTAGTATGTTGATGGGGGAAATTAGGAACTAGGGAAGGTGTAAAATATATGCCGTTTTCAGCTAAAGCTATTAATGTACCATATATGTCAAGCCAAAACTTTTTTTTTTTGGGGGGGGGGGAATTTTCCCTTTGCTTTCTCTCCCAGAGGCACAACTGGAAATTATATAACATGGAGCTGAATGGAATCCCAGTCTTAGAGAGTTTTCAAAAGAGCAGGTATCCCCATTGGAGAATTTTCCCGCATCCCCATTGGAGAATTTTCCCTCATCTCCTGCTCTGATGACCACTCAAAACGAGAATCCATATATTTTAACTTAGACGTAGAAGTCCATGTAAAAGTAGTGAAGATTTCAGTATTTTGCAGTATTTTAGACCCAGGTTATATTATGATCTAGATCAGCGTTTTTCAACCACTGTGCCGCGGCACACTAGTGTGCCATGAGATATTGTCTGGTGTGCCGTGGGAAAAATTGCCTCGGCTCACAAATAGACGGGCAAACTACGGCCCGCGGGCCGTATACGGCCCGGCGGACCTTTTAATCCGGCCCACGGAGCGTGATACTGTCAGGATGATCTGTCCCCCTCGACGTATCTGCGCATGTGCCGGAGATTGCCGATCGGCTGCTAATGCCTGAAACTGGCACATGCGCAGATACGTCGAGGGGGACAGATCCTCATAGGAGACCTACACCGGAACGGCGAGAGGAACGCGCGGCGCAAAGGTAAGTGAATTGACACAGGGGGGGCTTGGGGACTTAATATGGGGGGATGAATTAATATGGGGAATGAATTACTATAGGGGGGATGAATTACTATATGGGGGATGAATTACTATGGGGATGTATTACTATGGGGGATGAATTACTATATGGGGGATGAATTACTATATGGGGGGTGAATTACTATATGGGGGGTGAATTACTATGGGGGATGAATTACTATATGGGGGATGAATTACTATGGGGGATGAATTGCTATAGGGGGGATGAATTACTATGGGGGATGAATTACTATGGGGGATGAATTACTATATGGGGGATGAATTACTATATGGGGGGTGAATTACTATGGGGGATGAATTACTATATGGGGGATGAATTACTATGGGGGATGAATTACTATATGGGGGATGTATTACTATGGGGGATGAATTACTATATGTGGGGGGATGAATTACTATATGGGGGGATTAATTACTATGGGGGATGAAATTACTATATGGGGGAGATGAATTACTATGGGGGATGAATTACTATGGGGGATGAATTACTATATGGGGGATGAATTACTATGGGGGATGAATTACTATGGGGGATGAATTACTATATGGGGGATGAATTACTATATGGGGGATGAATTACTATATGGGGGATGAATTACTATATGGGGGCTGAATTACTATATGGGGGATGAATTACTATGGGGGATGAATTACTATGGGGGATGAATTACTATGGTGGATGAATTACTATATGGGGGATTAATTACTATGCTTACTATGGGGGAATATTACTATACTTACTATGGATGACACATACACATCATTCATCTACTCTTGGTCCGGCCCCCGGGTCCAATTATAAAATACTTTATTATTTCATAATAAAGTAATTATAAAATAATTTCTTTGTGTTTGATTCCTATTCAAGAGAATTACTTTATATATAGTCAATATAGGCACAGAGGTAAATTTTTTTAACATTTTCTAATGGTGGTGTGCCTCGTGATTTTTTTCATGAAAAAAGTGTGCCTTTGCACAAAAAAGGTTGAAAAACACTGATCTAGATAACTAAGCTGACTGCCTTTTAGGGTAAAAAAGGATTTATTCCCCTGTGGGAGGCAGTTTTGGGCAGAATTCTTTGTTGGGAGAGGTGGTGGGGTGTTGCATAGCTTTGGACCAAAACTACTAGAGTTTATAATAGATTGAAGTTGAATAAATTTTCCCCCCTGAATGGCAGCAACCTAGCAAATTACTATGCTTTAGCCCTGTACCCAATATCTTTCTTGTGCAGCCCTGCCCTGTGCCAGACAGCCTTTGCAGAAAAAAGTCCTAGCCATATCTAGCTATTACATGCTCATGAATGCCAATCACCTTATTCAGTTCTATGGCTGGAGCTGTACTCCTCTGGATGGCTTGGAGCCACCATGAGTACTGATAAGACATAGGAATGGATAAAAGTAGCAGTGCACATGTGCATTAGGAGCTGGACTCAGCTGGGACATTTTTCTGCAAAGCCTGTGTGTGTCCCAGGGAAGGGCAAGACAGTGGAGATTTCAGAAGCAAGGCTGAAGATACAAATTTAGGTAGGTGGCTGCTGCTCATTGGGATGGAGTAGATTTAAAAAATAACATCAGTAAAAGTGAAGTTGTTCCTCTACTGTGCAATTTTGTGACTTTAAAATTAAAGTGGTAATTAAGAAAATTGTTTTAACTTTTCACAAATGACATATATAGGAGTGGGTTTACGGGGGAAGCAGAAAATAAAAAGTAAATTATCATACAGGGGAAGTCTAAAGCTAAACTCCAGCATTTCCATTAGCCTTGCACAGTTGTACAGATTCCTCGTCTGTATTGAAATTGCTTACTCTGATTTCACTGAACACCATGATCATCTCACAGTGTGCATTGAAGCAACAGCAACTCAGACAGAGCCTGTCTCATTTCCGAGCTGGAGGACATCAAACATCATCTAGCGTCTTCTTCCCCAGCTTTACTGTCCCACCCCTTTCATTCATTGGATTTGAGTTCTCTCAGTCATGAAGGCTTGGCATCACATGTGAGCATTACCTACCCACATGGAAGAAAAATAGATTTGAAATATATTTTAAAAATACTCTTCCCAAATATATTGCCATATATTTGAAATACTACAATTTTGGCCATATTCAATATATTTCAAAATATATTTCAATAAATAAAATATATATATATATATATATATATATATATATATATTATATTGCATGTTGAAATGTGTTTTTATTACAAAATCCAAATCTACATTTTTGGAATGCATTTACAGATATATGTAACAATATATTATATGTTAAAATGCATTTTTATTACAAAATACATGTATATTAAAACATTTTTTAAAAATACATTTCAAATATACTGTATGTCTTGAAAAATACAAATCTACATTTTTGGAATACATTTACAAATATATGTAACAATATATATGTTTAAATGACTTTTTTATACGCTGAAAAAAATCTGAAGAATATATTTTAAAAATATATATTTTAAAAAATATATTTTTAAAAATTATATTCTTCCGATTTTTTTTAACATATAAAAAACTAATATTACCATATATTTTTACATATATTTGTAAATGCATTCCAAAAATGTAGATTTGTATTTTTAAAGACATACAGTATATTTAAATGTACTTTTAAAACAATTATTCATATATTTTGTAATAAAAACTCATTTCAACATGCAGTGTGTATATATATATATATATATATATATATATATATATATATATATATATTATATATATTTTTTTTTTAAATATATTTTGAATTATATTAAATATGGCCAAAATTGTAGTATTTCAAATATATGGCAATATATTTTATGAAGACTATATTTAAAATAGATGTCAAATATATTTTTCTTCTATATGGGTAGGCCACCCTGTATGCAAATGTTATCTACCTTGGAATGCCCTCTTCTCGAGGCTGATATCAGGACTGCTTATAGAGAAACACTTAGACCCAGTGATGACATCACTGGGCCTTAAATGAGGTATGAAATAAAACAGAAAGGTTTTATTTAAAAATTTAACCAGCATGTTAATGAGGGGAGAAATGAAGAACCACAGAGGGCAAAATATAAGAAGATTAAACTTCAACTTTAAGCCTGACATGTAAAATAAAACACTTTTCTGTGGAGCCTGTTCACATACATGCAGGCAAATTTTAACAAGGGTCCTGTGCAATTTTCCGTGGGGTGCATGGGCGATTTCCAATGTGATGATACATTTTAACAAATTGCATCGAAATTGCATCTGTACCACATGAACGAAATCGCACCACACCAGCCTTTAAAATCGCACTACATACTAACCCACAGATATGTGAACCCAGGCTATGGTTTCTTGAGAAGCAATAGTTCCTTTAAATCCATGTAGGCATGCATATAGCATATTCTTACAGTGTGTTGAGTGTTCCGTATTCTGAATCTGGGAAACAACTTCATTAATAATACTGTACTGTATACTGTGTGTGTAATGTAAGCAAAATGAATGGGGCCTCTAAGTTAATACACTAAAAGATTTGCATTGCGGTGGGAATGATGTGTTGCATCAGTGCTCCTCATCAGTGGCTTTTTGACAAATACAGTATGCAACTTTATTTGCTTGTGGGCTTCAGGGGTTGTTTAGAGGTCCAGACCACCAAACACCAATATTTCAGTCTTTGGTAGATACTGGAGTGTTAATTCATCGTATTGTTTCTTATTGCTCATATGTACTCTGTTGGTGAACGATCTACACTTAAAGCTGAGCTCCAGGCAGATGTAAAGATGCACATAAATGCAGTTCTGTATACATTAGCAAATCATCAGATGCATTTTTAACTGCAACTAAAGTAAGTACCTATTGCCATGTCCTATACAGCAGCACTCAGACTGAAAAAGAGAGGAGCAGGACTGAGAGCTGGTCGGGTGTACTGCATGTAAATGTGCTGGCAATGCTGACAGGAGGAGAGAAGAAAGTGAGCAGAGAGATTAGGTGGCACAAACACCTTGCGCATTATCCAGGGTTTATTAACCACTTGCCTACCGGCACTTCTACCCCCTTCCTGCCCAGGACAAGTTTCAGCTTTCAGTGCTGTTGCACTTTGAATGACAATTGTGTGGTTATGTAACAGTGTGTACCCATATGAAATTTTTATCTTTTTTTCACACAAATAGAGCATTCTTTTGGTGGTATTGAATCACCACTGGTTGTTTTATTTTTTGCGCTATAAACAAAAAAAAAAGCAAAAAATTAAAAAAAAAAAAGTTTTTCTTTGTTTCTATCAAACAATTTTGTAAACAAGTACTTTCTCCTTCACTGATGTGCATTGATGAGGCTGTACTGATAGGCGGCACTGATGGGCACTGATAGGCAGCACTGATGGGCACTGGTGAGGTACACGGATAGGTGGTACTGGTAGGTGGAACTGATGAGCTGGCACTGATGATGTTGCACTGATAGGCGGCACTAATGGGAACTTATAGGTGGCACTGATGGGCATCTCTGATGGGTATTGATGGGTGGCACTGACTTATGGCACTGATGGGCACTGACTGGTGGCACTACTGGGCAGTGCTGGGCAGCATTGACGGGTGGCATTGATGGGGGGCACTGCTGTGCACAGGTGGGTGGCACTGCTAGGCACTGCTGGATGGCAATGCTAGGCACTGCTGGGCACAGGTGGGTGGCACTGCAGGGCACTGATAGGCACAGTTGGGTGGCACTGATGGGCACAGGTGGATGGCACTGATGGGCACCGATCATCAGGGCACTGATCAACTGACAATTGCCGGTTATCAGCAATACTTTCCTCACACTGTGACAGCGTATTTACCTGGTGATCTGCTGTGTCATTGGATCAAGTGATAAAAGGCCGCTGCGATTGGTCTTTCACCACATCACACGATCAGCTGTGTCCGTAGGACACAGTGATCACGGAGATCGCCGGATGCACAGGGGGCACGCGGGAGTGCGTGTTCTGGGACGCGTCATATGACGCCCTCCCAGAACTGGACAACCGCGCTGTAGCCGTCATTCGGCTATAGCACGGTTGCCAAGTGGTTAAAAACTATAAAAGGACAAAAAACATATTTACAAACTAAGTGCATATATAAAGGCTGTAAGACCACATAGATGGCTGAAATGATGACAGAGTATCCGACTGCTGGTATGGTCGGCCTCTGATACGTTTCGGGGACATGTCCCTTTCCTCAGAGCTATAAACGGTCATAACCGGAAAGGGACTCGTCCCCGAAACGCATCAGCAGGCCGACCATACCAGCAGTTGGACAATCATTTTGGCCCTCTTTGTGGTCGTACAGGCTTTATATATGCGCTTAGTTTGTGAGTAAATTTTTTTACTTTTTATACTTTTTAGTAAACCTTGGATAATGCACTAGGTGTTTGCGCCACCTGTTTGCTTTCTTCCAGTTTGTTGATCTCCCCATCTGAGGAGGGTGGCATCTCCGGGATTTTATCCATAGGTCATTCACACACCTGATCCCATGGCCTCTCCCTGGTATTGACCCTTTCATGGCGCTGGATAGATAGTACATTTTTCAGCAGAGAGATTAGCCTCTTAGGTCTTGATCACACTTGGCTAAATTTCTAACTCTTACCAAACACTCCTATATCTTTATTATAGGTGTTAGACAGACGTTAATGAGCTTTAGTATGGGCATTAGATCGTTTTTTTACAAACGTTAAAAAAACTCCCCAAATGCATTTTTTAAGCTTTTATAAGCATTTGACAAGCATTAAAACCACACCACAAACTAAATAAACTGTAATGTTATTAATGCTCCTGCAAACGCACTGCAAGTGACCTGCAAATGCCTGCCAGTGCTTTAAGTGTCACCAAAGACTTAAATGGCAGGCGTTGAAAGGCTTCAAACGTCTCTTGACTCGACATGAGGTTTCACTTTACTTTACGTTTTAATAATGTGAACAGCACTTATAAACACCAGTCAAATGCCTGCTTTCAATGCCAGTGTGATCTAGGCCTTCCTGTTCCTTTACTGTCCAGTGAGGGGAAAAGAGGGGGACAGCAGTGTATCCTTTTTACAGTCTATATAACATAATGTAATGTGGTAGGGCTGTTTCAGTCTCAGAACTCCATGAACAGACAAGGAATGGAAAACAGCTCCCATACAGTATATGCATTTCATTTGTGTATTTAGCAGTTTGCCTGGAGTTCAGTTTTATATTCCTGCACACCGGCTGTAACCATCACGAGTACCATTATTATTTTATATTATGGATAGAATAGCAGGAGGAGCTGGACCATACAAAGTTGTTTACCATAATTATTAACCATGCTACGCTTTTTCTTATTCATAATGCTACTCACTACCACTTCTTTTTCAATGTGTCCCATGATCTAACAAAGTTTGAGGGCCTCCTTGTAAAACCTTTGATCAGGTGTTCTAATTTTAAAATGCTGTAATATACACATCAGAAACAGAATCTATGTGACCATTGCTCATCTGCTGTGTGTCTGGCAGTTATTAGCATCCAAAGAGAACCTGTCTCTGCTGTATCCAGCGATATAAACTTCCCAATGAAAGGACGAAGAGGTATGAATGACTGGGCTAGAAACTCTGAAGATAAACTTTTCATTCCAAAGGAGGTCCTGACTTTGCCTAATGCAGGTGAGCATCAGGAATATTCTTCCCAGAAATCCTTCCATGGTTGAATGTGTACAAGGAATAGGACAGCCTTTCTCAAACTTTTCACCCTAAAGGAGCCCTTGCAATAATTTTCAGGTCTCAGGGAACCCTTGCTAAGTTTAGTCCATTGGTGGTCATTGGGTAAATGTCCCTTACATTAGTGGTGGTCAATAGGAAGATTGCCCCCCCCCCCCTTATACTGGTGATCAGAACACAATCCTTAGAGTCATGCCACTGGCTCCGCCAAGTGGTGTTGGACCTAAAACTATCCAGGCACCACCACATGTGAGGTCAGTTAGCAACAGCTCAATAAACCCCTAGCCATCTAGGAATCCTGGTTGAGAATAGCTGAAATAGGCAGTTCACTTTGCTGCTTTAGAGTAAAGAAAAAAATGTACTAATTACAGTAAATGTATTTTTATACTGAACATGTGTGGATAGAAATATAAAAATTACCTTTGTTGACTTTTTTTAACCTGCTAACCTGATCCTGTCTTCACAACAAAGTATGAGTCACAAATCTGGAATAAGCATGAAGACAATGAATTCTAAACTCTTACCCCCCAACCTCTGATCCCTCATTGTTACAAACCAGGGCAGCTTTTCTCAACAAAGGTTCCATGGAATTCTATGATTCCTTCAGAGGTTGCCATGGGTTCCTTGAGCGATGGGCAATTCCTGCCTCTCAGATAAGTAACCACTGACACCAACGATCTACTTAGCCATCTGTAAGAAGGGGGGGGGGGGGGGGGGTTTATGCTGAATGACCACAAATGTAAGATGCAATTCCTCCCAGTGACTGTCACACAATTGCAATGTGAGCTGTAGCTAGCAAAATTTAGTAAGAGTTCCCTGAGCTTAGAAAGTTCTTTCAAAATCCATGTTAAAAAGGTTGAGAGAGGCTGGGCTGAGCTGTATATTTAAAACAAATCAATTTGTACAGTGAATAAAACAGAGAGGCAGGGGTTGAAAAAAATGGTAAGCATATGCTTCTGAGTAGAACTAAGTTAACGTGAACCTGTTGATTTACCCTGCATTTGTAAAACACAAGTTTACTTTCAGGACAAATATTTTCGCAGGCTCAGATTAATTACTTTAGATCAGGGGCGTCAAACTGGCATCCCTCCAGCTGTTGTAAAACTATAAGTCCCATCATGCCTCTGCCTTTAGGAGTCATGCTTGTAGCTGTCAGCCTTGCAATGCCTCATGGGACTTGTAGTTTGGCAACAGCTGGAGGGACACCAGTTTGACACCCCTCCTTTAGATAATCTCTGGAATTCAAATATCTGCAATCATTTATTTACTTTTTGAGTACAAGCACACAAACCTTCTAAGATGTATTAGTAAAAAATAAAAATTAAACATTATTTAATTAATAATTATAATGACCAATATTTTTCATCTCGTTTTATAGATAAATTAGATTTATGCTTGGAAATAAGTTTCTACAGCCATGGAGATGTATGCATGTACGTAGTTAAAGCTTAGAAACCTTCAAGAATGAGTGTTCATGCTCCAAGTTAGCCCTTATGAAAGTTGAGGAAGTCATTCAGCACAACATTGATGAATTAGTGTAAAATGCTTCTTGGGTATGGTTATATAGGATGAAGAAGCAAATATTGCTCAAATTAGTAATTTTAAAGGATAACTTTTCTTAAGAAAAAAATCATGACTCCCCCTGCCATCCTCATGTTTAAATGTGACTATGGACCTCATATTAAGACTTTCCTCAGTTCACGCTGCCACAACCTGCCCACGACCGGATGATATTTATAGCCTGTTGGGATCCTGCGCACTAACACACTGTGCAGATGCAAGCAAATTGAGTTAAAATGATCTAATGTTCTACTCGCACAAGTCCAAAAAATTTAGTCTGTGGGCAGATCATGACAGCATAAACTGGGGGGAAGTCACAATCTGAGCTCTGTATTTACACTTTTAATCAGAAGGAAAGAAGGTTTTTTTGGGGAACATTATTTCAAAGAACACAGCTGTTTGATAGCTGGAGCATCAGGCATCAGACTCATTTATTTAAGGGATTCTTGTTATGCTATTTTTAAACATTTGTGATTGCCTGTATTTAGAATAGATGTGTAGCTAAGATTCAACTTTTAAATGGCTGCTTCATATGGATGACCTACCTCAAGGACTATTTTACCACTGTGTGGGCTGAAACAAAGTGAAACAAAGCGCTTTAAAACAGGAAAACCTGATTCCTGAAAACTGTAAGCAAATGGAAGTAGCAACAAATCAATCTTTGACTTTCATTCTAAGACCTGCAATGAGAATATAAAACAAGGAACAAACTATGCTCCTATGCACACAACTCTACTTTTGTTTTTTTTAATTGTCTACTATGCTGTTCTTTTTTCTTTGGAAACAGAAACAGAGGAGTCAACATATTTTGTCATAGGTGCAGTTCTATACCGCACTCTTGGGCTCATCTTGCCTCCTCCAGGGAATTCACTAGCTGTCAGTTCAAAGGTTTTGACTGTCACCATTCGGCCTCTAACCAAACCTCCAGACCAGCAAGTGGTGGTGGAATTATCACATATAATCAATGTAAGTAGCATAAGAAGTTCAGGCACTTTCACTAGTTCTTGTTTTTATCTTGATTCAGCTAGTACCCATAGCCTCAAGAATTCAGTTATAAAGCATTATTGATTTGTTGGTCTCAAACTTCAATTGCGCAGTCAGACTGCAAAGAATTGAGATTGGATTCTTTCACCATGCATAGGGAAAAAAAATGTAGGGAACAAAAGTTGGTTTTGATGACTAAGCAAGAATTGCAAGAAATGTCTTTTCTGAGCATTAAAAGAAAGACATGGCCCTCTTTGGCCAGCAGAGATATATGCTCTTTAGTATTCTATGCAGTATTCAATACATGTTTTCTTTGTGTATGCTTATACTTTTGAAATGCCTACTGTGCCTATACTTTTGAGATGCATACTGAGCCTAAAATCAAATATTCAATTTTGCATGTTACCATGTAGGAGATGTAACCTTATGGAATAACATGTCTTTGTGAACATTTAATTTTACATGTACAGTATGTAATTGTAGTTTAACCACCATAATAGGGACAAAATAACTTAGCAAGTTTATGGCAATGCATTAAAAGACAATACAATGTTTTTTGAGATAATATATGCTATTTAAACTTCTAGCCAGATACAAAGGTTTAATCTTCTATTAATATTATCACAAAGTGTCTTCTTGTTTAACAGGGTACTTCAAGCCCCCAGTGTGCGGTATGGGATTATTCCAAAAGGTTGGTTATTCTTGTTTGTGTTATATTATTATATTATATTTATTACCAAACACTGGGAAAAAATATATCCAATTTCCTTCCTTTCTTATAACCTAAACATTCTAATTATCCAATTTCTAGGTAGATTCGTGAAATTAGAGCTCATCATATCCCACTGAATTGAAAAGCTGTCTATAGCAGTGGAATGCTCACAATACCTATGCTTAATTTACAGTCAGTGTCAAAGACTACATTTGTGAAGCCATATAGCTGTTAGCAAAAGGACTGTGTATTCCAAGAGAAAATAAAAACTTGTTGGTGGCCTTGGCAGAAAGATCTAATTCCACCATCATTTTGTATTCTTTGTCACCATTACAGTGCTGGAGAGCTTGCTACAGAGCTATTCTCAGTGTGACCACAGCTAACATGTTCTTTTTTAATACATAATTTAATTAAAAGAAAATTGCTGTTAATGCAGTAATAGCCGTTATTATTCAGACTTTTATTCCTCCTCTGCAGAAGATTGACATAAGTAGGTGCAGGAAGGAATGGTGCTGAAAGACTTTGCAAGGGTTTCATTGTGGAGACAGGGAGCTGTCCAAATTTGAAAAGTGCTGAAACCCAGATACATATTTTTTGCAAGCCTCTATGCAAGCCAAGTATTTAATTATAATATGTATGTTCTGCAGCACTATTTTAGAGTTATGATGTAAGAAAGGGCATAGTTAACATGCCTGCCTGACTTCTTCAGACTCGTTCAGTGAAACAGTGTAAAGTACAACGTGCAGTGTGGGTGTGTATTGGGGGTTATATTTGACACTGAAGTTTTGCCTAAATGCAGTTCATAGGTACTTCTTACAGCTGATAGTCCTCACAATCTTCAGATGTTTAAGTAGATGCAATTTGCATCAATGAAAAAGGCATGGTAAAGATTGTGCACATTATTCTATAAAGAGAATTACGCTGATATACCGCACAGATATTGTCTATATCTCTGGTACTTATATAATGAACTCTACAAAGCAGCATAGAAATAAATGGTGATATGGAAATGACCCAAACCAACCAGTCAGGTTTCAGTTTACTGAAGCGGTGTTGTTAAAAGATGAATTGTGATTGTTTTGCACTTGCATTACTCTTTACCTTGCAGAATAAAACTGCAAGTATATCTTTTTTTCTCATATCCAGGTGGTTATGACCAGACTAGATCTGAGGTTTCATGTCTTGTCAGCACAAAAAGCTAATTAAGTATAACTATTAGGTGCTAATTGGCTTGTGCTTTTGCTGGACCACTTTATAGAAAAGGCCTTCCAGGTGTATAACACTAATGGGTTACCATTTAAAAAAAATAAATGAAGAACCAACCTGCCTGGCTGGCTAACACACATTTCCCAACCCCACTATATAACTATTTAAGATATGGTTACTTAGTATATAAATATGCAGAGAGACAATCATGGGATTATTGCTATTGCTATATTGCTATTATAATATATGGTACAGCTGTTGAGAAAGCAAACTGAAAAAACAAACAAACATAAACACTAAAATTGTCAATGTATTTATGTATGTGTTTTTTGAACCTTTGGATTAAAAGTAAACTGTTTAAGGCCATGTATTAGCTTCTGAATATGTTATACATTTATGTGAATTGTATAAGAAATGTACATCAGGCATCTGCTTAGATATTAAATTATTACCACAGACTATAACCAGAATGATTCCAGCTCATTCGTAATGATTACATTTGGCAGCTAAAAGGAACACCAAATCACTTTTCCAGAGAAAATATGAATTGCAATTGGTTGCTTAGTTTCACTAGGCTTTGGGCTTTATTATACATACACTATATTTCTAAAAGTATTGGGACGCCTTCCTTTAGACCAGTGGTTCTCAACCTTTCTAACGCCGCGACCCCTTAATACAGTTCCTCATGTTGTGGTGACCCCCAACCATAAAATTATTTTCGTTGCTACTTCATAACTGTAATTTTGCAGTAGGAGGAATAGTGCCACGTCATTGGTGTCAGTGGGAGGAATAGTGCCCCGTCATTGGTATCAGTGGGAGGAATAGTGCCCCGTCATTGGTGTCAGTGGGAGGAATAGTGCCCCCTTCATTGGTGTCAGTGGGAGGAATAGTGCCCCGTCATTGATGTCAGTGGGAGGAATAGTGCCCCGTCATTGGTGTCAGTGGGAGGAATAGTGCCCCGTCATTGGTGTCAGTGGGAGGAATAGTGCCCCATCATTGGTTTCAGTGGGAGGAATAGTGCCCCATCATTGGTGTCAGTGTGAGGAATAGTGTCCCATCATTGGTGTCAGTGGGAGGAATAGTGTCCCATCATTGGTATCAGTGGGAGGAATAGTGTCCCATCATTGGTATCAGTGGGAGGAATAGTGCCCCATCATTGGTGTCAGTGGGAGGAATAGTGCCCCATCATTGGTATCAGTGGGGGGGAATAGTGTCCCATCATTGGTATCAGTGGGAGGAATAGTGCCCCATCATTGGTGTCAGTGGGAGGAATAGTGCCCCTTCATTGGTATCAGTGGGAGGAATAGTGCCCCATCATTGGTATCAGTGGGGGGGAATAGTGTCCCATCATTGGTATCAGTGGGAGGAATAGTGCCCCATCATTGGTGTCAGTGGGAGGAATAGTGCCCCATCATTGGTATAAGTGGGGGGAGGAATAGTGCCCCATCCTTGGTGTCAGTGGGGGGAGGAATAGTGCCCCATCCTTGGTGTCAGTGGGGGGAGGAATAGTGCCCCATCCTTGGTGTCAGTGGGGGGAGGAATAGTGCCCCATCCTTGGTGTCAGTGGGGGGAGGAATAGTGCCCCATCCTTGGTGTCAGTGGGGGGAGGAATACTGCCCCATCCTTGGTGTCAGTGGGGGAGGAATTGTGCCCCATCCTTGGTGTCAGTGGGGGGAGGAATTGTGCCCCATCGTTGGTGTCAGTGGGGGGAGGAATCGTGCCCCATCGTTGGTGTCATTTGGGGGAGGAATCGTGCCTCATCGTTGGTGTCAGTGGGGGGAATAGTGTCCCATCGTTGGTGTCAGTGTGAGAAATAGTGCCCCATCATTGGTGTCAATGGGAGGAATAGTGTCCCATCGTTGGTGTCAGTGGGAGGAATAGTGCCCCATCATTGGTATTAGTGACACCAATGATGGGGCACTATTCCCACTGACACCAATGATACTTACCTTGCAGACCCCTGCTCCAGCCTGGGCTCGCTCACTCCCTCCCTCTCCCATGGTACCAACACTTACCTGTCAGATGTCTTCCTTCTCCGGCCGCTCTCCTCCTCTTCACTCGCTCGATCTTCGAGGTGCCGCTCGGCTCCTCCTCTCCAAGCTCCACCTCTTTGCCGGTGATTGGCCGCCTGTGTGCCTCTCCTGAGCTACAGTGCCGGCGGTCAATCACAGGCGAGGATTGATCTCGAGGTGTGTCCAGATGACAGGGGCGGCATGTCATCCCGCCCACACCTGGAGATGGCGGCGGCGGCGGCGAGGAGCGGTGTCTCGGTTCCTAAGACCATCGGAAATATGTGTTTTCCGATGGTCTTAGGCGACCCCTGTGGAAGCGTCGTTCGACCCCCAAAGGGGTCGCGACCCCCAGGTTGAGAACCGCTGCTTTAGACACACATGAACTTTAATGGCATTCCAGTCTTAGTCCGTAGGGTTCAATATTGAGTTGGCCCACCCTTTGCAGCTATAACAGATTCAACTCTTCTGGGAAGGCTGTCCACAAGGTATAGAAGTGTGTCTATGGGAATATTCGATCATTCTTCCTGAAGTGCATTTGTGAGGTCAGACACTGATGTCAGATGAGAAGGCCTGGTTTTCAGTCTCTACTTTAATTCATCCCAAAGGTGTTCTATGGGGTGGAGGTCAACATTCTGTGCAGGCAAGACAAGTTCCTCCAACCAAACTCGCTCATCCTTGTCTTTATGGACCTCTGGAAAACAACCCCACACCATAATCTCCCCTCCACCAAACTTTACACTTGGCACAATGCAGTCAGGCAAGTAAAATTCTCCTGGCAACCGTCATACCCAGACATGTCCATCGGATTGCCAGACATCGAAGTGTGATTTGTCACTCCAGAGAACACATCTCCACTGCTCTAGAGTCCAGTGGTGGTGTGCTTCACACTACTGCAACCGATGCTTTGACAGGTTGCCACCTGTGTAATAAGTCCATCCATGAAATTTCCTTGCTACTAAATATTCCACAGTCAACTGTTAGTGGTATTATAACAAAGTGGAAGCAACTGGAAACAACAGCAACTCAGCCACGAAGTGCCAGGCCACGTAAAATGACAGAGCGGGGTCAATGCATGCTGAAGTGCACAGTGCACAGAAGTCGACAACTGTCTGCAAAGTCAATAGCTGAAGAACTCCAAACTTCATGTGGCCTTCAGATGAGCACAACAACAATGCGTAGAGAGCTCCATGAATGGGGTTTCCATGGCTAAGCAGCTGCATCATAGTCTTACATCACCAAGTACAATGCAAAGCATCGGATGCAGAAGTGTAAAGCACACCATCACTGGACTCTAGATCTGTGGAGACGTGTTCTCTGGAGTGACAAGTTATGCTTCTATGCCTGGCAATTCGACGGACGTGTCTGGATTTGTCGGTTGCCAGGAGAACGGTACTTGCCTGACTGCATTGTGCCAAGTGTAAAGTTTGGTGGAGGGGGGATTATGGTGTGGGGTTGTTTTTCAGAAGTTGGGCTTGGCCCTTTAGTTCCAGTGAAGGGAACTTTTAAGGCATCAAAAAACCAAAACATTTCAGACAATTTCATGCTCCCAGCTTTGTAGGAACAGTTTGGGGATGGCCCCTTCCTGTTCCAACATGACTGGGCACCAGTGCACAAAGGAAGGTCCATAAAGACATGGATGAGCGAGTTTGGTTGGAAGAACTTGTCTGGCCTGCACAGAATCCTGACCTCAACCCAAAAGAACACCTTTGGGATGAATTAGAGTGGAGACTGCAAGCCAGGCCTTCTCGTCTGACATCAGTGCCTGACCTCACAAATGCACTTCAGGATGAATGGTCAAACATTCCCATTGACACACTCTTAAACCTTATGGACAGTCTTCCCAGAAGAGTTGAAGCTGTTATAGCTGCAAAGAGTGGGCCAACTCAATATTGAACCCTATGGACTAAGACTGGGATGCCATTAAAGTTCATGTGCATGTAAAGGCAGGCGTCCCAATACTTTTGGCAATATAGTGTATATATACCTTTAAGTGTACATATCTAAAGCAGATATGTCCTCCAAATTATGTGCTTGGTAGGTGTATGTTGTTTCCCTCTGTCTGTGAGCAGAGGTGTGTACGTGTGTGTGGGTGTGTGTGAGTGGTAGTGTAAGAATCCTTTCTAAGTCCTTATCCTTGCCATGTCCATGTTTTATTATAACATTCCATCTGCTATGGTTGCCAGAGTAACGTTGATGACTGGTGAGAGGTCTAGTGATGTATGCCTGTGTTGCATTTCCTCTCGTCGTATAAGCAGCTGACAGCTTTCTGACAAGAGTCCCTAATATAGCATGTGAGAATGCAAAAAAGATCTTGGGGCTCAGTTTCTCAGAACCTAGGCGATGCTAGTGTTAAAGATACAATTCAGTAAATGTTGTCCTGGCTACAACATGCATTGAATGAAACTGGCTGTTCTAGTATACTCTGTACCTTAGACATTACAGCTTTTTACCTGTGAATGTAAATGGAACCTTTCACCTGGGGAAGACGGATTGAACTAATCACGTTTTGCTATAGTGATTGTGGCTTAAGGGGGGATTGCAGGATACATGACGGCCCAGCACAGAGAGAAGGAGTGAAAACTGTCATAATGTTAGATGAAACCACAGAAAACCCCTTTAAACCTACAGGCTGCTAATCATTTGCACTGTGTGACAGTTGCTCTCTCTTTTATTCTTTCTCTGCTCTTTTCTCCACTTGCTTTTCTTTCTCTCATCTCCTCTTCTTCATCTATAATCCCTTGTGAATAATGCCTTGCGGCATAGCTCCATCTCTCCTGTATTGCTTATGCTCACTATGTCTTAGTCTTTGCTCACTGATTCAATGCCACTTTTCCTTTCAGCTAGTGTTTCCCAATAATCCTGCCTGCCTTTGTATTGTACATTTTACAAAATACTATCTTTACACGCAACATTGCAAATATTCTTCGTCATATTTCAAACCCCTTTACGCCTTCCGCTTGTTTACCTCTTCCTTATCGTCTTCTCTATTGTTTCTCCCCCTCATTTTGTCTTTCTGTGTCTCCCCCACACTCCTTCGCTCTCTGCCTCACTTTTCTCACTGGGTTTCTCCACACACACACACATACATACACATGCACACATAGTCAAGATCCCAGCCAGGAGATGCAGGCTGGCTGAGCTTGCTCTGCATATGCTGAGCATTCCTAGTAGCCTTTTCTTTTTGCTCTCCAATATGTTATTACTGCCAATTCTGCTTTACAATGTGCACTTTGTGCCTTCATTTTTGTGCTTGTGATCCCCAGTGATGCATCCAGTGGGAGCTGGGACACCGACAGCTGCCAGACACTGCCAACCCACCCATCTCATACCAAATGCCTTTGCGACCAGCTCTCCACCTTTGCTGTTTTGGCGCAACTACCCAAGGAAATGGTAAGTGTGGCAAAGCTTACATTGATTACACAGGCCAGATTGTAACTGACTATATTAGATGCTGTCTGCAGCCATACACAAGACTAGAGTTTTTCAGGCCTTGCTTTGCCAGAGTTCTTTCTATTAGGCAGCAGATGTATAGATGTTGTTGCCAAATATGACTTCCTGTGCGTGGTTTTCTTGTGTGAGGTTGTTCATACATTCAGGTATGCTTAAAGAGTCAGATAGTTAAATCAATTAATGTTTTTTTCTTAGGTTGAGAAATCTTTGGGATTACGTTCCCATATTTATATACCTAGCATGGCCATTGGGAGGAAGACCCACTCTCAAGGGGGTTCCAAGCTTGAAGTCATGGTAGGGTAGTTTTACATTTGAGACAGAATAAAGCAGCAGCTAAATCTAGCCATCAGACTTCACCTATAATTAAAGAGTTACATGTAACTCACCAGGCTTGTCGTTTGGCACTTTCATATGACTATCTTAGCTTCACATAAGTGAATATTTCAGGAATACTTTATCCTTTTTTAGATTGTTGTGAAGGCTGTATTTAAATTGGGCATGTTGTACATCACGTAATGTAATCACTCTTAAAAAATGACTGTATGAATGAAGATCCTACATTGTTTTCTGGAATGAAACCCCGTTAAAGGGACTGCATATTTACACTGTAGATTGGTTGCTGGCAAAATTGTAAATTTACAGTATATTTCCCAATTCTGTATGCCATATATGCTTTTGCTCGCACCTTCCTGATCTTGTCATTGCTGTCAGGAACAATGGTTATCAGCCTGACAACCCAACAAATGTGATACTTGTAAGTGGGTCACATGACTTCCTGTTGGGTCCATGATGTAAATCCAGAGATTAGAATCAATGGCAGTCCATAGCAAAATATGAACCTTCTGGTTTTTAATGATAACGAGTAAACTAGTATTTAAACACATCTGAGGATTCAGGTAAGGGCCATAATACATTTACATTGGTGGCTTTTTATGTTTTTATGTATTTTTTGTATTTCTAAAGCTATTTTTGTAAAATATAAGCATGCATACTTAGGTTAAGTAATGAAACTTTTTAGGAAAACTGCACACAGAATGACTAGCAGCAGGATATTTTATGTTACCCTCTGCTTGATATGTATGATTGACACCCTTGTGTACTTGTAGTACTACCCCCTTAAGGCTTGCTTAGTAATTATTTTGGGTTCCCTGTCAATCTGCAAACCCAGCAACACCTCCATGCTCCAGTGACCAAAGTAAATCACAACTGTAAAATGGACTCACACACAAGTTAGTGTAAAGCAGTATGAAGTTTATATTGGAATCAAAGGTAACTTGGTAAAACAGGACAAAATGACATTGATATATGCAGCAAATACAACCACTCTTGGTAATTGTGAGGAAAAGTAACAACATTCACCATATAGCAACAATAACTGTTAGCAGGTCTGTTTTCAGAAATAATCCACTGCCTTCTATCTGAGGGGACTGCTGAATCCCCAGTGAGCAGAAAAGAACTATCAAAACAGGCAAGCTCACTGGGGGCCCTCAGAACTAGATGACAAGGATTAGATGTGAAGGAAAGAGAATTCTCATATGAAATTGAACACTGCCCCTTTTAGGAACACTACAATGTCTTCTGCACGCTCATTGGGACCCAACTGGTATGAAGTTGAGTTGAGGTTTGTAATATAGTTTCTTGGGATGGTGACACAGAGATAGTGAAGGAACAAGGGGAGAATTAACACTTTTCCTCTTGGTGGTAGCAAATTAAGCAGGGTCCCCTTTAAAGCACTAACATGGGTCAGGCTTGTAGTAATGACATTGGCATTAGCATAAATCTATAGGCAAAGACAGCTCCCTTTGTACATCAAAGGAAAATGTTAACAGTGATGGAAATCCTGCTTTACTGTGAAAGGGAAACTTGGTGTTTAAATTGGCATTGCTGTATCCTGGCCTGTAACTGTATGTCATGCGGTCAGCTTGTACAAGAAACTGCAATGTAGATGTATCTCAATGATGGCAGCTGCGAGAACTAGGCCGCAAACTGAAGGAATTACATGTAATGTTCACAACTATGTGTAGGTAGATAGCTGAGGTGGCAAACTGTCAGAATTTACTTGGTTAGTGGATGCATGGGTCCCTCTTAAAGTGTCACTAAACCCACAACAGTAAAATCAGTCTGTATATGCAGTAAAGCATGCTTGTTATACTCACTGTGAAAACTAAGGGGTTAATCCTCTGCATTGTGTAAAAAGGCTGTTTGATCATGACTTATTTGATCCTCCCCTTCTTCCAGTGTCATCCTCTTATCTCCAGATAAGACATATCGTGTGGAGTCACTCTGCACTTGCTCAGTTTGGTGTGTATTGCTAGAGAGGTGTTTTTTCTTGGGAGAGTGCAAGGGCCAATCAGCACTGTTCAGACAGAGATCATGGGTTCTGCATCCTCCTAGAGGAGAATTAAAACATCTCCTACAAGCTTTAACATGTGCTCTGCTGGACACTGATAGATGTCACAAGACTGCTCTAACTACTGATGAGAAAGGGTATTTAACAGTTTGTATTTACTTTAAAAAATGCACGTCCATGTTCTGAGACCAGAGTGAATGCAGGGTCCTGGGTTTCATAACACTTTAAGTGGTCCGGCAGATGGTAGCTGTCTGTCTCCCTCTGCAACCGAGGTCAGTCCATGGACTCTCCAGCTCAAACTCGGCGTCCCGTCTGGTCTACTGCTGTCAGATTAGCCTGCTGGGTAGCGTGGCAGGCCAGCTGCTCAGTAGGCTCTTTCCTCTTTTCTTCTCTCTCCTTCAGCTCTGCAGCCTAGTTTAGCACTTCAGCCGTCAGCACATCTCCTTCTCTTTCAGAAGCACACAAGATATGCACATGTCTATAAAAGTCCAACAGTGATCATCAAGGTCTGGGCAGGGGCTGTGGGGTCATCAGGCACACTCAAGGCACACAGGGTAACATCACTCCCTCACAGGGCACACTCTGATCCGTGCAGGAAGATGACAGAAGCCGTGTGTTACTTGATTTGCATTTTTGCTTATGATGCACTACAGTCACTTTATTTATTGATTTTATATATACCCTTTTAATACGTCATTAAGAGACGATTTATCACTACATCACTTTATAAGCGCTGTATTAGCGCTCACCGTGTACCATTTAGTATTATCATTTCTCTTTATATTTTTAGCGCTGCATTTATATTTTACTTTATCAGGTGTACTGACTGGGGTGGCCACATGTACCTGCTACAAAAATGCTCGAGCTCTCAAATTTATGGGGTCTTCGGGGTTGTTACAGACAGGGACTAGGACATTTCCTCGGTTGAACTGCAAGTTGGTGTTGGTCCCAATTAGTAGTGAAAACTTTTTTATCCCCACGGGTCTGGAGCAAACAATCACCAAATTGTTGAAAGTCTCCTCTTTTCCTGTCAAGGTTGGCCCAAAGGTCAAATTGATGGGTATGTAACCATCATAGGGGCACTTTCGGGTCCTGATCCCCCAGATCTCCAGTTCCTCTAACTGGACATGCTTTAGATGTTTGTCATAAAAATCTCTATAGAGTAGAGTCACCTGGGCCCCTGTGTCCAACAAAGCTTTGGTGTATACTTCCTCTACTTGGACGGAGACCACTGGAGATGGGCCTATTAGTTCGTCTTGGAGCCTCTCGGGTTGAGTCTTGGAACTTCTGATGTGAGCTTTACCAAGCTTTCCCAAGTTCCAGAGAGTCAACTTTTTCCAGATTTCTGGAATGGTGTATCTTGATTCCCTGCGCTAGAGTCCCAGTCAGTGGAGTTGGGATCTGGCTTGGCCCTGGGAGACAGCTGACAGCAGGAGTCTGTGTAGTTTTGGTCTCTAGAGTCTGTTTTCCTTCCAAGTTGGAGCTCAGAATGTTCTTAGAGCCCTCAGCTGGCTCCTTCACTGAGGTCTCTGGTAGTTTTCTGCCATCTTTGGGAAGAATATCCTTCTTAAGGCCTGGATCACTTCAGCAGTCAGGTCGGCTGCTGGCTCTATATTCGAGCATTGAGCCCAAAAGTGTCCTAGTTCTCCACACTAGAGACAACATCTGGGGTACCCTGAACTCGATTTCCCTCTTCCAGCTAACATGGTTGACACTGTCTGTCCCATCTCTGACATGGTCTTCTGCATAGCAATGTGAGCCTTCATAACCTGAACCACGGTCTATTGGACTTCACAGAAAAATTGTTAAATCATGGCATGTGCCTGAGCCAACTGGGACAGGGTCTGCACTATACCATTCATGATGGTCATGACCTGCATCTCAGACACCCCCTTTCTGTTTGAAACAACTTGAGTGACACATGAGGAGGCCTTGGACTTCGGCCTTCCTGGCCTTAGCCACCATCCTCCCTATTGGTATTCAGCAGCTTTGAATATGTCACAGCACCATAGGGATAACTGACTCTAAGTTTCTGTACAATTGAGTCAAGGGGTTGAGCTCCTTTCTGTACTTGGGTCCATAGGGCCTTACTGGTGCTTTCTGTCTTCACCCCTCCTTGAACGACCACTTGGTGCGGAATCTTGTCCAACCTTTGAACACAGTCAGACAGTTTCTCCCCTTCTCGTTGATAGGTGTGCTCAAATAGATAAGTCAGCTCTGTACAATTTTCAACTTGCCCAAATACTTCACGTAGGGCAGTACAGCCGGGCTTGTCCCATTTTAGGTTCCATGAAATGTCTGAGGCAGGGGCCCGCAAGCTCTCCCTTTGTCTCTTTTGACGTCTGCCACTTCCCACTTCTCTAAAGTCTGAAAGGTTTGGTTAACACATATATCGAAGTCATCTTCCCCTAGGGGTGGAGGGACCTTTTAGAGCAGAATTTCAGCCTCCAATAGTTGTGACGAGGCGGGCTTTTTCAGCAAGGTCTCTATAAACTTGCTTAGTTCAGCCAATGAAGCGACAGATATGCCTCCTCCATCTGCAGTGGAAATGGACGGCTCTGGTTTAAGGATACCTTTTCATAAACTCTCTCCACTTGAATCAATTGCAGTGTGCCATTATGCTTGTGACATTGCTGTGTCTGTCAGATGTGTACTCTGTTCTTCAAGCACAGAAGAGATCCCTTTAACCCACGCAGTCAACACTAATGCATTGGGTGCATCTGAGTTGCTTCTGCTATCAGTGATGCTCCCATTATGGTCTGGTATGTGGGCTGTTAACATCTGCTCAACCTGTTCCTCTGTCCAATCATCCCCACATAGACTCAACACTACACACCGCTCTGAGTTTCCATCTTCCTCTTGGCACCAAGCAACAATCACAGATGGTTCTGTGCTTTCTCTCTTTGCAGGTTCACAGGTTCTCTTGACAGGGATATCCCAGAAGAGCCACTACATGTAGCACTACCCCCTTAATGGTTTCTTAGTAATTATTTTGGTGTCCCTGTAAATCTGAACCTCTGGTTGCAAACCCCACCTCTACTGACACCTCCATGCTCCCGTGACCAAAGTAAATCACAACTGTAAAATGGACTCACACACAAGTTAGTGTAAACCAGTATGAAGTTTATATTGGAATCAAAGATAACTTTGTTGAAAAGGACAAAATTACATTAATATATGCAGCAAATATAACCACTCTTGGTAATTGTGAGCAAAAGTAACAACATTCACCATATAGCAACAATAACTGTTAGCAGGCCTGTTTTCAGAAATAATCCACTGCCTCCTACCTGAGGAAACTGCTGAATCCCCAGTGAGAAGAAAACAAATATAAAGAAACAGTTAGGCTCACTGTGGGTCCTCAGAAATAGATGACAAACATTAGATGTGAAGGAAAGAGAATACTCATATGAAATTGAACACTGCCCCTTTAAGAACACTACAATGTCTTCTGTGTGCTCCTTGGGGCCCAATTGGTATTAAATTGAGTTGAGTGTGTGTAAAATCATTTCTTGGGATGGTGACACAGAGATAGTGAAGGAACAAGGTGAGAATTAACACTTTTCCTCTTGGTGGTAGCAAATTAAGGCAGGGTCCCCTTTAAAGCACTAACATGGGGCAGGCTTGAAGTAATGAATAGCAACAATTGGCATACATATCTATAGGCAAAGACAGCTCCCTTCATACATCAAAGGCAAAAGTTAACAGTGATGGGAATCCTGCTTTGCTGAAGAAGGGAAACTTGTTTAAATTGGCACTACTGTATCCTGGCCTGCAACTGTATGTCCTGTGGTCAACTTGTACAAAAAACTGCAATGTAGATGTATCTCACAACTATGTGTAGGAAGATTACTGAGGTGGAAAACTGTAAATATTCACTTGGTTAGTGCATGCATAGGTGTCTCTCACCCAATTAAGCAGATCGTAGTGGTCTGTCTCTCTCTGCAAACAGGGTCAGTCCACAGACTTTCCGGCTCAAACTCGGTGTCCCATCTGGTCTCCTGCCGTCAGATTGGCCTGCCGGGCCACGTGGCAGGCTTGGTGGTCAGCAGGCTCTTTCCGCTCCTCCTTTCTTCCACTCCACAGCCTAGTTCAGTACTTCAGGCATCTGCACACCTCCTTCTCTTTCAGTCTCTCCCAACACTGTCCTGGTCAATCTCCCGGGCTTTGATATTTATATGCCCCCGCCCACAAGCTACCTCTTCTGGGAAAATGTAGTCCCTGACTGCCCTGCTCACCAGCTGAGTCCTGCTATGCAGCATTCAAGTTCCAAAGGGCTGTTCGGTCCATGTGAGTGACCCTAAATGTCTGTAAAACGCTTTGCAAGAGATGCTTGCGATAGTTCTGTTAGAGTAGCTACAGATTCATATACACCTTAGGCCTCAATCACACGAACATGAATCTGTGCCCTATGTCAGAACCTTGTTTACCCACATATATTCAAAGAGAGAAAAAAAAATTGCAATTTTCCAACTTTTGTTATATTACAGTTTACTTTTAAATTTGGTAAATTCTCTTTTAGATGATCATGCTACCAAGACAATTTCTAGAGAAAATGATTAGATAATGTTTGAAAGTATTGTTAAGACAAGCTTTGCTTTGATTGGCCTGTTGGAACAAATATTGTATTCTGATAACTGTATGTGGTTAATACATATGATAATTGTAATCAGTATACTCGTTTATTTTGATTGGAATGTTTTTCTTGATTGTATTTTATATGCAGACTGAGCTGTCTAGCTAAATGACACTGGATGGGTTTGCGGCAAACTTTGACACTGTAAGGGGTGCAGACAGCAGCCATTTTTCATTCCCATGGCTTACATCGTCTTAAATAAACTGTTTCTACAACTGCTCAAGCACGCCTGGCAGTGTACAATATTTGTCTTGATAGTGATCCTTTAAATCACCAGGATGTAGTATTTCTATTGCAGTTGGCTCTACCTGAATAGAGGCATTATGAGTAAATCTTTTGACGCAGAGTGTCAGCAGCAGAAAAGACTGTCATACAGTAACAGTGGCATTGGCTAGTAACATATTCAGCACTTCTTTATCTACTCACCTACAACCCCAAAGTCTAAGCTAATGTTACCCTGTAAGGTTTCTCAGAAAATACGTGCCAGATTGCTAAAAGAAATGACCGTGAAATCTTGCAATGAATATATGATTTCATTCTTATATTAAGTTATTTATTAATTTGTTCCCTAGGCACTGGAACTCAGTAATGGCATGACTAGTGCAAAATCGTAACTGTTCCACATCATTCTGCCCCCACTTCTTCAGTGTTAACAGAGTTTAGTAGTCAGGTGTTATCAGTATATACGCAGCTAGCTGTATACAGAGCGGAGGCTGGATTTATATGAATGAGGAGGGGTAGCATGTGTCATGCTGTGCAGAAACTAATTTATTTAAAGTGTCAGGAATATGACATTTTATGTTCTGAATTAATACATAGCATGCAGCTGGTTCATGTTATAGCTACTATTGTTCTCTAGGCTTTATTGCTACAGTGGCTATGTGTGAATTATGTTCATGCCCTTATCTTGTTCTAGAAAATTGCTGCATTTAGTATACAGTTTGGTGAAAGTAAATTGTATTAGACAGTGCATTGATATTATCTATCTATCTATCTATCTATCTATCTATCTATCTATCTATCGTATCTATTCATCTATCTACAGTCAGTATATATCTACAGTATCTATCTATCTATCTATCTATCTATCTATCTATCTATCTATCTATTATTATACATGATTTATATAGCACCAACAGTCTACACAGCGCTTTACAATATAAGGAAGACTGTACAATTCTAGTACAGAAGGAATAGGAGGGGGCCCTTCTCATGGAGCTTAATCTATCTATCTATCTATCTATCTATTATTATTTATTATTATTATTATTATTATACATGATTTAGGGAGACTGTACAATTACAGTACAGAAGGAATAGGAGGGCCCTGCTCGTGGAGCTTAATAATCTATCTATCTACATTATCTATCTATCTATCTATCTATCTATCTATCTATCTATCTATCTATTAATATTATTATTATACAGGATTTATATAGTGCCAATCATTTGCTCAGCTCTTTACAATATAAGGGAGTCTGTACAATTACAATACATTTCAGTACAGAAGGCATAGGAGGGCCCTGCTCATTGAGCTTAATCTATCTATCTATCTATCTATCTATCTATCTATCTATCTATTATTATACATGATTTATATAGCACCAACAGTTTACGCAGCGCTTTACAATCTAAGGGAGACTGTACAATTACAGTACAAAAGGAATAGGAGGGCCCTGCTCGTGGAGCTTAATCTACCTATCTATTATATCTATCTATCTATCTATCTATCTATCTATCTATCTATCTATCTATCTAATTATCTATCTATCTATCTATCTATCTATCTATCTATCTATTTATCTTCCATTAGCCTATCTGTCTATCTATCTATCTATCTATCTATCTATCTATCTATCTATCTATCAAATTATCTATCAATCTATCTATCTACGGTATCTATCCATCTATCTACAGTCAGTATCTATCTACAGTATCTATCTATCTATCTATCTATCTATCTCTATCTATCTATCTATCTGTCTATCTATTTTTTGTTCTATTTCATTCTCTATTTCTCTGTCGCCCATCCATCTTATGGGTCCATGTGCACTGGGCTTAAAAAAATACTAGTTCCCTTGGCAGAAAAAAATGCTTATATAGAACATTTTTAGCACATGAGTTTAGGAGAGTTTAGGATCAATCAGCATTTTTTTCTGCCAGAAAACTGATCTAAAAAATATGCTAACGAGAAGGGTTTCTTTTTTCTTTTTTGCCTCTAACCACTGAGCTTAAAATATGCCTCCAACAACCTAATGTGCATGGACACAAAGGATAATATTGAGCTGCTTCTACAGGCAAAACACTAAACTCCTCTAGAAGCAGTGTATTTTTTAAGCCAGTGTGCACTGACCCTAACTCTGGGTTAACATCAATATGTTTGTCAACATGATATTTATTTTTTTCTGATCAAAAATATGAAACAAATACCAATGTAAACTGAGGTGGATAGATCCTAATAAAGTGATTGGGCTCATTGGTTGAAGAATTCTGGCAAATATGTAAACCCTGGATTTGGCTATGAAAATCAACATATCTGAGGGCTTTCCTGGGTGTCAGTCAGTCTGGCAATGAACTGACATGGATTGGTTATCCAGCAATCAAGGGGAATTTATGATGAGGGCACTTTTTTTTTCCAAAGAGCTGACACTTTGCTGTCTCAGCAGGTGATGGATGTCTCTGGTTCTCCATCGGTCCCCCTGATGATTGGCTGTGCTGTCTCGTGCATGGCTTTGCTCATACTCCTTGCTGTTTATGCTGCATTTTGGAGGTATGTTTGTTGAGATACACAATTGATCCTTCACGTTCTATTTGTAGAAAGTGCAATAAAATGAGTGCAAGGGAGGTTTAGTTCACATTAAAGATTCTCTAGCCCAAGACCATTAATTTCAACAAACAATATTCACAAAATATTATATGTGCAGTTGAAATATTTAAAGCATGTTATTTACCTGTAAAAACCTCCCTTGTGTAGACATCCAGAAGCCCTAAGATTGCTGCTAGGCACTGCTATCTTCGATGCGTTGTCAGCAGCCCCAGCAGACTCCGAGCTGTCTTTCAAGTTACACTTTATAGCATTCCACTAAGCTCTTCCCCTAGCATCTACATAAAAGATTTGTAGGGATGAGAGTGGGAGGAGCTGGGCCAGCACAGAGGAGGAGAGTCCCAGAAGAGGAGAGGGCTATGACATACAAAGAGGTTGTGTTAGAGAATGGACTAGTCAAATTTTCTAGCAAGTTCAAAAGCACATTGCAAATGAGTTAAAAATAATGTATGGGAAAAAAAAAACACTGCAGGTATGCATGTAAAGACCTGATGTTCTGTGCTTTTACCTGCATTTTTTTTGTGGTTGGTGATGGGTTCTCTTTAAATTTTTAAATTTTTATATATATATATATATTATATATATATATATATATATATATATATATATATATATATATATATATGCCTCTGGATCTGCAAACAAACAGCACATTTTTAAAAAGCAGCTAGTAGTAATACAGGTTTTTGAAGTTCACAGGGTCTCAGGCACGTCTATCTAGAGCAAAAAGATCTTTTCTTCATGCACAAGGAACATGACAGCTGTATGTTGTTTGATTTTTAAGAGTCTAGGACTACATAATCAGACCCGCTTACTTCAAAAAGTAAAATTCCAAACCAATTTTAGGAGGTTTATCATTTTATATTTACACAGTTTAGCCAGGTCAAAATATGTTCAGGCTAAAGTGGAAAGTATTCAGTCCTGGTATCTTAGGAGATCTCTCCAACAGGGACATAGACAAATAAAAATGCATTTTAATAAAGCAGGGAATGGTTAAACCTATTTGTTAGTGATGAGCTTGGTTTTGGTTCAAATCAAAGTTTGTCTGAACCCAATATTTAGCTGTCATTGCTGGGTCACTGAACTGGAACTGCGGGTGGGAGATTCCCAATTGCACAGCTGATGTACACAAAGGGGCAGAGATGCTTGTGATATCGTTGACTTCATATAGGCAGCTAACTTCAGGGCTCAGATTGAACTGGTTTGGACTGAACCCAAGCTCATTTGTACTTCTTGCTACTGCTTATGCCTTTCTGTCCCAGTGATGAGAACTTCTTGTATGAGTGTCAAAGGGAAATCTCTCCAATGTGTTTATGGAGAGAAATAAAAGTCTGCCTGGAATGTTATCTTCTCTCCACGCTACCCAAGTATAACTGTTTGGGCTGAACAAATTAAAGTTGGAGTTTAGGTATGGCAGTTTTTCAATGCTTACGTTGGCCTAGCTTGGACCAAGGAGAGTATGTATGTGCCAGGATCCCCTCAAATAACTGTAGCAAGCTACTTCAGTGATCTTTGCTAGTTTCTGTCCTGTTGCATAATAAACACAGGAGGTCACCTGTTTGGCAGTGGTACCATTCAGGGAAGACTTAGCATTTTCTGAATGTATGCAAAGCATTCTCTGATTGGAGGAGTTGAAGAGACAGTGCAACGACATCATGATCTCCACCTCACCTACAGCTTGCATTCATTAAGAAAATGCAAAGTGTTCTGTGAATGACGCCCGTGTCAAGCAGGAGACACTGTGTTCAGTGAGCAGCATGGCGACCTCCTGGTTGACCCAGGTGATAGTGGCAATTACTGTAGAGCTGGTACCCATTACAGTTGTGCTGTCCTAGAGTTAGCCAACAGATAGCTAAAAAAAAACTGACAGAAGCAGCATTGTGTTTCATTTAAAAACTGAAGTTACTTCTGTGAATAGTTTTGTAAAACTGCAATACAATTACATAAACTGAAGTTACAATATGCTTGTACATGTCTCTCACAAATGCATACAATGAACATATTTCTTGTAAACAGCTACCTACAAATCACATTAAATACAATGCAATGCAATCTAGCTATATATAGTTGACTTTGACAAAAAAATGGAAGAACTTACAGGCATAGGTGTATCAAAAGGGAGAAGGCAAAACTTCACTGTCCTTCTGGAAGCTAAAGTGGAAGTGAACTGATGTGTGAGTGAAGTTTCCGGTTTCTTGTTTCCAGGTATGACACTTACATGCTTACTTTGGTCCAAGCTGGAGCAATGTAGTTATGTAAAAGTTGCTGTACCTAAACTTCATATTTAAATCAATTTTGGTAGCTAGTAATAGGCACCACTTACACCACTTACAAACAATGTACACTGTAGTTTACATTTTCCAAAATGCTACAGTGCATCCTAGGATCCACTAAACCCAGGCAACCACTATATGCAAATTCTAAAGTTTACACTCCTATCACATCCTACAATCCTACAATGCAATATGGGGCTTCAGTGACCCAAACAGAATGTCCCTGCTTTACATCATGGGATGCAGTAACAATCCTCTGTGCTGACATGCCTTAGAAGGCAGAAAGACACTAGGTCCCTGAACTTTTGGAGCTATGAAAATCATATCCACAAATAGGCACAAGGCGTCTGGCAAGGTTGGTTTCATTTGTTAAAATAAGTGACAAGCATGTTTAAGCCAAGCATTACAGTGTTACTAAACCCAGAACAGTAAAATCAGCCTGTATATGCAGTAAAGCAGGCTTGTTTATACTCACTGTGGGACCTAAAGGGTTAATCCTCTGTGATCCTCCCCTTTTTCAAGTGACCACCTCTTATCTCCTGATAAGATAGACTGAATCATAGGCCTTTTGCACATGCTCAGTTTGGTGTGAATTGCTATAGAGGTTTTTTTTTTTCTTGAGAAAGCGTATGTGATCAGCACAAGGCCAATCAGCACTGTCCAGGTCAGGGGTTCTGCATCCTCCTAGAGCAGAACAAAAACTCCTCCTACAAGCTTTCGCTAGCGCTAGACTGAACACTAATAGAAATCACAAGACTGCTCTAACTGTTGTTGAGAAAAGGTATTTAGCAGTTTATGTTTACTAAAATAATTGCATTTCCATGTTCTGTGTTCTGTGAGAGACCGGATATAGTGAATGCAGGGTCCTGGGTTTAGTAATACTTTAAATATGAAGTCATACTTGTGTAACAAAGTTTTCTCAGGCAGGTGCCCTTGGTTCTGGCTGTTGCGAGACCAGACATGCCAAAGAGATATTTGCACATTTTGCTTTATCACACATCTGCCAAGTTACAGAGATATACAATATTCTTTTTACAGTTCTTGGAAATATGGACATAGCAACAAAATTTCAAAATTTTTAGCTAGTAAATGGCTTCTACTGTGTTGCCTGTGCAGCTTGACACATTTGACTACATTCTTCAATATGTATCGCTCTAGATCTGAATAGGTGATTCTCTTGATTTATTTTCTTCTTCAGATTCATTCGTTCAGAGCGCTCCATCATTCTGCTCAATTTCTGTTTGTCCATCCTTGCCTCCAATGTTCTGATTCTGGTGGGACAGTCCCAAGCACTCAGCAAGGTCAGAAACATGTGTTCCCTCTTGTGTACTTTCCTCTGCTTTCAACAATATTGTTAACAACTCTGTCTTATACATACAAGCAGGACCCTCCTACATTTTAAGAATTGCAGCCATTTACCCAGTTTAGTAATGCTTACCTTACTAAGCAAAAGAATGGTGTATTCATCAATATCCTGGCCAATATACATAAATTGGTGATGGTTAGGCATGTTGTAGAGTAAATTTGTACATATACTGTATCACAGGCATAAGCATTTAATATAATATATAATACTGTTAATTCTTACATGATAAAACCCCAGTTAATATGATATTACAATGATATCTAAGGTCACTACTGCTAGAGAAGAAGGCTATTGGTTACATGAGTATTTTTGATCAGTAGTTTCAGAGTTTCCCAAAATAAGAATGTTAAAGTGTAATGGGTCAAAGAGAGCGTCAAATGAAAAATCCTTGGGAATCCAAAGTCTTTATTATTCACATCGTTATGACAAGCAGGGTAACAGACAGCCAATACATTTTGGGGGCCAAGCAATCTCCCAAACAATACTGTGAACACCAGATGTGACTGTTGTTCATAACATCTTCTTTCTGCAGATCAGTCTACTTAAAGTGGTTGCAGAGGCTGAAGGTTTTTTACCTTCATGCATAGAGTGCCCCCAGCCCCTTCAATACTTACCTAAGCCCCATTGCTACCCAGCGATGTGAATGACAGCCTTGGCTCTTCCGGGTCTCTGCCTCCCCATTGGCTAAGACAGCAAGCAGGAGCCACTGGCTCTCCCTGCTGTCAATCACAGTCAGTCAGCCAATGAGGAGAGAGGGGCCGGGGCAAAGCCATGGCTCAGTGTGTGAATGGACACACGGATCAATGGGTGCCCCAATAGCAAGCTGCTTGCCGTGGGGGCACCCGACAGACAGGAGGAGCCTGGAGAGCCTGCGGGGACCCTGAGAAGAAGAGGATCAGGGCTGCTCTGTGCAAAACCACTGCACAAAGCAGGTAAGTATAGACATTTTTGTTATTTTACAACAAAAAAAAAACCTTTAAGGCAGCACAGTGGCTAAATGGTTAGCACTTTCGCCTGGCAGTACTAGGGTCATCGGTTCAAATCCCAACCACAGCACCACCTGCCTGGAGCTTGCATGTTCTCCCTGTGCCTGTGTGGGTTTCCTCTAGTTACACCAGTTTCCTCCCACACTCCATATTAGGTTAATTGGCTCCAGTCTAAATTGGCCCTAGTATGTGTATGTATGAATGTAAGGTAGGGACCAGGGGCGGACTGACAACTCATTGGGCCCCCAGGCAATAGGGGATCATGGGGCCACTGTGTCCTTGCCCAAACTCAAAAAAGCCTATGAAAAAGGTACCAGGGGCATCTCATGGGGCCCCCTACTGACCCCGGGCCCTTGGGCAGTGCCCGAGTTTCCAAATGGTCAGTCTGCCCCTGGTAGGGACTTTAGATTGTACACCCCTTGAGGGTTAGGGACTGATGTGAATGTAAAATATATATGTAAAGCATTGCATAAGTTGACAGCACTATATAAGTACCTGAAATAAATAAAAAAATAAAATACATTTAGAATCGCTTTAAGGGTATGTTTTAGTCTTTTTAACATTCTGCTATTCAGCCTGCCTTGATGAAGGAAAATTGTGAGGCCACTGAAAATACTGGGGGTTATTTATTAAAACTGAGTGCAAAATCTGCTGCAACTGCTTAGAAACAAATCAGCTTCCAGGTTTTATTGTCAAAGCTTAATTGAAGAAGCTGAAGTTAGGACTGATTGGCTACCATACACAACTGCACCAGAATTTGAGTGTACCAGTTTAAGTAAATCTCCCCCATGTCTTTTGTCCTGATTGTTATGACCAGTTGAACAATAAAGACTTTGGACACCTAAGGATTTTAAATGTGGCACTCTTTTTCATTTATTACACTTTGATTTCTCTGTTTGAGAGAATGTCCTTTGCTGGGCTGCTCCCCGTCTTTGTGGTTTACTGCTGAATACAGACCAATTAGGCTCAAGTAATGACTTTGTGAACATTTTGATAATCTGTGAAAATCACCCTTCTACCACAACCTCTTGGGAACAAAATGTTGGTACTGCAGATCTGTAGCGTGTAAACACATTTGCCGGATAAGATTGCTTATGTTCATGTCTGTGCTGGGGGAAAGAAGGACTTTGAAAAGGTGGATTGATTGCTTACATCTGATTGTTAATGTGTTTGACAAAAGTAATCTAAAAAAAATCATAGTTATTGGAATGCTTTCCTGTACCCCGTGGCAGAATGATAAGATGCATCTGTTGCAGAGTTTAATGTGAAGAATAGAAGCAATTATAATAAATATGAGCATGTATACAATTTTTGCATACAGAACGAACTGCGTGCAGAAGAGTGAGGACTGCAGTTAAAAATAGTATCACGTTATCACATGCTCAGCTTGTTACAATTATCACATTGTTACTAGTGCCCGGAAACAGCTTACAAATAATTTGTGCTTCAAGCCCCCACTCTACATCTGCACTGCTTCCTCCCAATACATCCTACGCACGTTGGTGTAAGATATCACTGTGTTCTGTGTCTGATTTCATTCCTTCCCTCCGATGCTTTAATCAATACCTCTATTAAGTTACATGTTCAGTAATATGCTGGCAGTTATACAGTAGATCAGCAATTGTGGGGGGAAGGGGGTTGGGGTGGTAGGAGTAGAAGAGAGAATCAATGTAGGAATGAAGTGGTGGGTGGTGGTGTGTCAAAGGTGTATTTTCTTTGTTGATTGCACCTAAAAAAGGGCAGATGAATAGAATTGTTCAAGAAAATGACAGTTAAGAGGGAACAGGGATCGCACAATAGGAACTTAGTACAGACAATGTGGTGGTGGCGATGGCAGGGTGGGGGGGCCAGCCCTGAAAACTCCAGCTTCTATGTCACTATATGCATTCCCTTTTTATATTATATGTTACTAGGTTGCTACCAGCATTCATCCTCGTCTCTGCATCTGTCATTCACTAACAAACAAACATACCCTAGCTATAAATGTCCCTATAACTAGTGATTTATTGCTGAAATAAAAGTATTGCTTTTAGTTCAGAAGCTTGATAAGAAAGTGACGATGGGAACAGCACAGTGAACACTAAGGCTGTAGTCGGTTGAAGGAGGGGAATAGGGGCAGCTCTCTTACAAAGGAAAGAAAGATGTATGATTTGATTTGTATTTGAATAATTATTGGGTTTCCACTAACTACAACCTTCAATGAGAGAAAATGTATGAGTGAAGGGGTCATTGTTTTCACCTGCAGCCCAAAAGAAGGAAAAATGTTCTCGCAAACCCCCCTTCCACACCAACAATCGTCTAATGGAGATGATTAATTTTCTTAAAGTATATGTATACCCAATCACCTAAATCTCATATAACATATATTTAAAATATAAGTGTACGTTTAAACAAATATGTTTAAACATGTTATTTTCAATCTTTTTAAATCTGCAGCTTTTGTTAAAATAACACCTGGTGGTGATTATTATTATTTTACAGGATTTATATAGCGCCAACAGTTTGTACAGCGCTTTATAATATAAAGGGAGACAGTTTAATTGCAATACATTTCAGTAAAGAAGGAATAGGAGGGCCCTGCTCGTGGAGCTTACATTCTAAAGGAAGGTGGGGAGGTGGTACAAAGGTGATAGCTGCAGGGGATCATATGATGGAGGTGACTCAAGTACAGTTCTTAGGTGGAGGTGGGGTAGGCTTCCCTGAATAAGTGAGTTTTCAAAGATCACCTAATGGCAGACAGGGTGGGCGCTGAGAGGACATACTGGGGTAGGGAGTTCCTGAGGATGGGAGAGGTTCTGGAGAATTCCTGGAGGAAGGTGACAAGGGAGCTAGAGAGATCTTGCCATACAGGATATTATATAGGCACTTCCTGTTATTGGGTGACAACACTCTGTTCTGGCTCCCAGTTGTGCTCCTGTATGATCAAAGGATTCCAATAGAAACAAGTGATGTTTTAACACATAATCTGGAGGCATGGACCACTATTTTCACCATCAGTATGCACACTGATAAATGCCATGCAGCCATCATATGAGGGCAGCATGTAGGCAGGAAGTGATTTCAAAGAGGTTGCAGGAGCTCAGCTGCACTGGGATGCAACAAAGAATAAAAAAAGGTGAAAACATTATTGGGGGAAAAAGGCAGTTGTTTATGACACACAGTGGTTGAATTACTAAATCTGGAGAGTGCAAAATCAAGTATGGCTGTGCATGGCAGCCAATCAGCTTCTAACTTCAGCTTGTTCAGTTAAGTTTTGACAAAAAATCAGGAAGCTAATTGGTTTCTATACAGAGCTGCACATGATTTTGCACTCTCCGGTTTTAGTAAATCAACCCCAGTGTTGGCAAACCACATATCATATATTATAGCAGGGGTCTCCAAACTTTCTAAACAAAGGGCTAGTTTACTGCCCTTCATTCTTTATGGGGGCCGGACTGTGGCCAATGGGAGTGGAAAATGTTCTGGTATCAGTGAGAGTAAACAATGCCCCATCATTGGTATTACGAAAAGCAATAGTGCTCCATCGTTGGTATCAATGGGAGGAATAGTGCCCACTTATTTGTGTCAATGGGAGGAATAATGTCCCATTATTGGTTTCAATGGGAGAAATAGTGCGCCATCATTGGTACCAGTTGGGGGAATAGCTCCCCTTCATTGGTGACAGTGGGAGGAATATTGTGCCATCGTTGGTGTCAATGAAAGGAATAGTGCCCCATACTTAGTGTCAGTGAGAGGAATAGTGCCTATTGTCTGTGTCAGTGACAGAAACTATGCCCCTCTGTTGCTGACAGTGTGGGGAAAATTGCTCCAAGGGCAAGACAAATGCAAGCAAAGGCCACAACTGGCCCCTGGGCCATAGTTGATGACCACTACATTAGAGCTTACATCTGCTTAAAGTTAGCTATGTAGTTAGTGTTGTGGTGGTATCTCCCATATAAGACTCTTTGTATTTCAAAAAGCACTAGTGGTTATACTGCATAGTATGCATGTTTGAGTTCGATAGTAGCTTCCTTATCCAGAAACGAATGCCCTTGGACTTAACCTGCTATAGCTGCCGCTATGGCACTGACTTGGCTGGTGCCTGAAACTCAGTACTGTGGTTCGTTTTTAACTAACCCTTGGATCTTTTTCTCTGCAGGCTGTCTGTGCTCTCATTGCTGCTTTCTTGCACTTCTTCTTTCTCTCATCCTTCTGTTGGGTATTGACCGAGGCCTGGCAATCCTACTTGGCTGTCATTGGGCAAATGAGAACACGTCTGGTCCGTAAACGTTTCCTATGTCTGGGTTGGGGTAAGAGAAAAGTGTACACCATCTCTCATAGGGCATAGCCAGTAGTTTTACACTTTTTTTCTGTACCTTGTTTGATTGTGGCTCATGGCACTGGAGAGGAAAATACAGTATTGTTATTATTATTATTATAATACAGTGTTTATATAGCGCCACAAAGTTTGCTCAGCGCTTTACAATATAGTGGGGGACAGTACATGAGACAATACAGTAACAAAACAATATACGAGAGGTTCGAGGGCCCTGCTCTTTTGAGCTTACAATCTAGGAGGGAGAGGATAGGGGTACAGGAGGAAGTGGGCTGTGGGGGATGGAGTGGTAGGAGGAGTGGAGGAGAACGGTTGTTAGGTGAGGGTGGGGTAGGCTTCCCTGAAGAGATGGGTTTTCAGGGTGCGCCTAAAGGTGAGGAGGGTAGGTGACAGTCTGATGGATTGGGGTAGTGAGTTCCAGAGGATGGGGGAAGTCCTGGAGAAGTCCTGCAGTCAGGCGTAGGAGGAGGAGACCAGGGAGCTAGAAAGTAGGAGGTCTTGTGAGGAGTGAAGAGTACGGGCTGGGTTGGGTATCAGGTCGGTGAGGTAGTTTGGGGCAGTGTTATGAATGGCTTTGTATGTCAATGTTAGTAGTTTGAATTTAATGCGTTGGGCATACAGAAGCCAGTGGAGGTGGATGAGTCTGGCCACTGAGTTCAGGATAGACTGAAGCGGGGATAGTCTGTGATGAGGTAGGCCGGTGAGGAGGGAGTTGCAGTAGTCGAGTCGTGAGATAATAAGGGAGTGAATGAGTTGTTTAGTAGTGTCTGGGGTTAGGAACGAACGTATTTTGGATATGTTGCGGAGGTGGAGCCTGCATGAGTAAGTAGTAAACATTTATGCACCAATGCCACTGTGATTCCAGTTTCTGTATGAGCCATTATATTTGTAGGTATAATTAATTAAAGAACATTACCAGGTACTGATTCATTGTAGCCTACACATTGTACAGTAGCTGTAAAGTCTCTGATCATTTATTAGTGCAAAGCTGTTTCAGCCTTATCTTACTTGAGTGTTAACTATACATGTGTTATATTCACAACATTCTCTCAAATTTCGCACATATTTTATTTAACCTAAGTAATTAGGTCAAAAATGAACTATGATGTATCTCTGTGGGTGGACTGATTAATGGATTAAGCGAATGTGTACCAATTACATCTGCATCCATTTAGGTTTATTGGGCCAAACACAAGTTTGCATCAAGATCTACTTTTGGGGACATGGCTGGATAAGTTCAGATATAGGCAGATGCACTCACATTTACATCCAGCTGCCCCTAGGGATTACATGGGTTCGGTATGGAATGGACATGGATGTCACATCTGAGACCGAACAGATATGCTAGTATGAAAGGGGCCTAAAGTCTGCATATTCTCCATGGGCTAGTGTAGGTTTTCTCTGGGTACTTGGATTTCCTCCCACAGTCTAAAAACATTTTGGTAGGTGAACTGGGTCCTGTCTAAATTGGCCCTAGTATGTACTGTACAGTAAGTGTGCATATATGCATGTGAGATAGGGATACGTTTCTAAACCACTTGAGAGCAGGGACTGATGCAAATGTACAGTATGTAAAACACTAAATTGCCTGTAATAAATACAGTATGTAATTACATAAACTGGTGCACCAGACACATTTTTATACTTTTTACATTTGGTTATCATGAGGAAGAAATAGGACCTTGACCCCAAAGGGGGAATTTCTTCTTGCTTTTTGTGTAGTCACTGGAACAAGAAGTGAGGAGAATCACTCAAACGGTGCTGTCTTTCTGTTGTTTTTTTTCTGCCATCTTCTGTCCCAATAGACAATTTCCCTTCTCTCCCTGTTCGGTTTGGCACCCATCACCCGGACAAAAAAATGAAGGGAAATCTTTGCTTATGGGCACACCAACAGCAGTAAAATGTTTTAAATAGCTGCCAGGGTCCCTGTGGGGGAATTATCCTGCACTCCCTGTTTTGACTGTTACTCATTACATAGAAGGAAAGTCAGTAGATTTTGTGTTACTTCCAGTTCTGTCTGCTATCCATAAAATGGAACAGGAAGTGGGAAGATTTTTCTTTACTCACAATCTGTCTGACCTTTCATAGATAGGAAATACTGAAGTTTTTCCCCACTTAATGTTCTGTCTGAAATGAATCAAATATACAGAAAATAAAGACAGAATTTCCAGACAGCAATACAAAGTTGGCAGGTTCTAACCTTTCCTCACTAGAAATTAAATAAATATGGTTTGGCTGGAATTGTACTGTAAAAACTACATGTTTGCTAATTAACACTTTATCATTTAGGACAGTGGGGAAGAGTTAAAAACGTAGTTCGTAATGTATTGTAGAATACACTGATCATGCTTGCCAACTGTCCTGGATTTGTCTGGACAGTCCCATTTATAACACTGTTGTCCTGCACTGATTCAGTCCAGACAAGTGTCCTAAGAAGACATTGTAGAGGTATCCCTAGTGCCCGGCATGCAAGGCACTTGCCCCTAAACTGGTCCTGACACTGCACTGCCCACACTTTTCAATTTTCTACTGCCAGCTCTCCTGTCCCAGCCACTCTTCAGAGCCTAGATTTGGTGGCTTTAGCGCTCAAAAGTGTCAGGCACCTCTCAGGGCAGACAAACAGCAGCTGAACGACCCCCTTGCTTCTCCTTGACACTAAAGTATCTCTCATACTGCTGAGTGCATGGGTTCAGACAGCCTTTTCCAGCAGCAACAAACAGGAACATTGGAGAAGACCCTCAGCTGTAGCCTCAGCAGTAGAGGAACCCCTCAGCAGCCTAAAGCATAGGACAGCATGAGCCAGGTAATCAGACACTCATTGAGCACCACTGACCCCTTGTTAACCCCACTAGCCCCCTGTTCACCTCACTGCCTTCTATCCAACCTGCTGCCCCTGTTCACCTCACTATCCTCCTGTTCACCTCACTGCCTCTATCCACCCCACTGCCTCTTGTTTACCCCAGTGCCCCCTATCTGTCCCAACCACTGCCTCTCTGTCCCAACCACTGCTCCTCTGTTCACTTCACAGCCTCCATGTCCACCCTACTTGCCACAGATAATGACCACTTTTTTGTGGGCATTTTTCCCCCAACTAACTACAAATAGCAAGCATTTTTTTTCCTTCCACTTACCACAGATAGTGGTAATTTTTTCCTTTTTCTAACTGCAAATGGGAGGTATTTCTTTCCTCCCACTGAACATAAATAGCAGAAATTTTTTTTCTCTTTCTCTGTCCACAAATCACAGATGGCAGGCATGGTTTTCTTCCCACTGACTACAGATAGCGGGCACTTTTTTTATTTCTCTGACCACAGATGGCAGACATTTTTTCCCCCTCAATGACAACAAATTGTGGACATATTTTCCTTTCTCTGACCACAGATGGCAAACATTTATTCCTCCCACTGACGACAGGTAGCAAACACTTTTCCATTCTCTGACCACAGATGATGGGCACCCTCACCCCACTGACATTTTTTTCCTCTCGCTGTCCACTCATAGTGGCTATTTTTCATCCCGCTAACCACAGATGGTTGCCATTTTTTTTCTCACACTATTCAATCTGATTGTATAATTTCCCCTAGATCTACAGCAACTATGTATTATAAGGGCCTGTGTGATGGGATAGAAATTACTTAGATTTTATATGTTTTTCTCATATTACATTACAATCAGATTCTAGTGTGTATGGCCACTCTCAAACAGAATGCATAGACTAAAAGTTGTAGCTAGCTAAACTAACTCATAAATAATTTTACTAATGAACATTACCTTCTTAGCTACATTTCCGTCCATATTATGAGAAATATTAATATACTTTAAAATTAAATTGTACTATAGGTTTCCTATATGCTTCATGTAAAACCACACCAAATTTAAAGAACTCCTGCCCCTTATTAAGTAATTCTCCTCCTACAATGGCTTGCTGGACTCACAGCAAAAAAAAAGTGTCCCTGAAAATTTATTTGAAATGTTGACAACTATGCTCTGATAAGCAGGTGCAGCCACTGATCGACAAAAGTTTTCCATCTTTTTCTTCCATCTCATGCAACAAATGTTGATCTAACAATCAACTTCTGTTGAAGAGGGGCAGTCACATACTAAGGCAGGCCATACTGTATATCAGGGGTGTCAAACTGGCAGCCCTCCAGCTGTTGCAACACTACAAGTCCCATCATGCCTCTGCCTTTGGGTGTCATGCTTATAACTGTCAATCTTGCAATGCCTCATGGGACTTGTAGTTTGGCAACAGCTGGAGGGCCTCCAGTTTGCCACCCATGGGTTGCAGGAAAGAAAATTGCTTGATTCCCCCCATCAGCACAGCCAGTGTAAATGGAGGAATCCCTCCTGCACCCCTATTGTGTATTAGGCACAGTGATTATTGATAGCGGCTGTAACCACTGGCAATAATTGAATGTAATAATCCGACATGCTGCCTGTGCCCAAGTCGATCAATGGATTGACTTAGATAAAATTACCCTGCCCATAGATGGTACAACCCTTGACCGGTCCCTGCTAAACAGATCAGAACCATCTGTGGCCAGTTTAATTAAATTCGGATGGTCCCTGCTGATCCAGCTGAATATCAGTCAATCTATGGCCACCTTTAGTAAATTATAAGAGAAATTAGGAAATTTGGTGAACAGGGATGATTGAGTCACAATCTGAACTTTTATCAAATGGGAGTAGAGTGGATTTTTTTGTCTGCTATCAGATTTTAAGACATGAATGACTAGAACACATCAGTTCAGGATGCAGCCTTCAGATCCCCATTGTATTTGCTTCTGAATTGAGTTCAAAGTGGACTGTTAGTTTTTTTGTCATCTGTAATGTATCACTACTAGCTCAGATTTTTTATTTCAATTATTACTCTTTTACAGGATTTATATAACCATAACTGCTCACCCAGTGCTTTACAAAATAAAGGGAGATAGTACAGTTACAATACAATTCAATACTTGAGGGTTAGGAGGGCCCTGCTCGTGAGAGCTTATGATCAAAAAGGGAGGGGCAAGTGATACAAAAGGTAATAACTGTGTGGGATGAGTTGACAGCGAAAGTAAAAGCACAGTTTTTAGGTGAAGGTGAGATAGGATTTCCTGAAAAGATGAATTTTCAGGGATTGTCTAAAGGCAGACAGAGTAAAACATAGTATGACAGATGGTAGTAGGGAATTCCAGAGGATGGGAGAGGATTTGGAGAAGTCCTGTAAGAGAGCTTGGGAGGAGCTGACAAGAGAGCTATAAATCAGGAGTTTCTGGGAGGAGCGGAGACGATAATTTGGGTGATATTTTGAGACAAGTATTGTGATGTAGCTGAGAGTAGAGTAGTGGATGGCTTTGTAAATTGTTTGGTATTTTGAATTGTATGCATCGGTTGAGCAGAAACCAGTGGAGGAAATTATGTAAAGACGGGTTCAACAAGAAGGGAGTTGCTCTCTTTTTAGTTTCTGCTCATTTTAATGTGCCTTTTCTCTTTTTTTTGCTGTAGTGACACTACTATGTAAAAGAAAACAGCAACATTCTAATAATATCCCATGTCACAGTATTCAATGTAATTATAGCTGATAAAACGAAAGACACATTGTCTGTTGTCATCAAAACACTATTTTTATTCTAAAGATAAAAAAGGATAACCACAAATTATAGTTAAAAATATAAGCCAAGTATATGCCCATTTGTCTGTTAAATGTAGGGGCCCATTAGGTACAGAATATATAACTAATATATATTCTATGTTATACAACTAAATATAATATATTCTATGTTTTAGAAGCAAAATATGTTGTCTCCAGTTACCACTAGCTTAATGAGCTGGAATTAGATTGTGTGCTCCCATGACTACTGTCTTATGCTGTATCTACCCACCCGATATGAGTGGTTAGACTTAGGCCCCATCACACTATCAATCCTGTCACTGGAAGTAATTGGATCACTGGAAAGTGTGGAGAAAACACTATGAACCACTCATCTGTTTCTACAGCATTGCCACTTACTGGCTGGAAGTGGGAGATTTTGCTGAATGTTAGCATGCCATGAGGCAAGGTTTGGGTGGTCCTACAAGTAAGAGCGTGATGCCATAAAAATAACTGCTTTTGTCCTATTGGCAGAGACAGGACTACTAGTCTGATATGGACCTTAAGCTGGTCATACATTATACAATTTTCTTGTTCAATTCCCTTTAGATTTTCTTCAACTGTGTACTACAAGGGCCTGCCTGACTACATACAAATTGAACGTGTTTAGGTGTGACCTCATTATATGGCTTTGGTAAATCTAAAGGAAAATTGTATAATGTATGGCCAGCTTTAAAACACATATAATATGGGATTATAACCACTCAAGATACAAAGGTTGGGGGTTAAGAGACTCAAGGAGACAATTATCCACTTTGCTTCTATACAGCTAGGACCAATGATCAGATGGACAGGCTATCACACAAGCAGGCAGGTCAGATCAAGGTGTATGGACCCAGAGCGGATGAACGAAAAGTACACTCTTCCACCAAAAAAATGGACCACTGGGACATCAATTAAAAAAAACAGTTTGGATATATAGACAGGCAGAGGGGCAGTCTAGTATATTTTTTCTTTACATGGTAATTTGTTCAGCTGACAGTGGAAATTTGTTTGAAAATTTTCATTTTCAAAACAAAACACCCATTCAGTTTTCTAATAGTTACTGGGATCATTATCAATCATAGCGGGGAAGAAAATGGAGGATCGGGATGGAAAAGTTTTCTTGAATGAATAAAATTCTAATATTGAATGTAGTTTTCATTTCTCCTAATAAATTTTGATACTGAATAGTTTGATTCTTCTGCCAGGGTTACCAGCTCTAGTGGTTGCCGTGTCTGTTGGTTTCACACGAACAAAAGGATATGGGACCCCCCACTAGTAAGTAATTTTTATTTGAAGGAAAACTATAATGTATTTTCAGTATAAGTAAAACTATAGGTGTGGTTGTAAACCTCTGACATGAAATATGAACAAAGCACATTCCACTATACCATAAACTTGTCTCTATCCAATGCACCGAGTGTGCTCACCTGCCTCATTCCTTTGCTGTCTGCATGAGTTATTTCTGACAGGTTTTCCCAAATGCAAGAGATAGGGGGGGAGGGCCAAGGAGAGCTCCGGCACACAGCCTGTGATTGACAGCACCAGACATGCATTATTTCCTATGTGCTGTGTGTGACAGGTGTCTTTTCCTGCCTATCAGCTGTCAGAGTTCTCCTCACTGAGCTGCACAGTGTGAGACTTCATATCCCACCTCCTGCTTTCTACAAGCTCAGACAAGCTTTATAAATTCTGGCATTTGAGCAGCTGTAGAGATGAGAATGCTGCAGATATACAGGTACAACTAATGTAGGAGGATTTATTTTATCTCTGTGTATCACCTGAGGCCAGTCACTTCACTGGGTATACATAAGGGTTTACATTTAATTTAAGCTATTATCATTTTTGCCTTTTTTTTGTAACTTTCACAATTTTTTATATTATGCTTCCATGTGTTGATTTTTTTAAATGTAATTTACAGATGTACACAGCATCCCAAGGGTTGTTGTCTATGGATCAAGAATGTGAAAAGCATCCTTGCTCAGTGACTGCTGAGAAAAGCTCAGTTAGCCTAGGGCTACACAAATGATTAATCTATTTGTTACTGTGATATTTAACTGCGTATTGCACATCCTCTGTTTAGCAGTGCAGTGAAATCAATATGATTCTAATGAGATAAATGTCAGCAAATTTCCTGGTGGAGAGGGAATTGGTCGCCACTGTAGCCCTAGCTTTACAGAGACTAATATATGAAAACTGTGCTAGAAGCAATTTTTTTTGAAGGACAAGCACTGTAAAGTTCTACTAGGCAAGAAGCAGAGAGTGCATCTATTATGAGAAACTATGGATTTGCAAATATGTATTTATCAGTCATACCCAGAAACAATGTTTTTAAAACCTTTATCTAATTTGATAATAATAATTATATGGAGTGGACCTAGCATCCCATACATTTGATCATATTAGGTGCATGCATGCTAAGTAATGTGTGACATGCACATATATTTATTACCTCTCACAGAAGGATAAAGCCATCTTTGTTCAGGAATAATTCATGGTCAGCATCTACTATCTGGAATGAAATGCAGGATCAGTGCTGTGCAGTTATTGGCTGAACTAGATTAGCCCCACATCCTCTCACCTTGTAACTTGCTACAAAGTTACAATGTACAGTCTGACGACTGTGAGAGAAGAGAATGGGGAAATGCTTCCTCCTGTCTTCTTCAGAGCGATGATATATTTTCAGCCTCGGGAAAGTCTTTGGACTGGAGCACAAGGATGGCTCTTTAATGATGAAAGGTACAGACACTGTTGCTGTATATAGTGACATATCATGAATAGATTCATATAGACGTCTTCTTTTTAACAGCATTAAATACTTTATTGTGTGCTCAATAATTATCCCACTTCACCGTTGAATAGATTTTCTAAAGATGATGGACCGAGTCAGTACATACATTTCTACTTTGTCTAACTACTTGTGTCATTTGACCTCTAGCTGCTGGCTTTCTCTGGAAGGAGGGTTACTCTATGCCTTTGTTGGCCCGGCAGCTGTCATTGTTCTGGTAAGCACTGTGACTGTCATTGCCTTTGTCTTATTTTGAACTCTGCAGATATAAAATGGGATGCAAGCTACTTTCCCTAAGTCTGCCCTTTCCATACATTGCTTGCTGGATGTAGAGCTTCAGTTTTCGACTGGAACTTCTCTCACTATTATTATTGTTATTGTTATCATCTACCACTGCTGTATGACCTTGGGTTCCTTTGCACAATGGGTCTGATTACCATGGTGAAAAGCGAAGCAGACTAAAATTGCATATAGAAGACAAATAATTCTCCAGTACATGATTGGCTGTTAGAAGGGCACGCAGGTTCACCTAAGCTCTTTCCATTTTAGTAAATTAAATACAATGTGAGTAATTTTTCAAAATAAAGCAGAAAACGACAAAAGCATTTAAAGCAGAGCTCCATCCAAAAGTAGAAGCCTTTGTCCCCCGCTCCCCATTAAGGATTGGCACCTTTGGGGAGCGGGTACCCAAATTTGACAGGTACATGCTCCCACTTCCGCTGCGATCGCCTAGGCGATCGGAAGCGGACGTTGTCCTCCCCCCCTCCCTCCCCGTAGTTTTCTGGGACATGTGACAGATCCCAGAAGATGACGGGGCCATTCACAAAGTGCAGCGTTTCTCACAAATGTGCAGTGGGCACCTGGCTGTGAAGCCACAAGCTGTCACAGCTGGGTGCCCACACTGAAGATGCCGGCGCTGGGGAGAAAAGATGGCCATTGAAACCACCGCTGGACCAAGGGGCAGGTAAGTGGCTGTATTTTGAAAGTCAGCAGCTAGAGTTTTTGTAGCTGCTGACTTTTTTTTATCCAGCTGGAACTTTGCTTTAATAATATTAAATCCAAACAGCTTAAAAATTACAATGCTTAGCTGCAGATATTTGTAACTATTGTAGCACCCTCCTAGGTTGCTAGAGTAAGTAAATTTAGTTTAGCTTCTCTGTAGCCAGCAGAGCAGGGGTTAATTGATTATGGAGGCTGTGCAAAGCTTCACAGGCTGTGGCCTTGTTACCCTCCCCTGTCTTCCAGAACTTGCTGGATAGTTCTAGAATCTAGTGGATGGAGGGACAGAGGCTGCAGCCTGAATATTCATGGACTTTCCACCAAACTTCGGGGAGGCAGGATCCAGAAGAGGTGGTTAAAACCCATAAATGCTCAGAAGCTTGGCAGTCTGGGGATACAGAATCTGGGGTCCAGTTGCCTAAAGAGATCCCCTGTGCTAGGGGGATCTGCTCCCCGGGGCGGCAAGAGGGGGAAAGAGCAACAGGGAAGAGAGACAATAAAGAAGAAGGCTCCAGGACTTCAGCCATAGTCCAGCTAGGCTTAGCTGGGGACTCCAAGCCAGCACCAGATTGTACCACAGCAAGGCCCGTGCAGCAGCTCTCTGCACTCAAGGAGCACCTACCAGCCAACATATCCAACGTCTTGGAGAAGACATTGTAGTGCAATACCACATATGTCTAGGATCTAGGGGGCAGCTTGAGTGCAATGCAAGACAGCCAGGAGCACCCCTCATTATCTCTAGCTTGGGTCAAGAGTAGCCAGGTGCCATGCAGTACTTCCAGGTGCTGTGTCTACAACTTTGACTTCTTGGAGGTTTTGTTCATTTTACACAGTGTGTCATCATTCCCACTGGTGTGCAATTCAGTTTGAATCACCCTACAGCAGCCAGAGACTTTAGCAGGTCTTCAAGCATTTGTAAATAGTTGGCAATATTTCTTCAGTTTGGGGCATCTCATGTACCCCTATTTCTTATCCAAGGTCTACAAAAAAATACAAAAAAAAAACCAAAGCAAAGCCAATACCTCTAGACTGTTCACTGAGGCTGTGGATAGAAAGTGGAAAATTTTTGTTGCCTGGCTGTGGGTGCTGTGTGGGGGAATAGGCCCCAATCCAGAGGCCTATGCATGGGTAACACCACTATTATTGAAATAAAATTGTTGGCAGACAATATAAGCTTTAAATTTAGCAAAACTGTGCCTCAAGTCTGTCTAGTATTTTATAAATAGTAGTAAAATTTTGAAAATACCTTTTTCTTTTATTAAAGCTGAGATACACTTAAAATGACCTCAGGTCTTAGAAAAGCAAATTACTTTTTTTTTTTTCGATCCAGACAAATGCACTCCCTCTTGAGCAGTGGTCTAGATCTCCAGCTTGCTGCCACCACAGGGCATTTTAACCCTATAAAATAAAAATGATGTCCCCATTTATTGCTTTCCATGCAGCCTGGCTTTGACAAAATGCAATTTTGTTTGAGGACTACATGAATGTTTTTGTCTGTTTAAATATCTTGTGATCTTTGCTATAGGTTAACATGCTCATTGGCATAATCGTATTCAACAAATTGATGTCTCGGGATGGTATATCTGACAAGTCCAAAAAACAACGGGCTGGGTGAGTGCTTTCCTCTTCTTAGGCTGACAAGAAACATTGAATGTTTTGTTGCATCATTTAATTAGTGTTGCACCAGTGTGAATTTGTGTCTGCAGTGTCAGTATGCTTCCAATGTTTGACGTGCAATTTGTACAATGTTGTATAGTACATGGAGTTTTTTTTCTTTTTTTACATCATAATGTTTATCTGTAATGTTGATGTATTCCTTTCCTAAACTATATATTCTGACCATTTGGCGTGTTTACCTGTAAAAACTTGGGTAGGGCAGTCTATAGGGACTGCTGTAAGCAAAATAAAGCAAAGCCTCAATTAAAATAAATATTAGGGCTGCCTATTTCATAAATTCTAGATGTCTAGCTATTACGTTGACCCCGTCTTCAGTACTTTCTGAGTCACCGACCTGGAACACGTATGCAAATCAAAAGAGTCAGAGTGCAGTCAGAAGTACTTATCTGTACACTTGTTCTGGGTCAGTGACTCAAACTAAGTTATGTTTGCCATAAAAAAATACATTTTTGCCCAAAGTACATGGCTTAGGTTGTAGAGTAACACTAAGGGATGTGAGAGATTCTGACCCAGGAGAGTTAAGTGCACACTAGAGACATGTTACTGTTCTGAAGTGTGTCAATGTGCATCTGGGAAAGCTTACTGAACCTTCCTTTCAGTTCACCTGAATAAAACATGGTGTTTGGGTACATTTAGTGCAAGTAAAAAAAAAAAAAGGAAGAACTCGATCCAAACAAAAACTTTGCAATAGCTTTTAATAACAGGCCACTTTGGATCTTAAAATATAGCCTATTAAAAATGTCTGTTCTGAAGCTCTAGGTTTTTGGAGCCGAAATGACTGCTAAGATGTAAATCCTTTGATCTCTGAAACAAAACCAGATACATTTGTTGTTCATGACCTCCACTGACCAATAATACAGCATGCTAAAGACGAGTCTTTGGGGTCAGAGTCTGTACACAACCCCACCCTGCCCTTACATCATTTTGAAAAGAAGTGCCCATATTGAAGAATAATTTATTGTCTCTGTCCACCCCTTAAAGCCTAAACTTTTTTCAGTTTTAGATAGAGAGAAAAGGGTTTAGAATACTTGTCAGGTTTTTTATTGCTGCCTGTAACCTCTCTATTTGTGCTGTTTACCATTATCACCGAGGGAGGAAATCTTCTACTCATGACACTAGTTCTACTGACTCTGGTGATAAGGAAAGCTTCACTTACTTTGGAAGGATTTCCCCTCACTTCCTGTTTTGGCTATAGGACAAGAAATTAAGGGTAATTTTGACAATGGAAAACAGATTGCAAAAAAAAAAAAAAAAAAATTATAGGATTATAACCCTACCTTACACTATCCGAAAAAAAAAAACAGTTTTCCCTTCAGTTCTACTTTAAGAATCAGTGTCTGTACAAGCCCCCACCATTGATATCCATGACATACTGAAGAGGATTTGTCACATTTATGTATAGTGTTGTTTTTGCCCACTTCCTAATATTACTGAGAGTTAGTGTCTTTACACCAACCCCCCCTGCCAGCCCACACACACACTCTTGACACCTACACCATAATGAAAAAGAAGTGACCATATTCCAGAATACCATGGTGTCTGATCCTACCCCTTAAGATTGCTAGGAGTCAGTGGGGTTAATTTACTAAAGGCCAGTGACATGTTCATTTTCCACAGAACTTACTAAATTAGGTGAAGTTCTGCTGACGTCCATCATCAAATCATGTACAAGTGAAATACTGTGTTTTGTTTCTTGCAAGTGATTGGGTATTATTTGCAAAGTGAATTGTCACCACACTGGATAAGCTCTGGGAAAAATCCCCTTGCAAAGTGAACTGCTTATTTGCGTTCAGTAAATGAACCCCACCATTGTACACTTCCCACCATTGGAAGTTATATTATGTTGAAAAGGGCTGGCCAAGTTCCTGAATATGTTGTCTGAGCCCAACCATTAAGATCACTGGGAGTTAGTAAATGAAGATGTCCCCACCACTGGCACTTACATTGTACTGAAAAGGTCACATTCCTCAACATGTGTTTATCAGCGTCGGAGGCTCCATACATAGTCAAGAGATCGAAAAGGTTCCCTGAAACTGCTTCTGAGTTTTCTCATTCAGCCAGCTTAAATGTGAAATGTAATCAGTGGAGTTCTTCATAAATGTAGTAGTGTTTATTGCAATTTTGCTCAAAGTGGAAGATAATCACCTTTAATGTGGCCTGGAGGAGATATGTGGCAAGAATGCCCAGACACATACTAACATTTCATGAACTAGTGTGCACTTACCTTACAGCATGCCTGCCACAGTCAGTCTTTGATTTTTCAGATTAACAACATTAACCAATAACTGCATAGTGTTAGGATGAGCTGAAGATCAGCTGTATTGGGTCAGTGCTTGAAGGTGACAGCAAGTCCTTCCTGCCTTTCAACCTTTTGGAAAAATGGCCATGCATCTTAGCCAGTCTCTCCTGTTCTCAATGATAAATGGTGGCAGGTACCAGCACTACACATGACAGGCAGATGCCTGGGGGGATTTCTCTAGCTAGTTATCTCCAGCTGCTTTTAGACAGGCTGATTACTCAGGGAAGCCTTGCTTCTTCATTACCTAAAGAGTCACAATGGGTAACCAAGCCACATCATTCTCCTTAGTAATCAGTCAATGTCTGAGCTGCAGGGATGTGATGGAACCCGAGCACATACCTTCTGACCTGTGGAATAACACTAGATCATGGAAAGATATGTGAAACTGGATAAATACACTTCACAAGGAAATAAGTGCACCTTTAAATAAAAACAGGATTTCTTTCCCTGTGCAACAAATCGGTCAAACATACCTCAGAAAAAAACACAAGCTTTACTCTACCTTGCCTGCCTGTGGCTAGAATCTGATGCACCCAGCTGCTGATAAGCTCCTTTGTATGTCAACGCCAATGACTGGGTCTGGTCATAGCAAATAAAATCATCTGACATGCACAGTAGCTGATCCAAAGATGCTGATTGGCATCATTTTCTATGATCTGCCACTGAACACAGCAGCATTTTAAACAGAGCAGGAGCAATGAAAATGGTATACACTGCAGTGGCCTTTGGCAATATAAAATTGATTGTCATATCAACAAAGGTACGTTTTTTATTCAAAGGTGCACTTGTTCACTTATCTTTTCTGTAAACTATACATGACCCAGATCCGTGATTTTGTAGTTAGTGTTTATTGGCCTACTGAAAATCCAATGCATATTTGATTATCTAAGCAACATTATCATGCTGATGAATTCATTTACTATTAATGCATGGAACATTATGTTACAGTATATACTGTATATACTGTATAAAATGTGTGTACATAATATTTGATTACTTGTATTACTAAAACTCAAAACACATTATTATATAGTTCAGATTTTTTTTATATAAAGACAGTCCCAGATTTATGGTTGAGGTTCTCATGTTTTAGGCATCTTTGTGCTTGTATGTTAGTATAATGTCAGCGTGTTTCTGTGTGTGGTGGTTTTGTACACTTCCTTCTGTCATGAGTGGCTATTTCATGTTTCAGAGATCCCAGGTTACTGTGTGCTCTCCTGACAGTACCTCTGCTCCCCAGTTTTAGCAATAACTGGGGTAATAAGGTTCTGCAGTTGTTGCTGAATGACAAGGTCAAATGTAACGTAAAGTTTAGCAGCAACTTCAGAGCCACAGGTTAGCTCAAAGCGGCCATACATGATGAGAGATGTTTGTTAAATTTGACTGATTTTCAAAACTTTCTAATGCAAAGAAACTCATCTTTTCATTACATTTATGGTAGTCCCAGGTACCTTTACCTGTGCACACTGGGGAAAAGAGTGTAGTGATATAAGACTTTAGCTGCACTGGTGACAATAGGGATTCTTAAGTCAAAGGGCAAAGTAAGATTTTCACTTGATGTTGTCCTTTGGAGAGTCCTGCATTAATGATGTTTTATTAGGTTTAAGATAGAGGAAGACATGATACTTGTACAAGGAATGTATAAGGACATGAAAGGATAAACTCAGGGCAGCTTAGATTAAAAAGTAACCAATCGGGCTGAAATTATTCAGCCAAAGACTTACTGTATTTCAGTGAGTGGAGAAACAAGAATAGCAGTGCTTGGTAATAAATCACTGTGCCTAACACACATGGTAACATTGGGGTTCATTTTCTAACACTGAAGAGTGGAAAAGCTGGCGCAGCTCTGCAGAGAAACCAATCAGCTTCCAGGTTTTATCTTTGTCAAAACTTAATTGAACAAGCTGAAGTTAGAAACTGCTTGGTTACCATGCGCAACTGCACCAGATTCTGAGTGCTCCGGTTATAATAAATCAACCCCAGTGTTTGGTAGGACAACTGCCCTGTCACCTTAATCAGGGATGTGTATGATTTATGCAGGTTATAAGGCTAGCTGCTATATAGTTTTGGATTCATTGTTTAGCCTATCAAAGAATCTTCTGATGGATCTTCATCCTAAGTGTGGCTTGACAATATGTCTGATTCATGGGGGAGTAGAGAAGAACAAGTAGCCTTGCCTTCTAATAGTAATTCATTTTTTTCCAAAGTGCAATGTTGTGAAGTAATGTTGTAAGGGCATATATACATTTTTTTTAGCCAGTGGTGGAACCTTATAACTTGGCTTGCTGATAGGACATGCATGCTTAAGCCCCTACTATTGATTGGCTACAAGTGAGGTGTAAGGTACAATTACCCATCTCACCTTTTGAAAATCAGCATGTCATAGAAATGATATGTGTCCCGAATTAATAAATGTATAAGACTAGTGAGACTGTCAGACACCCTGCTGTGAGTGTATAGTACTAAAGTAGTATAGAACACACTGGGTGAGAGGAAGATTTTTTTTTTTGGTCAGATATATTCCAAACAGTCTTCTGTGTATGGCCAGCCTTAACCGGAAAAAGGGGTGATGGTGATGGAGGTTCCCTTTCCTTGTATCCATCTCATGCTAACCAGGTGCTGCCTTCCTGCTAGTCTGGAGCTGATCTAACACACTGCCTTTTATTTCTCTCTCCCATCTTCACTCTTATTATCTCTCTCATTCGCCCTACACTCCTCTGTGGCTTCTTCCTTCTGTCTCTATATTCCTCTTATCTGCTCCTTCCTGTCTCTCTCCCTGCCAACCCAACCTCCTTCATTCCCCATGTACTCTTATTCTGTATAATGGGTTTTTATATTGATGTGTAAATTTGTCTTCTTTTATGCATGCATTAAACTGTATGTGCTCTTTTGCATGAAATCACACACAATATATGATCTGTGCCTTTTTTAATTTTGTATCACCCTTTTAATTTGTAATATTTAAATATATATTTATCCATAAATCTATCTACATCTGTAAATGTATTTTGGACCTGGCTATCTGTATTTTTTATCTTGCTGTTAAAATATACCTGATCCTCTTTGTCTTATTCCTGTCCTCCTAATGAACTGCCACTACTTTGCATGCTCCTGTGCTTGTTGTGATGTGCTCTTGCAGAATTGAGATTTCCTGCAGGAACCTGCCTCTGATTTGTTCCACATGTGGAGTGCTGCCCAGTGCAAAGCTATCTGCAGCTACTGCCAGCAACGCTGTGTTAGTGTCCTGTGCTTTGCCTCTGCCCCACTCTATTTGCACACATTACAATAGGACAAATACTTATTCACTTATTACTATGCAGAGGATAATATTTAGATTGCATATGTCACCACTATCAACCAAAACAGTGTACAGTTAGAGGAAGAGATAGAGATTCTTTCCTTCTGAATTTTAGAAATATTTCCACTAAAGTGTAATTCTATCCTTGTGAAAAATGTAATTATTTGAGTCACAAAATGAAACCATCTGATGTATAGTTAGTATGTATCACCTATAGTGTTCCCTTTTATCTATGCTGGATTTTAAAGTATCCAATGCACCCAGCTGAAACTTTTCACATAGTATGTGAAACTCCATCCAAAGGGAGTGCTCTAGTTTTGGATTGTTGAGGTGTATAGAACATCTCTCAGTTTTCCTGATGTCTCTGTTCTCACTGGAGAGGTGTCTTCTAATTTCTTGTCTCAGAAACACAAGTAAAAGAGAAATGTCCCAAAATCTACAAGAAATTTCAACAGTTGTCACAGGGAACAGACATTCCCGCTTGGAGATTTGGTTCTACTCCTGTTCCAGTGATAACTCTATTATTTTAGATTTATCCCTTACGTTTTGCCCTGGTGATGAAGAAACTCCCCACCAAAGTCACAGACAGAAAAAAAAAACCTAACAGAGGTTTTACTCCTTCCTCATTCTATGTAAAACTTTATTAGTTGGAGATCCATTTTAAGCCCCTAGTTTTCTCCTATTGGCTGAATCCAGAGGCAACACAAAACAGCAGGGAAACCATGATTATTTCTGCTAGAACACAATGGATATGTCAAGAGCCATGAGTACACAAAGAGAATAAATAATAAATACTATTTTCAAACCTTAACTCAAATTTTGTCAGAAAGGTGAATGTTGGATTTAATTGACAGGCAAGGAAGGTTGTGCAAGAGGTCACTGTGTGTTAGTTGTCACCTGCACAGTTTGGTGTCTTCTCTGTACAAGTCCTGAGTAGTGTGCCTGTCACCGGTCTCTTCTATTGTTTCCGAAGCCACATTTACTCTCTAATTGGAAGAGCTCCGTTGCAGATCCTTTTCTAGTCTTTTCATGTGCATGACACCCATGGAGGCATCTAATGCTTCTGTCACTTTCCTGAGGGTAGGAGAGGTAACCCATGCCAGCATTACCCAGCACACCTAACTGAAGTCAGGGGAAACTGCCACAAGCAGAAATTTGTCAGCACTGCGACTGCACACACCTAACCTGGGATTCTTGATCTTTTATCTCTCCTCACCCACACCTCTGGCATTTCTGTTCATGTCGCTGTGCATTTTATTGTGTTGCTTACCACTTGCTTGCTCTTCATGGCTCTCCATCTCTGTTAACCTTTCTCTCTAATTACTCTACCTGCTTCAACTACATTTCAAAATTCTTTTACTTTTCCACTTTGTGTGTCTGTTCTTTCATTCATATTCCCCTTTCATATTATTTTCTGGGTTTCTGGCATTTTCATTTTTTATTTCATATCTTTTTTTTTTAATTTTCTGTCATTTTATTTATTTACTTATGTTATTGTATTCTTTCATCCACATCTTTCCTCAAACTTCCCATTATCATTCTGTTTTTCTCTTCTCCCTCTTCCTCTCGCTCAATATCCCTCCTATATGCACCGTGTCTCCACTCCCTTATCACAGGGCATCTCTCTGGAGCTCCTGCGTGGTACTTCCTCTCTGGCTCTTACTTGGATGTCTGCAGTTCTAGCTATGACCGACCGCCGATCCATTCTCTTCCAAGTTCTGTTTGCAGTATTCAATTCCGTACAAGGCTGTGTGATCATCACTGTTCATTGCTTCCTGCGCCGAGAGGTAAAAACCTGCCTCCACTACCTATGTTCTGTGTTTCTACTACTTAGGTGATTCTGCAAGGGGATAGTGGTTTACATTAGTACAAGATGACAGATGCCTCACTTGGCTGGTTTTAGTCATATTAAGCAACAATCTTATTTTTATGCATGCATGAATAGAGAAACCTCAAGCAGACACTTTTTTGGGAAATAACAGTGAGACAGGTAGAAAACCGTGCCCAAATCAAGATGGGAGATAACTTAATCAACATATTTATATACGACTTTCTATACCTCTTTAGCTAGGTATAAACATGAATGGTTAGCCAAGCCTAGCACTGTTTCCTGATGGCAGATGCACATCTGACCAACCTCTAGCATCTGTGGGCAAATAAAAGTGAACCGGTGCCTAGACCAGCCTTTCTGAACATTTTCAACACAGATGTTGTTAGTGGCAACTTATCTAAGAAGCAGAAAATCACTCATTACTCAAGGAACCCCTAGCAACCTCTGGAGGAACTCTAGGGTTACAAGGAACTCTGGATGAGAAGCCCTTGCCTAGACTATGCACATCCAAGTATTTATATATTCCAAACAAGGAGTAAAAGTACTTAAAACCATGCCCTCACTCAGCTCTGTAGCTATAGGCATTTTGGAGAAGTGCATCTTCAAGCTTCACACCAGAGGAACTAGAATCACTGATCCTCACTCTTCAGTTCCTGTGGCAGCAGAAAACACTTTAATATAAACAAACACCAGGTGTAAGAGTTAGAAACTACTAAGCCCTAGTTTACACTTGCAGTTGGGGAAAGGAGAGTATAAATTGGTAGTTGAGCTCCCCCACCCTAAATTTGCAAAGGCAGCTGGAGGGGTTTGTACACATGCCCTGGCAAACACTATACCCCTATTGCATTCAGTTGGCAGTACCCCTGTTGACTGCGACCTATTCAATTCGCTGTGCCACAACCTTCAACAACATGTAGGGTTAAAACAAACAGTGAAGAAATGAGGTAACACCTCCCAGCCACCTGTCACACCCCCTCTGTAAAGTAATCCACTGCAGATCAACACAAGTGTAAGCAAGCCCTAAATGCAGACTTCAGAGTCTTAGTTATGAACTTTGAGTATAAATGATTTCACAGTATAAGCAGCTAGAGAGGTCATTAAGGGTTGATTTTTAAGCTCTTTTAACCACTTGTTAAGAATATGCAGATACTTTAATGTCTGTAGTTTGGCATTCATTTTAAGTCATGCCTGATAATATATTGTATGTCACTAGTAATGTTTTTTGGAATAATTGAAAAGAATGAGCGCCCGATTTCCAAAAGAATGCACTTTTGATGGTAGATTAAGAGGCATTTATTGAGAGTAACAACAAGTACATCACGCCATCGCATTTTGGGTGAAAAGACTCTCCCTTTTTTATGGCTGTTCCTGCACGCTATTAAATGGGGAAAATTACCACATTGGGTATATATTTTCCGGGTTTCAGAGGAAAAAAATGACACTGTCATTCCAGGGGCAGCTATCATTGATTCATTATTAGAATCGCAAATCCCATTGGCGAAAAAAGAGAAGCTGTTCTCATGAAAACTGTACTGTTTTAAACCTTGACCAGTCTATAAGTCTTTCTTATTGCACTAGGCTGATTAATTTACAAATCAGTGTAAAGGCTTTAAGCCATCAGTGGCACCTGGTACCCAAATTCCCCCTGTCATCTGCAGTCACACTGTGTGGTTAGACACATAGAAAAGTGGTGGCAGAAAAAAGACCAAGTGGTCCATCAAGTTGTTTTTTTTTGGTAACTTATTTGTCTGAGTATAGATCTATGTTTGTCCTATGCATGTTTGAAACCACTTACTGTTGACTGGCTCACTACCTCTGCTAGAAGTCTGTCCAAGCATCAACTCTACTTTTGGTATAATACTATCTAAGATTAGTTTTGAACTTTCCTCCTGCTGGTATGAGGTCATGTCCCCGTGTTTTTAATCTTGGTTCCACATTGAAAATACTGTCCTCCTGAACCTTATTCACCCCCTTGATGTATTTAAAGGTTTCAATCATTTCTCCCCTTTTCCTTTTTTTCCTCCAGACTGTATTAAGTTCCTGAAGTCACTCCAGATATGTTTTATCCCTCAGACATTTCAGCATTTTTGTTGCCTGTCTCTGGACTCGTTCTATCTAATCAATATCTTTTTGTAAGTGAGATCTCCAGAACTGGACACAGTATTCTAAATGAGGTCTACATTGTACTAAAGATCTATATACAGGAATCAGGACCTCCTTCCTCCTGCTGGTGATCCACTTAGTGATACATCCTAGAATTCTATTCGCTTTTTCCACTACCTAGTCAGACTGTTTGCTCTTTTTCCAAATATCTGACATGAGGTCTCCAGAAATGGACACAGTATTCAAAGTGAGGTCTAACCAAAGACCTATATAGGAGAATCAGGACCTGCTTCTTCCTGTTGGTGATCCCTCTAGTAATGCTTCCTAGATTGCTATTCATTTTTCTCCTAACGGCAAATAGACTGTTCACTTTGCAAGTGCAGTTGCACTCTTCAGGGGAATTATTCCTAGAGCTTAGTGAAAGAGGTGACTTTCATCATCCAGTCATGTACAAGCAAAAAGGCCATTTTTTTTTCCTTGCACGTGATTGGGTAATCAAAGTAAGATTTAACTACATTCACTAATCTCTGTGTCAAATTCCCTTGCAGAATGTGACTTCACAGTGTATTTGCCTTTAGTAAATCAACCGCTACCTCTAGTAGACAACAGTCATTAGGATAAGGACAAATATAGGGCAATATGTGGAGCAGTCCTTTGAGAACAATATGTGAATTTGTCACAATGAACATCTAGGAGACCTTTCTGTATGCTGCTTTAGTCTTCCTAATCTTACTGCCAAAAATCTGTAATGTTAAATCATTTATGCTAATGTGATAAAAGTCCTGCAAAAAGTAGGAAATTATTAGCCCATAAATGAAGTGTGACCACATAAAAAATAAGGTGGCTCCATTAACATTTCATAAATACCTTGTGACTGCCGGGAAAGGTTGCAGTGGCCACCATGGCTGTGATTAAGGATCATTACTCTAGATGAATTGACTTGATAGAAGACTTTATATCCCTCTTTCTTTTGTGCTTCATCAACCAACAGATTGGTTGATGTATGAATGTGTTTAGTCACGCAAACTAGAAACTAAAACACTAGCAGTGTACTCAACTGGGTCTAGACCATTTGTAAATCAGGAGTCTGCATGCATCTAGTACCTACTAATTCACTTTGTCTTTCTGTGGGCAGATTCAAGAGGTGGTGAAGTGCCAAATGGGTGGGTGCCGCAGTGATGAAAATGAGGATTCTCCAAACTCCTGTAAGAACGGACAGCTTCAGATAATGGTAGGTATTCTATTAGCGCATAGGGTAAAATACCTTTGCTAGTATACAGCCAATAATAGAGAAGACATTCAACCATTCTATATTATATATTGGATTAATGAAACCCCATATACATAAATCAGCAATAATCAAGCATTTGGAAGACTACATTAGTACACAAAAAAAGATATAAAGGTTTTGAAATTCCAAAGTAAATCCTAATATCTAAATAATTTATTGGAGGGAGTACTTTCTGTTTTTTTATAGGAGTACATCAAAGCTCACACTTTCTAAGTGACAGACAGTAATGAACACAGGCAGTGACAAACAGTCACAGAACAAAAAAGGATGAACCTAGACTGTGATGAATGGACACAAGCTGACAAATACTGTTAGACACGGACAAGGATGGATAAGCACAGACTGACAGAGGCTGGTTTACTTGAGCAAGCTCAGGTAATGTGGCTCTGTCAGTAGCACAGAGAATGATCATTCAAAAGAAAGCAAGGTTTTAGTCTGGATTGGGGAGGAGCCTATGAAGAGGGTCGCGGGGCATAATTTGTAAGGTGGCAGGTTCTGCTTAGCATAGAAATACACCATTTTCTGAAGCTGGAGCAAGTTGTTTACACAGATGCAATTTATAGGAAGTGTTTTAGGCACTAAATGGAGTGAGTATATTAAGAATAACTATAGGACAGGGCTTACTTGCTTCATTTTCCTCCTTGCTCCCTTCTACCTATAAAATGAGTCATCAGAAGACTAAAGGATGTGTTTATTCATAAAAATTGCAAAGCTACTGTACGTGTCCTGCAAAACTCCATGTACATTTGTACACTTTGATGAATACTATGCAAGTTTCTCAACAAGTTGGACGTTCTTCATTAATACGAATAGCGTGGATCAAGAAAAAAAAAAACCCATTATGGCCATGAGATGGAGCCGATGATCATAGGAAATAAATACTCGTTTACTATGAACCTCAGCATCCTCTAGTGGCCATTTGCAGTAATTGAATGATTCATGCTATTCTTATTACCACTCCGTTTTGCTGCTTTCACATAGAACAAATGTACATGCAGTTTTGCAGAACAAATAGTGCTGTGAATATTTTAGAAATACACCCCTATGTATGGCCTTTTCATGGAGTCCTGCACATTTCTTTTTTGCTCGGCTTTCCGTTTATTTTCATATGGCAACTATACAACTCATATACATAAAATAAACAGTAAAAACGAACTAGTTTTTCTAATTGTAATTTTTCTAACTTAACATTTCATATCCATAATTTTGGAATCCTACTGCTTTCTTCAGAAGGACAATAATCCCCTGGAAAAAAAACAGCTGCACAACTTAACAAAAATTATTCATACGAAGGCTTATGCCTGCACAAAGTTATTTCTAGTGAGGCTGGACAAATCCCAAGATTCAAATGGAAAAGGAAAATAACTGCCAAGAGAGAGAGACTGGCAGATTGCTTCATAAAGGGCAGAACGTGATTTGTCTTCCTGGTCCTGGTGATGTCCTGGTGCTAGTAGTGTTCAACACAGGATTGCTTGGATTTTGTATTTACACCTTTGTCTCCTATGTAACTATGTAGCTTTTGGAAATAATATATTGTTAGGGGTTAGGTTCAAGACAGTGGGCTATGCAAATCATTGCTTCATGCCCCATTAGCACTGGTGTATAGTGCAAATATAGCCCAATGTTAAAGAGTCATTTATTCCAAATTGCATATCAGTGCCTATAAGACACACAGACTGCACAGATTGTACAGTAGCTGTTTCAGACTCTTGGCTATCATCAGTGCAGTGTATGGAAACCATGGCTTCCATGACTCATAGGGCATAAAGCAATTATTTTCATGGCTCTGTCCACTATCCTGAAATTAGAAAATAATCCTCTTATTTTTGGGATGTGATGAAATGAGACATGTGATTACCTTCTAGTAATACACTAATAATTGTACAGTATTTGTTTAAAGTGATATTAAATGTTCGGGTTTTTATTTTTTTTTTTAAATGTTATACTTATCTCCTGCTTTGCACAGAGCAGCCTCGATCCTCCACTGCTTAAACAATAAAAAGAGAGCAGCGCCGGATCCTCATTAGCATGTTAAGAACATGAAATGTATTAAGCAATAAAAATAGCTCACTTACATCTAAGGTACTTGGCATCCAGCATGGGAATGGGAGACAACACTGCAGAACTGTCAGTTATCATCCGCAGTGGCATTATCCTTAGCAGGCATGGGAGAAATTGCTTTTGACAGCTGTCAAAAAGCCACCAATGCCCAGTGTCTCAGTCCATTCCACTCAGCTTTGCGGCAACCCCTACACACTCGTGAGAGGAGGGGGCGGTACAAGGGGCGATCCTCCACTTCTCAGGTCTCCCCTCCCCCAGTGCTCCTTGCCCTTTCCACCCTGCTGAGTGCCCCAAGAGCAAGCTGCTTGTTCTGGGGGCACTTGTGTGTACATGCTCCGGAGCCCTGCTCTGTGTGCCTATAAGACACACAGACTGCAGCTCAGCTGCACCCTGCTTACTCCTTACTGGCTGTGATTGACAGCAATGGGAACCAATTACTCCTGCTGCTGTGTCTCAGTCAATGAGGAGAGAGAGAAACCCAGGAGAGCCGAGGCTTCTGTTCACATCACTGGAATGAGATTGGGCTCAGGAAAGTATTAGGGGGAGCTGTGGGGGGAACAACACATAGAAGATTTTTCACCTTCAGCCCTTACAACCACTTTAAATGCAAGCAGTGTAAATACATGAATTTGATCTGTTTTTTCCCCTGCGCAGTACAGCTCTAGCGTGAGCAGCACAAGGAGCCAGTCAGTTCATATGCTGACAAGGAGCATGATAATGGGAGGAAAGAGGAGAGTGACAGAGAGATGATCTCAACACTGTGCTGCTTCTACTTTCACTGTCCAGTCACAGGCAGGGCAGGTCCATGACAACCTGGACTCAAGTGAAATAGGTTGAATGATGTTTGCCATCATTCAGCCATGGAAACTGAGGACATTTAGTGACAAAAAAACAGTACTGTGGGGGCAGCTGTAGACTGAATGTGAGTATTGCAGCAAAAGTTATTTTTATGGGTTATTACTTTGTGTAATTTTATTTTTGGCTGGCGCTCTGCTTAAAACATTGAGGTTAGTGGTAGGAGTTGCTCTTACATATTTCTTTCCTGTAAGCCCACACCTCAAACTGCCAGCACAGGGCTCTCTGCTCTGAAAACAAAGGTATTTCCTAAAGAGTATGCGTATCGCCAACCACATATAAAAGGTGTCAAATATTCTGTACGTCCCTAGAATGAATTTTATCAAAGAATTGCTCCCAAGGTTATTCAATTTGGTTGTTTAGTGAAGCTTTTCATAGATAGGATTACAACTTCATTATCCGCGTTTAAAGAATAAGTCAGTCCTTTCATCCACAGCACCTTTTAGTCTTCCTAATTCTGGCATGTTCTGCTTTTCTTTTTAAGTGCCCTTTCACCTTCTCATTCTATGTTCTTCTTATCTGTTGTACTACCTCATTGGCTTCTCATCTTTTCATTTTTTTAATTTTTTTTTTCCCCCTTTTTTCTTCTTTAAAGTGTAAAGTGTGTTCTAAACAGAGGATCCCAAGTTTTAGGAAGCTCACATGTGTGTTTCTATGGTTCCTACAGTAGATGCTGCTAGAAATATGCATGCATGCAAAGAGAAGGACCCGTTTAAAAAGAAATAGCTCTTTGTACCAGATTTACTGATGTGAACTTTTTTACTTAATGAATTGCTTATCTGACCTTTAGTCAATCTGGGATAACATTGGAAAGGGAGAAGGACTTTTAGCTCTGCGTTCATTTCAAGTGTCATATTTGCAGTTTTGTGATTTAATTATGTTAATTTATGTGGTTCTATAAATGCTTCAACACAGATCAAAAGAGGTTCTGCTAGATGGCTACCATCAAAGCTACGTAAGCTTCAAATGTACTTTCAGAGTGCCTCTGTACTGAGGCAGTTGAAAGCCGAATCATGTACAAAACAGAATCACAAGAGATCTGCAGCATTATTCTGAGTATTCTGCATTTCCTGGCAGAGATTTTATGCAGATTCTGCATTACTCCATGAACATATCAACCAAATCCACTTATCATCCTCTTCAAACATTTTCTCATCCTGCAAGTAAATAGCATTGTACAGATTTTTTCCCTAGACCTATTCTAGTTTACACACAAATTACACATGTACACAGACACAAAGGCACACCTGTGCATGATGCAGAACCTACATTTTTCATGTTGATGCAAGCTAGGAACATATGTCTACCTATCCTAAAGAGAACAAGGGCCTTTATGACTTGATCAGTGCTGGATTAAACTCTGTGGAGGCCCTTTTTAGCCCCCCTCTAAGGTTTCTGGAGGTTTCTTGTGCACATGCTCTAACGCAGGGGTTTATTGAATTAAAATTCACCAAGGTCCGGGCAGTAAAATTTGCATGCATCAGAGGTCCAAATCTCACATAGGCCCCCGTGATGCACTTTCGCATGCGCCAAACCACATGTTGCTGTAGTGCGATTTTGAAAAAAAGGGTCGGGGGACTTCTTCAGGTTTTTAGCAGGTAGTGCTGGCCTACCCACAACGCATACACCAAATGCACATGTACAGATCTGAACCTGTTCTCACATCAGTGTCCTCAATCCCCACTGCACATCACAGTCCCCTCCTCATTGACTGCAAGATCCCTCTTGATGAGTGTCCTTATCTCAACCTTTACATTTACCCCCCTCCACCCCTTTCACAGTAGTGTTCTCACACTTCCTTGACATCAACCCCCCCCCCCCCCCCCCCCCCCCCACAGTACTGTCCTCTGCCCTCTTCACTGAAGAGTACTCTATCCCTTTTTACATCATCCCTCCACATTACTATCCCCAGACCCCCCCATGTTACTGTCCTCATCCCCCACATTACTGTCCTAAGCCCCCCCCCATGTTACTGTCCTCAGCCCCCCTCAATGTTACTGTCCTCAGCCCCCCCATATTATTGTCCCCAGATCCCCCCATGTTACTGTCCTCAGCCACCCCATTACTGTCCTAAGCCCCTCCATGTTACTGTCCTCAGCCCCCACATTACTGTCCTAAGCCCCTCCATGTTACTGTCCTCAGCCCCCCTCCATGTTACTGTTCTCAGCCCCCCATGTTACTGTCCTCAGCCCCACTCCATGTTACTGTCCTCAGCCCCCACATTACTGTCCTCAGCCCCCCCCCCCCACGTTACTTTCCTCAGCCCCTCCCACTTTAATGTCCTTAGCCCCCCACATTACTGTTCTCGGCCCCACTTCACACTAATGTCCTTAGCCCCTTTAACTTGCTCCCCCCCCCCCACTGTCCTACCTTGCACAGACAGTGATTGACAGACAGTGATTGATTGCAAGGACTGCCCTTCATCCTAGCAAACACCTGCGTGTTAACTTCGGACAGCTCCCACCCTCCATCCAGAACTGTTCTGCCTCCCGCTGTCAGCTCTGTGAGGATGAGTGTGAGACAGCTGTGGGAAGAAAAGGCTCTTAAATGGCAGGACTGCATGGGTCCAGATGGGACAGTGACTTGGTCCACATCCAGACCCCGATCCACCATTTAGTGATGCCTGCTCTAGCGCGGGATAACACTGAACTAAGTAGTGTGTAATCTGGCCACTAGATGGAGATGACCATCACTCCTGTACATTGCATGTACATAGGTCGCACCAAATTTTTTACAAATTGACAAGCTGAAAGAAGATAAGCTTCTGAGCAAAAAAACTGTAATATGAACCTGATGTCTATAGTTTATGTACTTTAAAGTGGAACTTTACCCACAACAACTTGATAAAAAGTTCTTTAGCAAGAAAAATACATTCCACATTAATAATTATGCTACCAAAATTACTGTGTGCTGTAAATTGCCTCCAGCATTGTCCCTGTTTCTTCCTGCTGGAGGCTGCCATTTTGCTGAAGCCCAGAGCCCCTGAGCAGTGTAAATCTTTAGGCTGTTAGCAGATCGGCCTCTACAAATTTGGCACAACTTTGGCACATCTACTCCCACCCCCATGCTAAGCCTATCCTATCTACCCTGTAAAAGGAAACAACGTATGCCCTATAGTAAGCCAGTGGGTGACATCCTCCAGGCTCTGCAGCCGTTGTCATTACTCTTTCCTCTGAACTGAAGCCAGCTGCTATGGAGAGATCATGTGACCAGACATGAGCGACTTCAGAATAGGATTAGAATGGGGTAGGAGTAGATTTTTACTTAATTTAGTTTTGAGTGGAATTACTTTTTATGAAAGCTTCATTGTAATTTTCTTTAAAGATCAAATCAATATTATATAGATCTGTTGACTCGGGCCCTTGAACGGCGTGGGGCCCATAGGCCGGAGTCTATTTAGCCTATTTGGTAATCTGAACTCGACCTTCAGTCCAAAATGGAAGCTTTTGCAACCCAGTAGACAGCTTTGTCATAAAGAACTGCAATAAACTGGTGAAAAGGTACCATTTTTCAGGATCCAGACTTAAAGCTTATCTCGTGTTATTTAACCCCATTTTGCCCCACACCTACTGTATTTTTTAGAGATTCCTCTTTAACATACCTTTTCTTACATTAAAGACTAGCATATCTATTAAAGGAAGAGAAACATTTTTATACATGTGCTAGGATGGTATTAAAATGTACTTATATGTCCCTGCTGCAGACAGATTTTGAAAAAGATGTGGACTTAGCGTGTCAGTCTGATGAGAAGGCCTCCTGGTACACAGCACATGGGGAAACTGGTGAGCTGAATGACTAAAAGTAAAATCTTTATGTTTAATGTAAACCATGATTCTGGACAGAAGCATTCAAAAGATTCAATCAGTAGGGCTTACAGAGACAGTAAAATGTATTCATGTGAGAATTTTATTAGGATGGCATAAGCAGACCAACTGCCTTGACCCAATTCAGAAACTGTCTTGTGGTGGTTTACAGGGTGATTTATTGTCAGTAAAACTCCCCTAGTTAAAGTAAAACTTCACTCTCTAAATCAACATTGATTTTTTTTTAATCTTTATGCTGCTAGCATTAGTAAATAGATCAGGTATATCATATTTCCATGTTTAAAAATATTTTTTTTTACATTTCTTCAGTTACATTCTGCTTTCGAGGCCTAGGCAAATTATGTCATACATGCCCGGAGTCTTCAGGAGGGGAGGAGGGGTTTTCCCAACCAGGCACACCCCTCTGCCTGCATGCCGTAGCTAAGGGCAGATGGATTCCAGGAAGTAAATGCTACATGAATCATATGTGGCCACTGGCAGAAATGCTACAGTGGTGGTTTTTAAAGTGAATTCCCAGAAAAATAAAGTATGGAGACATTTATGGATGGGCGAGTTTGTGTTAAATATTTTAAAATGAATTAGATAGCATTTTTGGTTTGGGGTAATCAGATGCTTAGAAGTTAGCTTGCAAGGTATTGGTAAAAATGTAAATCTGCTATTTCAGCCAAAACATGTCTTCTTTAACACTCACATAACACTGCAACCAACAACAGTAGGGATTGCTGTTTTTTAGTAAAATATCTTATCCTAAGTGAAAGCGTTAATAGTGACAACAACATTGTGAATTTCCTGAACCAAGCACTTATTTGGACTGAAAATGTATATATCTATTAGCTAGTTTGGTGGCATATGACGAATGTGGAGCAGTGATTGATGTAATATAAGTAGGGATGAGTAAATCTTCCTGGGTTTGATTTGCAGAGGGTTCATTGAATCCTGGTTGAAATTCATGAAACCCGAACGTAGACTAGAATCCTGATCATAAACGTTGGCCATTTTCAAGACTAATAAGAAAGCTATTGCCAAAGGACATGAGGAGCTGAGCACTACCGTAATGTTTATTTACCAAAGCAAAAATATAAATAAATAAACAAGAACAGTACATTCTTTTCTTGGGGATGACATGGAATCAATCTGTTAAATTATATGTTTGAAAGATGCCTTCAAGCTGTATGTGGTTTTCATTGACAGTCTCAGAGACACCATATTCTGGCATCATCTTTTTGTAATTGATATTTAATGTTTACATTTAGCTTTGCTTAAATACAGCAGCAGCACCACAATCTGCTTCATTTCAACTTGAAAAAAGACTTTTGTAATAGATTTGTCTGAAAACACACAATTTTATTTTACCCAGTAGTTCTAATCCTTAATTGAATAATGGAAGTAACTGCCTCAACTTATATAGAAACTATATAAAAATGTACTCTTAAAAATAAAGCTAGAGCCCTCAGTTTCATATACATTTGTCAATGGCGCAACTATTTATTAGAATAGCTTGTGGGCTTATTTTTTCATGAAGCACCACACTGTACTGTCTTAAAAGTTTAACAAATGCTGAGTGCACAAAAACACTTAATAAAACAACAACCAAACATTCCTCAACCCTCATTCCATCTTTTCCAAAATTATACCCAAAATGTTAAAAAAAAAAATATAATTCAGGCAAATATTTAGTGGAAAATGGTCAGGGCAGTATATGAGCACTTGAAAAGGCAGCAAATAGCAAAAAGACAAGGCAGGTTTTATCTTGCAATAAAAATTAGAGTTTATTATCTGAGAGGAAATGGCCACAAATGTGTTGTCTAGACAGTATGTAAGCAGTTTTGCTAGGCCACAATATAAGAGGGAGAGACGAGGAAGGTTTTTTCTTGAAATAAATATTACAGTTTATTATTGAGAGACAATAGCCACAAATATTGTTCAGTGGTTGGAAATTGTGTAAGCAGTTTGGTAAGGCTTCAAGAGGGAGAGACAAAGAAGGTTTTATCTGCTTTCAAAATTAGAGCATATTATTTGAAAGACAATATCCACAAACATTCGACAATGGCAGGACAGTATATGTGCAGCTTGATAAGGTTATACTGTAGGCGGGAGAGAAGAGACAGGTTTTATCTTGAAACAAACATTAGAGTGTATTATCCAAGAGGATATAGGTAAAATATTTTTAAAGCAGAGCTATACTCATCTCCCTTTCAGTGAGCTCCCTGATGGCCACTGACATCTTTGACTAGCCTTATTCTGGGTTTTGATCTTCAGCTGTTCTAATTGTCTGGGCCTGTATAATGCAGCTCAGTGCACAATGCAAACAGGCAGGTAAGAATACTTTAATGCAGAAGAGACACAGTGTGTGTACCTGTTCAAAATGATGTTTTATCTTAAAGTTCCACATTAAGTGACAGAGCACAGAAATTGCCAAAAACTTTGAGAAACAAAACAGGATTCACCCTGCAATAAACATTAGAAATTTGGCAGCTGAGGTCCAGCTGCAGAAACATTGTGTGGCACTTTTACAGTGCCAAAGCACCAGAATAGGCCTAGGAGAGGTGGCAGTAGCTGGTAATTGTGGCAGATATCAATATTTTTGTGGGGATGAATTATACCTATATTTTTAATCTGTAGCATCAGCAGCAGGGGACAGGTGGATTTTCTTCTCCAAAAAAAATCCTGCTGCTTCAGTGAAGGCCCTTTCAGTTAGTACACTGGCTGCAGGACAAGCCAGAAGCTCCAACGCACACTTTGCAAGTTCTGGCCAGTGGCCCAGCCTGGGCACCAAATAGGGGTTCTCACTTTTGAGGGTGTCTGCATCAGTTTTCAACCTGATATAGTCAGTAATAATGTTGCTAAAGCGTTGCCTATGAGTGTTCCCTGCAGTCAGTCTGTGGTTTTAAAAAAAACTCATAAAAGTGACCCTGCTGAAGCCACCACCACTGCTGTTCCTCAGGGACCAGAGGATTGGATTCACTATGGTCATGAGAGGGGATCCTAGCAGTGTCAGGTAATGTGGGAAAGGGGTTCTTTCAAAGCTGAGCTGCTCCTCAAAGTGCAGCAAGTTTCATGCAACAGAGTACCTTGTTGTCGCTGTGGACAAAACTGTGTTTAACAATCTTACCCCACCCATGTACAACTCCCTGGGTATGGAAGGGGTGAAAAGCCCCCTTGAAACCTGCCCCATTTTCTCATTCTTGTCAGTGCCAGAACCCCAACCTTCCTCCTCATATTTCTTCTCTGCCTTATGCTGTAGCTACCTCATAGGGATGGTGACAGTATGCAAAGAATCCTGCTTGCTCTGAGACAGCAGCAAGTCTTTCTCTTCCTCCTGCTGCTGTGCCATCAGGGCCTCGTCTATCAGACCACAGAGTGTGTGTTACAGGAGGAACAAGGGAGGGATTTTATCATTATGTCCTGTCTTGTTACAGCTTACCATTCTGGTCACTGCCAAAATGCTCCACTTGTCTCAAATGATAAACCACAGAGGTGGTGAACAGAGCCCCAGCTTCTCAAAGCCTGGCTTTGTACCATAATCACACAATTACTTATTAATTGCATGCTGCTGCTGGTACAGCCTCTGCAGCATGGCTAATGTTAAGTCCAGGCAGTCAGTTTGTTTTGGTGCTACATTTCTGCCAGGCAAACACTTGGTGTGACTGCCTGGTGATGCCAATAACCACTCTGTCCTGAAGAAGGACCTCCTGGAATCCAGGGTACTTAATGAGGAACTGCTGGACCACCAGGTTGAAGACATGTAACAAGCAAAGTACATGTGTGAATTGCCCTGATGAAGGGCAGCCAGCAGGTAGGTTTGATTGTCACACATGACCTTGCCTGAATGAAGATAGCGTGTCCCCTAGGTATACAAGCTGCAAATAAGATGGAAGCATGTAGCCTGGGACACTGCATATGCTCTGGGGTGTTTGGAGGGGGGGGGGGACTACTAGATGTCGATGGATGAGACCAGTGAGAAGAAGGAGGTACAGGTGACTGCATTGTCACCAACGTACAAGATATGTGGCGGCACAATCAATTCCAAATTTGTGCCCCATCCTGCATCCTTTTCAGTTGCCAGCAGATTACCCCTGTTCACCATGAAGGATATGCCTGCTGGACTACGTATCCATACTTTGTCACTGACAGCATACTCCAATGACACAGATACATTACATCCCACATGCTGGTGGAGGGCAGGGATGGTCTTCTCGGCAAAAGAATGGCAGCTGGGTACCCACCACTGTGGTGGAGCTGGCATGGGTGCAACTGCAAAACAGGAGTTTTGCCAAGCTATCATTTAGAGGCTGTGGATGTAGGTGATTTATCTACTTTTTACTTCTGCTCCCAACAGCTGTGGAAGAGATGATTACCCTGAGAAGGATGCTGCTGGAGATAGCAGGGTGGGTGAAGGAGAGGCCACTGATGTTGCAGTGTATGTAGCAGGAGAATGTTGTAGAGTGGGGAAGGGGGGGCTGGAAAGTAAGGAATTAGGCAAAGAAATGGGGACATTTTGCTTCCAGAGCATAGGCTGCAGACCACAGCTGTGCTGTTCGAAGCAGATGTGTTAAAAAGGCTCACAGTGCAGAGCTGGGTGGACCCACCTTGGGGAAAACAGAAGGCTGAACTTGTAGAGTAGTGCTGCCAAATGGATTAAGAGGGCTATTCCCTCCAATCTTTTGAGAGCTGCCACTGCCCCTGGACAAAATCCTCTCTTGCTGCTGTTCTGTCTCTTCCTCAGAACTTTTCTTCTCTGCAATCATTGACGTTCACATATGGTCTGCCACATCATCATTCATTCACCCCCTTCTCATTGCTGGAGTCCACCTGGCAGTAAGCTCCAGCTACTGAAACATCACTGTCTCTTGATGCTCCCCTCCCTCTATGGTCCTGGTACTATCTTCCTCATCCTCGTTATATAATACAAGGAATACTTGTGCATGGCCAAGATCATTCTTTTCATTCAAGTCTGTGATAAAATAATTCTCCTGACTCCTCATTGTCAGTTTGTGGCACTATGACAGGATTAGCAGCAGAGGAGGAGGAAGAAAAGGATGCTTTAGCATTGCAGAAAACTGGCTCCCCTGCTCCTGGGAGAAGAGAGAAGAGGAACACTTTGTCAGTCACTCAATTAGTTTGTCTGTGTACTGTGACTGTATAGAGGTAGAAAAGGCAGACATGCCCTGCTTTTATATGGTATGGCCCAACCACTAATTTGTTTTGCAGAATCTGCTCACTCCCTACTACCTAGTATCTGCATGCAGTACCTTCTGCATTCAGAAACCACTGCCTCTCACTTTGGTGTACAAATAAAAAGTGCGCTAATTATTCACAAAACATGCAAGGATAAATAATAAAAATAAATAAATTAATAAATATAAACATAAGTCCAGCCACCATAACAGTGATAGTCCAAATATCAACGTAATGTCAATCTTGAAAACAAACACCCATGTGCAAATCCGACACCAGATGAAATGAATACACTCACCAGAGCTATATGCTGATTATATTATAAACCAGCATGATAGCATTTTACTCTGGGAGCGATGATCTGCAGGATATCCCAGTAGAGGAACAGCAACCAATAGTGATCCAATCAGCACATATGGAACAGCTAGGCAGCACATATGGAACAGCTAAGCAGCAAATGATCTTCCAATAACATGGGTAAAGCTCAAGGAATAAGAAGAGATATGATGGTGCAGTACGTTTAAAACCAGTAAAATTTTATTAATAAAGTATTGCACTCACAAAGAAGGTGTCTAGCCGACACCAGCAATGACAGCCTCTAAAATGCCACATCCACAAGGGAAAAACCAAGGGACGAACCTCCTGCACTGCGATCAACACAGCCGACAGCTGGGAGGAACATTCCAACGTCACGTCCACTAGGCCAGGCCCAACGCGTTTCATCACTTGACGTCTTCAAGGGGCGGAGTGCCCCTGCATTCTGCATTCGGAGACCACTGCCTCTCACTTTGGGCCTGTCTGACATTTTTAATAAAGATGATTTCCTAAATTTAATGGCAGCTATGGCAATAAGGGGATAAATATTTGGGGCTTTGGTGCGCTCTACTTTACTGCACACATATGCAGTGACGTTCTGGAAACAAACAGCAGTTATGTCTATGTCAGCAACAAGTTTATACTGCAACCCCCAACATGAACATAACTTAGATTATTCAAATGCTCTAATAAAGGGATTGTACAATCAGATTGTAGTGTGTATTACTACCCTTAGATTGTCAGGACTGAGAACTTTGATCCGCCGGGAACCCATGGCAGTGCTGAATTTAAACCTCCTTCCTAAATATAACAGCTTGGTATGTGAACATGGGAGCTGTATGTAGCATGATTTAGGTGTCTGCATTGATACAGTATTTCATTCTGGTAGTACATGCCACAAAGCATTATTTGTCTCCATGTTAAATGTGCATTTGATTATGGAAGTTCCTGCTTATAATTTAAAAAAATACATTTATATTCATTTTCCTTTAAATATTTAGATGACCTCAGTTTAGAGCAAAGATAAACTGACCTGAAATGATTTTCCCTTGAAAAAAGCTATTGCATATGATTACCTTATATAATTAATAAAATATATGGTTCATATAAAAAACTGCAGAATTGCTCATTGTATGTTGAACACAAATACAAGGCATACAGAAATGTTTCTTTACAGTAAGAGCTGTACAACAGCTGTATTTGGAATAGTCTTCCACAGGAACTTGTTCCAGTCAACCCAGTATACTGTATTTCTTTAACAAAGGGCTTGATGTGTTTCTAATGCACAAAATATAACTGGCTATTATTAGTTATAAGAAATAAAATTGTAGCTTGTTGATCTGAGGAGTATATGATTGCCTTTGAGGATAACGGCTTTATAAGGTTTTTTTGCCTTCCTCTGGATCAGCTATAGGTTTAGGGTTTTAAGGATGCATTATTATTCTCTTTTGCCTGAATTTGATGGACAGGTCTCTTTTCTCAGCCTGACTAATTAAATAAAGGTTATGTGATAAGTGATGAGTGCTGTAAAAGTGTTGTATATCATTCGATTATATTAGATATTTTTCAGTTATTTCCATTTTTTTTCTTTTTTAGTTTTATTTAAGGAATTGAATGCATGTCATCCTTCTAGCGTGACTGGAGCACTATCCCGCATCTCTTTAGATGATGAAGATGATCTAAAACTACATAAAGGGAGTGAAGGCCTCAGCTTTTCCCACCTTCCAGGGAATCTCTCTTCTCAAGGAGGAATTCTGCTCCAGGTGCCCAAAATAACCCATAACCCAGTAAATGATCTCAATGATCCACTGCCTAAAAAAGAAATCAATGTGGAGCGTGGACCCCTTTATCTGTGCCCTGAAGGAAACATGTGGCCCTTGGACTTTGGTGATGCACATCAGGAGCAATCGTTAGAAAGTGAATACATGGTGTTGCCCAGAAGGACTCTGAGTCTCAAACCTTTCAATCGTGAACAAGGAAAACATAACCTGAGGCTGGCAGATCTGAACAAAGGGCGCCAGCAAGTGGACACAGATAGTTACCCCAATTTTCTGTCAGTGGACCACATCAACGTTAATTTAACCCCACCCTATGTACCTGCTCAGCAACAGTTTGGGTTGTCATTTAAACAGCCACCCTCTGTCCGGCAGATCCTGGCATCAGAGATGAATGAGCGGAGTCGCACAATGCCCCGCACGGTGCCTGGTGCATCTCTGAGCGCTGGATCTCTCGAGGTGAGAGGTGGAAGACACCTCTTTGTTTGTGTATGCAATTTTTGTAGAATGCTGCCTTGTTCACGCCATGTCTCTCATTTTCACTATCATTGCCCCGTCTCCTTTCACTGGTTCCTCTCCCCAATGGTGTTCATCACAGTGTACCCCCTAGCTTGCTCTGCTTCTGTTAAAAACACCTATTTCTGGTTTGTCCCAAACTGTCCTAGCTGCGCTTTTCCGTCATTGTGTTTATATGTACACCTTCCACCCTTCTCTCAATCCATATTCCTCCCTTCCTCCCTTTCTCTTTTCCTCCTCACGTAGAAACCACACCAACCTGTCCCTGTGTTTCTCCCTCAGCGGAAGCGATTGAGATACTCAGATATGGATTTTGAGGTGAGCACTTTTACCCACACTTAAGGCCTACATCTGCATGGTAGCACTGGGATTTGAGATGCATGATACTTTTTCATGAAATAAGCTACAAGGGCTGACAGCACTGGACTGCTGTATGTTAATGCTATAGTTGACTTTTTGCAGAAAGTGATGCACACAAGAAAAAGACACTCAGAGCTTTATCATGAATTGAACCGAAAGTTCCATACACTGGAAAGGTACCGGGATGCCAGTGCAAAGGTGCGCAAACACTGTCTTCACACTATTTGTCTCACAGAAAAAATGTACACACTGAAAGACAAGTTCTTTTCTGCCTTTTTTTATTTTCTTCCGCTAACATTGGGTTATTTTACCCGAAACTGAAATATGAAATAAATACTAAATGCAAAGATAGACTATGTGTAAAGAACTTCCATTTTACTAGTTTTACTTGCATTTTCCTGATGCAGCAATTGTGAAGGGAGTCAAAATAAGACTGTGCAGGCCAAAATGCTTCAGAGGTAGACCCATTGCTCTCAGCAATGTAATACAGCTGGTCAGACAAGCCCCTCCCCTGACAAGAGGTGTGTATTTTACTCAGCTCTTGTCAGAACAGGCCACTGCAGTGTGAGGCCTACTAGGTTTTTTTCGTTGCTAGAGTCATTTTTGCATATTTTTGCACATGTTTAAAAAAATAATTCTAGGCCTGAAGATTACGTAACACCCCGAAAACATTATATATTTTCTGAAAACAGACGCCCTAGAGAATATTATAATGGTACTTACAATTTTTTAAGTCACCCAATATTTTTGCAATGTTTTTTGAAACAAAAAGATTTCAGTAAAAATTACCCTAATGTTATTTTGAGGCACAATACATTGCCCAGTTTTTTGGTAACATATAAAAGATGAGGTTGCACCAAGTAAATAGATACCCAATATGTCAAGCCTTAAAATTGTGTGCACCCATGAAACAGTGACAAACTTTGGAACCCTCTATTTTTCATAGTGACTCTATAAAAGCCCCCTACTCCAAAAGGTCATGAGCTTGAATTATTGATCTCAATCTGGAGTGCACAGCGATATGTGAAAAAGTGTAGTGCAGTTCACGTTTTCATGCATAGGCATCCCCTACAAATGCATTTGTATTCATACATGCATTTATGTGGGGTTGGGGGGTGCTCAAAATTTTTTTTAGGGGGAGGGGGGATTTTATGTGTGTGGATGTAATTTGAATTTTGTCCACTTTCTTTACAACTTTTTTTTTTTAGCTAAACTTTTTTTTTCATTAGATAAGGGACAAAAAAAAACCCTATGTAAGGCATTTTTTGGTGTCAGGTTCTTTTTAATGAAACATCAGGGGTCTGTGATAGTGCAGATCAAACCACATGTGACTACCGGGTCAGTAACAGGAAGGGGAAATCAACAAAGCAGACATTTTCTGATCTCTCTCTCCTCTACCTGGTGGCACCTGCCATGCTGGTGCCGAGTCCACTTGGTGGGGGCATGCACTGGGAAGGGATCGGCAGTGTTCCACTTTCCATGTTGCATTTGTTTTGTGTTACGTTATGCAAACTACAGCAGAAGAAATGAGACTCCTATTGCTGTAGCATGGTGGGGTTATATAGGGTTTGGTGGGGTACACAACTCAAATATTTTTTTTTAGGCAAATTTACCTTTTTTAGTATATTTAATGCAAAGACAATATTTCTGTGCCCAGTGACATTTACAGATTAAACTGCTTTGCACTAGTGCTTGCTCTGGTATGGGTAGCAAAGCCTCATCCATATAAATTAATAAAACACACGGTTATCCAGTGGTTAATTTAGCATGAAAAACATCACAAACTTGCATGCAAAATCTCCTAGACTTGGGAGAACATTTTTTTTTTACTGAGGAAAGAAAACTAGCAGATCTCAAATATATTGTTTAGTATAATTTCAATTCATAATATTTGCAGCCATTTAGATCCCCTATACAGTCCTCAGCTCTCCTGATGTTTACCTATTGCCCCTGCTCCCTTTTCATTATATCATTCTGATTTGATATCCCTGAACATGATTCAGTAGGCAGGCATGCTGCTGTTAGCATGCTTGTTGCTCTAAGTACTACCTCATTGGCCATTCTACTACTGCTGTTGACTTGGTACCATTACTGCCTCTGTTTTATCTGACAACGCTGCCATGTCACTCTTCTGCTATGTTTGTAATTCAGAGAGACAAACGCTGGAGCATATCCTCCGGAGGAGCAGTGGAGAGAACCTCAGCCAGTGTAAGTAACATTATTTACTATGTCACAAATGAAAGAAGCATATGTGCTTCCCATTTTGTTCTTCTTGCACACCCTGCAGGCCTCTGGTTTTGCAAGTTTCCAGTGATAGCTTGTTTACTCCTTTCACAATCAATAAAGTGAACATGACATTATAAATGCAACTGTGAGTGACAGAATATGGTAGTCAAGCGACTGTCACTACTAGGACGAACATACGTAATTACTTCAATCTATTGTTGCTGACAAGTTGTTTGAATACAAAACTTGTTTTTCCTTGAGCAGTAAGCTCAACATCAGCCTTCGTAGGTGATGTTAATCAATCAGTTGTTCTAAACCAACTACATAGCATCTAACACTAACCTCATGTATGAGATAGACACCCTACGGTGCATTTCTTATGTATGAAGTTGAACCTAAAGAATAATGGTTTTGTACTCAAGCCAGTGGCTCTGTTTAATTTCTGTCTCCTGAAGATAATAAAATATTAATGCAAATCAGAGATTACTTTAATTAAAAAGAAAAGAGCAATTACAGAATACCCACTGCCGTGTGATTTAGTGCAACATTATTTTTCATGTCTCTTTGCTGTGTTAGTGTTAAACCTTTGTAATGACATTTATTACTTACCGGCTAGCTGAATACAAAGTGTAAATTACCAAAAACTGATATGCCAGGTGTAGATGAACCCCAGTTAGCTGAATCAGCCACTTGCTTATAGTGGCACTAAACTCTGGTATAAAAAGAAAACATTCATTCAAGTATGTGTTTATACTGTAGCTTAAAAAAAGTATCTTCTGTTACTCTCAGTCTTCTCTGAATCTCCAAATTCCTTTTATTTTGCTGCTGTGATCTGACTTCATGTTAGAGGTGGCTTCCTTCGTTCTCCATGGTCCCCCTATGGTGTCCTTTTATGAAACAGAGATCAGCTGCGATCCTAAGGATCATTGCTGATCTCAGATCATTAGTGGTTTAGGAAACAGAGATGATCAGCGGAGAACATGTTCTCCACTGATCATCTCAGCACACAGATGGCCAATGTTTGAAGGAGCGATGTCAGCCCTTCACTGGCGATCTGTGTTCTCCCTCCAGATTATCCAGCCCAGAGGTGGAGAATTGGGGGAACTGCAAACGAAGCAGCGGTAATTTACCGGTGCTTAGTAAACGGTGTTTGACTGATCTCTTACTGTAATCTTGCGAGATTACGGTAACAGCAGCCGTAATCTAGCATTCAAATTGTTTGTAGATTGCTTCTCTCCTCATTTGGAGAAGCGATCTACACCGCTTCATAAAAAGGCATTCAGAGAACTGTCTCCTCTGAGAATGCCGGAGAACTGAGCAGCGGTCATTTACCGCTGCATGATAAAAGTACACCTATATATAGGAACGTATTCACCATTTCTTGCTCACATCCCAAGATGTACTAGGGGCTATGGATTATGGAATATGGAATATATGTAGTGTGCATAAAGCAGTACACATGACCACACCTAACATACAGTACTCCTTCTAAACAAATGGAAATAAGGGAGAAAAGAAGAAGTTCAAGAGCTCATGGAGGACGGTACAAGAAGACTGAAAAACACAGTAAGAAATGATTTCATGAAAAATGATTACAGGATTATTAAGTAGTGGATTATTTTTGGAATATAATGATATTGTTTAGTATGACTTTAAGCCAAGATATCTCCCTGCTGTAGTTTATTCCACTCCCTACAATGGAGCCTTAGGCCTCAAGTACACTGCTGCTCCTAAACGTGAGTTTACAAGCTTTTGGGGTTTTTTTTTCCAAAGCCCCTGAACTCAACTCAGTAAAAGTCTATGCTTCTATGTACACATAGGCTTTTACCAGAGTTTTGGAACAGCAGAGTTTAGGGGCAGTTAAACGTTCCTCTACTGAACACAGAAGAGTTGGGTTCAGGAAAGGAGTGTTTTGGCCAAAAAACGCTAAACGCGGTGAAAACTCATCTAAACGCTAGCCATGTTTAGCGCTTCAGCGTGTCAATGGAAAATACTCTGGCCAATCAAATGAGTAAATATCCAAGCGCTAAACGCAGGTACCGCATTTACATTTTTGCGGCGTTTAGCATTTTTCTACTGCCAGTAGAGCTAAATGTCTAGGGGAGTTCATGTGTACATGAGGCCTTACTAGCTTTATTTATCTTATTCTGCTGAAAAAAGAAAGGTGTCATGCTCTCTAATAGAAAATGAATACTTTATCCACGAGAGTAATATAGTCTTGCAATGGCTACTGCAGTTAGGTGGAACTGGGAAATTAGAAACAAAAATTGTCAAGAAGAGAATGAGCAGTGGTTATACCCACCACTGTTAGGGAGTTAATTACTAAAGCTGGAGAGTGCAAAATATGGTGCAGCTTTGTAGAGAAACCAACCAACGTCCAGGTTTTATTGTCAAAGCTTAATTGGACAAGCTGAAGTTAGAAGCTGATTGGTTACCATGCACAGCTGCACCAGATTCTGAGTGCGCCAGTTTTGGTAAATCTCCCCCTTTGCATAATCAGTTATAAAAATTGTCATGTCCATTAAAAGTCTTTGGGGAGGATTTACTAAAGGAAAATAGACAGTGCACTTTGGAAGAGTAATTGCACTAATTTTCCCCAGAGCTTAGTAATTATGGTAAAAGCTCAGCTGATTTCCATCATCCAACCATGTGCATTAAAAAAATGTTTTTTTTCATTTTCCTTGCACCTGATTAGGTATGCTTTAAAAAGTGAAGCTGTACCACATTTACATTTAATAAGGAAAATGAGAGCAACTGCACTTGCAGAGAGTCTATTTGCCTTTAGTAAATCAAACCCTGTGTTTCACAGCTAAATTCAAAGAGGTATTAAAAGTGTAGACTTCATGCATTTCATTAAATTAATTTTTTACATGCAGATGCTGCGTTATGATCATAGTCACCACATACAGATGTTCTAAAGTATCCAGTTTGTGTATATATATATATATATATATCACCAGCTACTTTATTAGGTACACCTTGCTAGTACCGGGTTGGACCCCCTTTGGCCTTCAGAACTGCCCTAATTCTTCATGGCATAGATTCAACAAAGTGCTCCACAGAGATTTTGGTCCATATTGACGTAATAGTATCACGTAGTTGCTGCAGATTTGTCATCTGCACATCCTCGAACCGTTGGTACAAGGCAAGATGGATCCATGCTTTCATGTTGTTTATGCCAAATTCTGACCCTACCATCTGAAAGTCACAGCTGAAATCAAGACTCATCAGACCAGGCAACATTTTTCCATTTTTCTATTGTCCAATTTTGGTGATCCTATGTGAATTGTAGCCTCCATTTCCTGTTCTTAGCTGACAGGAGTGGCATCCAGTGTGGTCTTCTGCTGCTGTAGCCCATCTGCTTCAAGGTTAGACGTGTTGTGCATTCAGAGATGGTATTCTGCATACCTTGGTTCTAATGAGTGGTTATTTGAGTTATTGTTGCCTTCCTATAATCTTGAACCAGTCCGTCCATTCTCCTCTGACCTCTGACATCAACAAGGAATTTTCCTCCACAAAACTGCCTCTCACTGGATATTTTTTCTTTTTTGGACCATTCTATGTAAACCCTAGAGATGGTTGTGCGTGAAAATCCCAGTAGATCAATTTTTTAAATACTCAGACCTGCCTATATGGTGCCAACAACCATGCCACCTTCAAAGTCTCTTAAATCCCCTTTCTTCCCCATTCTGATGTTTGTTTTGAACTTCAGCAAGCTGTCTTCACCACCTCTAGATGCCTAAATGCATTAAGCTGCTGACATGTGATTGGCTGATTAGCAATTTGTACTACCAAGCAGTTGAACAGGCATACCCAATTAAGTGGCCAGTGAGTGTATATCAAAAGCAAACTGGATTTATGACAGATCAAAAGGTAATTTCTTGCTTACCAAACAGATATAAAAAAAAACATTATTATGTAGTATATTTTCCAGACCAAAAGGGAGCAAAAAAAAAAAAAAAAAAACATGTTACTGTTAGAGTTTACATACAATGTAAATATATAAATATAACCCTATGGACACACTTTCTAAAACAACTGCTAACACAAACATTATCAAATGTCCTAATCCAGACATCCTGCATACCTTGATGTCTGTGTTTGTCATCAGTTCTGGGACAAGGTCATCTAGTGCCCAGAGCAAACATGCCAAATTGCGCTGCCCCCCCCTTCCCCCAAGATGTATGAGCATTAGGTGTTACCAAAAATCCCCCCCCCCCCAAAAATCCCCTCCCAGCACAAATCTTTGCCCCCATCCATCCTACCTCCTAACACAAATCCCCTACATTACTACTCCCCAAATTTCACCTCTTAGAACAATTCTTACCCCCTGACACCTCTCACATTCCCCCTCCCAACACAAATACCCTCCCCCAATCTCCTTGTGGTGCCCTCCCTCACTTCACAGTGTCCAGGGCAGCCACTACTCCTGCCCACCCTTTGTCCCAGCCCTGTTTGTCATGCTTTTAGATCATTAGTAGCTACAGTATGCTCTCTCCCGACCTTCTTTCATCATTGACAGCTATCACATGAAAAGTACAGTAGGTTTCTAATACTTTGAATTTTTACACATGTGTATGGCTAATAGAGGCGTATTAAAGTTATATACAAGTATTTACTTCTAGAAATGCAAAAGGCTATAGATGTTGGAAGCAATTAATAGTTGACAAGACCTTTTTCTTTGTTGTGCATATCACAGTTTATTTGAAGTATTGCCATATGACTTTATACTGTAAGCATGCTTGGTTAAAATGAATTGTCGGAGTCTTACATTTTGATTCATATACAGAAAGTGCTAGTATCTTCATTCTGGCATCCTTGAAAATACATACATAATTTTTCAATGTATTTGTACTATGATAACCTTTTTGTTTTCACCATGCTTAATATACTCATCAACATCATCTGGTTCACATACAACCATCAACATTTTAGAATTAGATATGTCTATTAATGCTATTGGAAGAAGATACATTGAATAACTTCTCCAAATTTAGACTGACCTATCAATTTACTAAGGTCAGACACATCTATCTGAAAACTAGTTTCATTCATTGATTTTTATGCAGTTTCATTTATCAACAGATTAATCTATTGACTGATTCATTAATTCATCTATTGATGTTCCCTCAGTTGCTGCTCTCAGAAATGTATTAATATCATGGTGTGCAGATAGTCTATTTTTCCACTGCTAGGAATGTCACCTATACAGACTACGAATGGGAACGCTCACAAGCTAATTAGTCTAATGATCTCCACAGGTGCATTTCATTCTATATTGGCAGCTCATATTATTAAGATTCATTGTGGTGTATTAATGGCATCTATTCTGAAATAATACACAGAATACACACACACACACATATATATATATATTGTATATCTCTTCTATGTCCTAAATAGAAACAGATTGTAATTATCATTAATGCATTGTGTGTTGGCAATGATATGGATCTCTGTTGCCTGACCTCTGATATTGACTTCTTAGGAGAAGACAAGTCCAGCTGGCCCCCATCAGAAGGTTTGGGATAGTTACAGAGTACGCTCATCACAGATCCATGACCGCTTGGGCCTACGCTGTGTAGACTGGGAACAGCCTCCACGTATATCCATGGATATGTCAGATGGCGATTATCAGACTGAAGTATAAGGCAATCTGTCCCTTTGCCTGTGAATTTATCAACCTCTTGGACTCCAGTTGATTGCCCTCATGTACCAGAGAAGTGGTATCAGGGTTTTAAGCCACAGAGGATTACACTTTGCTAATGGAGTACCCACTGAAAAATGCACTGGAACCTCTGCCTGACGATACAACAACAGAGTCAAATATGAGCAAAAAGGGAGAATGATGGTCGATAAACGGAAGTAGTGGCCTTCTGGAAGCGCAATTCTCTGATTTTAAGATGGTATATCCAGGATCACTATTCCTCTTTGATCTATAGAGGAGCCAAGCAGCAACAAGCTGTGATTTCTCTTTAAATGCACACATATGTTGTCCTGTCACACAACTTCCTCTGTTCTGCTTCCTGGACATTGCTTGTCAAGTGACCACTTTCTTCCAGTTTTTTCACCTCCCCCCCTCTCCTGCCCCCTGCCATTTTCAGGTAGGGATGAGGAGCTTAGTCTTGTCATCATGAACTTCTAAAGAAGATCAGCCCAAATTGACTAATCTGACATCTCCAATTCCTTACTGATATTTCTAGGCAATTGGGCAGTGGAAAGGGGGTCAGGTGGCACTGGGTTTTAAAAATGCCTAGAATTTGTTTAAAATGAGATTAAAAAATAAAAAAAAAAAAAAAACCTTTTGAAACATGATCTGAGGTAAGTTGTTGACTTTTTTAGTGTCTACGAATATTTTACACTAATATATTTAAAGTGTAATTCAAAGTGTATATTTTAAGTGTAAGTCAAATTCTAACTAAGGCTAAACCAACCTACTCCCACCCCCATTCTAAGACTACTATCTACTCTGTGAAAGAAAAGATGCCTATACTTACCTATTCTGAAGCCACTCTGGTCTGGTCACATGATTTGGTTCTAGTGCTGGTCACATGATTGGGTTCTAGTTCCGGATTGGGTCCTAGCGCCGGTCACATGATTGGGTCCTAGCGTTCAGCGTAGTGTTCATGTAGAGGAGGAACAATTGACAACGAATGACCCATAGTAAGCCTATAGGTGACATCATCACATAGGCTCTGCAGCCATTGTTGCTGCCTCTCCTTAACACTGAAGCTGGCTCTGGGACCTGATCATGTGACTAGACTGAAACAGCTTCAGAATAGGTAAGTATAGGGATCTTTTCTTTCACAGGGTAGATAGAATGGCCTTAGAATGGGGGTGGGAGTTGGGTTAGCCTTAGAATTTGACTGAAATTACACTTTACGTGGTCTTTTTCATATAGAATATGCCCACAAAGGTTAGAGGACAACACTGCAGAAGCAAAAAAAAATTTGTAAAACGCAGCAATGGTCAAGACTGGTCAAGCCTTCTACATGGGATAATTATTCATAGTTACTTTGAGCTTGCCACTTAAACCCTTTCATAACCAGAAGTCATTGATGCCTAGATGCCCAGACCAAAGTTGACTGTGTCAATACACGTTGGATAACTTTCCTCATTTTTTTTTAATGTTTTAAGGAAAACAGGGTTTTTGTTTGATAAGTCAGTTTACTAAATCTTCCGCTCTGTTTTTATGATAAAACGCTGATAGATGTGCAATTCTTAAATTAGTTTATCTTTTTTCTAATACTGCACTGCCATGAATATAAAGCTAATGGCACTGCAAATGCCATTGCATCCAAAAGCTGATAGTGTTTGTCTGCAGGCTGAAAATGTATGTTTGTTTGTTTGTTTTTTCAGATCTTCCAGCCTGCATGTGAACACTATTTTATAGATGATAGCTGACATAGTGATCATATGAATGAACACCACTCAAATTGGTTCCTGATTGTCAATGAGGACCTGAGCTGTTAGCGACACCTGGGATTGAGAGCCAGCAGTGCTCACCATTGGCTTCCGGCTCTCAAAGGGGAAGAATGTTTATGTATAGTCAACATTTATTAACATTTAATTTCATAAATTAATGCAATATAGCAATCATCTGTTTGATTGGAGCCCATCTGTATAGTAATATTTAGGGGCTCCCCCAATGAAGACTACCATCCTTTTGTTGTATGAAATGCTGGCAGAACTGAAAGCTCACAACAATAATGTAATTTCTCTAAGGTTATTCCAAAATACCAAGAAAACAGAAATCTGTAACAACAAATCTTCATTCTAAGAAAAGCCTGAGGAGGAACAAAAGCTAACAGAAAAAATGGCTAGTCCATGTTACTACAACAATGTATTCTCAACAGGCAGGACATGGACATCCTCTATAAACATAACTGTATGCGACCACCACACACTGAAAATACCATGTCATTCATTTTTAATATTCAAAGCACACTCACTCACCCATCCATCCATTTCTCCATGGTTTATTTTGTTGAGATGCAGTTCTCTCCTTAGTTATTTTCAGTAAGGGCACATGATTCATGCAGCATTTACTTTCCAGAATCCATCTGCCCTTAACTCAGGCATGCAGACAGACGTGTGTACTTAGCTGAGAAAGTCTCTCTCCTCCAGGTTAAACAAAAAAAATGCCCATGAAAACTCCAGTGATGTATGACATCAATTCAGCCTAGGCCAGAAACCAGGTAGCAATTGAAAAAAAGTAAATATGTGATAACTTACGATCTATTTATGAAGGCTAGCATCATATGCATTAGAAATGGTTAATATTGATTGAGAGTGTGTAATTCTGCTTTAAGAAAACAGTATCAAAATAACTAGAAGTAGAAGTAATTATTTTTAGCATATTTAGTGCATATATAGTCACTGAAATGTACCTTTTGTATTTAGTCATAAAATTTTAATAACAATTATATGTCCTTGTGCTTCAAAATAACAAAATTCAAGAATATGGCAGAAATGTGGGATTAAAGTGCATAGGTAGGGTCCATAGCAGGGTGGATCCATGGAGGATATCATATCCGATACAAACTAGATCGCACAGCCGAACATCTGTCTTTGTACAGATGAAAAAATATAAGAATGAATGCACAATGAAGTTTTCGAGGGAGTTCTGTCTGTCTTACCATATGGCAATAATCTTATTAATAATATTGCAGATAAAACTGAATGGATCTGGTAGTTTCAACCAGCCTGTTCTGGCAGTGTGCTAAGAAATATATTCACTATTCATATATTTTATTGTTCAGGATTTTCTAATGATCAACCCCATCAATCCTTTGTACCATTTCCTTTACTATATTCATCATCAAATGTATGACTTGTCTGACCAATAGCTTTTTTAAGGCTTGTGTGTTTTTTACAACAACTGGTTATGCTCCTTTAATATCACTTTAAAGTACACACAACAGGCCTGTAACGGAAGCGTAGACAGGACAGAGCACAAGGAGAAGATGGGGAACACACAAAACTTTATTGAAGCAACAAAATGACAGACACTCAAAGGGGAAATGGCAGGGAGGGTGATGTGTGCGCAAACCAGGGATGATTCCAGGCACGGGGGGTCTTCAGCGACAGGCAGGCAATCTCCCCCCCTCGGGCAATAGGCGACAACCTACCACTGGGCAGGGGCCTCGGGCAACAGGCGGCAACCTACCACTGGGCAGGGGCCTCGGGCAACAGGCGGCAACCTACCACTGGGCAGGGGCCTTGGGCAACAGGCAGCAATCTACCCCTGGGCAGGGGTCTCAGGCAACAGGCGGCAACCTACCACTGGGCAGGGGCCTCGGGCAACAGATGGCAATCTACCCCTGGACAGGGGCTCGGGCAACAGGCAGCAACCTACCACTGGGCAGGGGCCTCGAGCAACAGGCGGCAACCTACCACTGGACAGGGGCCTCGGGCAATAGGAACACGGGTGGTTGGTGCACATACCAGGGACAGTTCAGAACACGGGTGGTCGGTGCGCACAGCAGGCACAGTTCAGGACACAGGTGGTCAGTGCGCACAACAGGGACAGTTCAGGACACGGGTGGTCGGTGCACACAGTGGGGACAGTTCAGAAACATGGGTGGTCGGTGCACACAGCGGGGACAGATCAAAACACGGGTGGTCAGTGCACACAGCAGGCACAGTTCAGGACACAGGTGGTCAGTGTGCACAACAGGGACAGTTCAGGACACGGGTGGTCGGTGCACACAGCGGGGACAGTTCAGGACACAGGTGGTCAGTGCGCACAACAGGGACAGTTCAGGACACAGGTGGTCAGTGCACACAACAGGAACAGTTCAGGACACAGGTGGTCAGTGCGCACAACAGGGACAGTTCAGGACACAGGTGGTCAATGCACACAACAGGGACAGTTCAGGACACAGGTGGTCAGTGCGCACAACAGGGACAGTTCAGGGCACAGGTGGCCAGTGCACACAACAGGAACAGTTCAGGACACAGGTGGTCAGTGCGCACAACAGGGACAGTTCAGGACACAGGTGGTCAATGCACACAACAGGGACAGTTCAGGACACAGGTGATCAGTGCACACAACAGGGACAGTTCAGGACACGGGTGGTCGGTACACACAGCGGGGACAGTTCAGGACACGGGTGGTCGGTGCACACAGCGGGGACAGTTCAGAACACGGGTGGTCGGTACACACAGCGGGGACAGTTCAGGACACTCACGGTACGCAGCTTGAAGACCCTCAGCGGCAGGCGGCTCCAGACAGGGACGACCAGCGGTCAGCGTTCCAGGGACAACCAGCGATCAGCAGACAGCAGCAGCTCTCAGGGCACTCAGCAGCAGACAGCTTCCAGGGACACGCAGCCACGGACAGTGTGCAGGGTCCCTCAGCAGCAGCACCCAGGGCACTCAGCAGCAGATAGGGTGCAAGGGTGCCCAGTAGACAGGCTTACAGACTGGCAAGGTCTCAGCTGTGGGGTCTGACCTTTGAGGAGAAGGCTCATGCAGAGCTGTGGAGACTCCCAACCCTGGGGTATTGCAGAGGGCTACAGTCCTGACCTTTTGGGGGTCTGCAGAGTGCGCAGGGGGGGTGGCTGGGGAGGCTCGGTCCCCCTCACCCGAGCCTCCCAGCATCTTTCTGGGAGCAAGATGATTCCAGCAGCATGGACAGGAACAGAGAGAGGAGGGCTGCTTCCTGTGCGGGTCTTTTGAAAACCATGTGGGACGCGGCTAGGTTGCCTCAGCAACGGCCGGCCCAGCCCTGTCCATGGAAGCTCCACAGACATCGGAATGTGCAAGGGGGGAGGGAGGGGTGGAGGGATATGACGGGGGATGGGAGAGGCACTGGCAGTCCGCGACAAGGCCACACAAGCCAATGTATAGAACAGCAACATTTTGATAAATCACCAGTCTGCCCCTTGATTTTTTAATTACAATTCTCCATGTTTTCAGTAAAAAAAAATAGAGGGGTTACATTAAGCCCTGATTCACATATATAATATATTGCCGAAAGTATTGGGAAGCGTGCCTTTACACGCACATAAACTTTAATGGCATTCTAGTCTTAGTCCGTAGAGTTCAATATTGAGTTGGCCCACCCTTTGCGGCTGCAGCTATAACAGATTCAACTCTTCTGGGAAGGTTGTCCACAAGGTTTAGGAGTGTTTTTATGGGAATGTTTGACCATTCTTCCTAAAGCGCATTTGTGAGGCCAGGCACTGATGTCGGATGAGAAGGCCTGGCTCACAGTCTCCACTCTAATTCATCCCAAAGATGTTCTATCAGGTTGAGGTCAGTCAAGTTCCCCCACCCCAAACCCGCTCATACATGTCTTTATGGACCTTGCACTGGTGCGCAGTCATGTTGGAACAGGAAGGGGACATCCCCAAATTGTTCCCACAAAGCTGGGAGCATGAACTTTACACTTGGCAAAATGCAGTCAGGCAAGTACTGTTCTCCTAGCAACCGCCAAACTCAGACACATCTAGCAGATTGCCAGAGAAGCATTATTTATCACTCCAGAGAACATGACTCCACTGTTCTAGAGTCCAGTGGCGGCGTGCTTTACACCACTGCATCTGACGCTTTGCATTGCACTTGGTGATGTAAGGTTTGAATGCAGCTGCTCGGCCATGGAAACGCATAACATGAAACTCTCTATGCACTGTTGTTGTGCTAATCTGAAGGCCACATCAAGTTTGGAAGTCTTTAGCTATTGACTCATGTGTCATTTTACGTAGCCTACCACTGTGTTGCTGAATTGCTGTTGTTCCCAGTTGCTTCCACTTTGTTATAATACCACTAACAGTTGACCATGGAATATTTCACGCATGGACCGATTGCACAGGTGGCAACCTATCAAGTTACCACGTTTTACTTCACTGAGCTCCTGAGAGTGACCCATTCTTTCAAAAATGTTTGTAGAAGCAGTCTGCATGCCTAGGTGCTTGATTCTATACACCTGTGGCCATGGAGGTGTTTGTAACACCTAAATCCAATGATTTGGAGAGGTGCCCCAATACTTTTGACAATATAGTGTATGTGCAGGGGCGGACTGACCATTTGGAAACTCGGGCACTGCCCGAGGGCCCGGGGTCAGTAGGGGGCCCCATGAGATGCCCCTGGTACCTTTTTCATAGGTTTTTTTTTAGTTTGGGCAAGGACACAGGGGCCCCATGATAACCCTATTCCCCGGGGGCCCCATGAGTTGTCAGTCCACCCCTGTGTATGTGAATTGGATGCGTTTTGAACCGCATCCAATTCTCATGATGTGAACCTGCAGCCTTTCTTACGGAGCCTGTTCATATATATGCAGACTGGCTGCAGAGTTATTTCTAAAAGGGTCAGGTGCTATTTTTAGGCCAGTTCAGGTGTGAATTTCAATGTCATACACTTTTGCACCTGAACAGCTGAACAAAGTCGCACTGTATGGGACTGAAATCATGTTGTCAAAACTGATCCACACATATGTGAACCCAAGCTAAATATAGAAACCTCTTATTTAAATTATATTATAAAAAGTGCATAGAACGATGTGACTCCTATATACATTATACTTACATTAAATGTTGTTTAAATGTTCTTTGGCCCTTGGACATAATGCACAGCTTTTCTGCAACCCCCTAATACTAAAACCTAAATTACCTACAACAGGCCTTGAAATTTCCACTCGCCTGCTCGCCAATGGCGAATGGAAATTATGGTGGGGGGAGTGAGCCCCCGGGGGCGGTTTTGCTGAGCAAGCTCGGAGCTCAGGCTGGATCTGTCATTGGCACTGGGAGCCATCAGACTGCTCAATAGCTGTGAAATAGTGAAAGCAAAGGGAGTGTATGCTGTGCTCCCTGCCTCCCTCTAGAGTGCAGTACCCTGGCTCTGTGAGTGAACAACGAAGTACTGCAACTTTTTATAGGGGTGTGTGTGTGTGTACATGTGTGTGTGTGTGTTTGTGTGTGTCTGCATGTACATGTGTCTGTGTGTATGTACATGTGTGTATCTGTACATGTGTCTGCGTGTATGTACATGTATGTGTGTGTGTACATGTGTCTGTGGGTGTGTACATGTGTCTGTGTGTATGTGCATGTACATGTGTGTGTGTGTGTTTGTGTGTATATACGTACATGAGTCTGTATGTACATGTGTCTGTGTGTATGTACATGTGTCTGTGCATGTGTATTTCTGTGTATGTACATGTATCTGTGTGTGTGTGTGTCTGTACGTGCCTGCGTGTGTATACATGTGTCTGTATGTGTGTGTGTGTACATGTGTCTCTGTGCATCTGAGTACATGTTTCTGTGTGTGTATGTACATGCCTGTGTGTACAGGTGTCTCTGGTTGTGTGTGTTTGTTTGGTGGCGAGTAACTCTTAAAGCCTGGCTAGTAGCTCAGGACTTGAAATTTTAAGCCCTGACCTACAACATTGAACTTAACAAAGCACAAACATGACATGACGAAAATTAACATCTACAAAAAAAAAGGTTCACAGCCATTATTGTTATTGTTATTATTATTATTATTATTATTATACAGTATTTATATAGTGCCAACAGTTTATGCACCACATTACAACATGAGGGCAGACAGTACAATTACAATACAATTTAGTACGGTAGGTATCAGAGGGCCCTGCTTGTTAGAACTTACAATCTAAAAGGGATGGTCAAGAGATACAAAAGATAATGACTGTGGGGGATGAGCTCATGGAGAAAATAAAAATACAGTTGTTAGGTGGGGGCAGTCATGGAGGGCATTCGATTATGTGCTTCTCTAGGTCATTTTTTATGCTCCTCTAGGCACCTGTAGATTGGCTGTCTTGTAAGAGTGATCCAAATATCTCTACAGTCACCAGATCACTTTTACGGTACTGAGAAGGGCCGCAAATCACCTCCTGCCACCGGCAGAGCTGGTTCCTGGGCTCTCCCGTTTCTCAGGGGAGTCCAGGACCACAGTAAATTGCCAGCATCCCTTCACACAGAGGAGATGGAAGAACAGTTTCAGAGCTATCGTTCCCTGGCTGTTACAGTCAGGGAAGCAGCTAATCAAGCATGTTCTGCACTTGATCAGTTGTTTTGGTGGGCAGGGCAGGGCAGGGCAGGGGAGACACTGAATGACTAATAATCCACTGATGTTTCTATAAAGAGTACTTGTCAAAAAACTAAAAAAGTGTAAAAAATTACATTTGAATAAAATAAATAGCAACTTTTTTTAAAAAAATCGCAAATATGTATGTTTAAAATGTTTTAGTATACAGCAACCGTACTTTCTAAAAGAAAACATATGGATTACTGCCATTTGTGTAATGCTACCCTCATGAGGGCTGCTGTGTTTCTTGGTACCCCTAAGCTCTGCAGAGCAACACGTGTTTTCCACACTTTCATCCACAGTCCATTAGCTTGGTTTTTGTTATTTTTTTAGGGGACTATAACTTGGATAGGGTAATAGGGATTATGGGATGCCCAACTTAATTGAATCAAAGCATGGGGACACCTTCCTTCCTATTTACAGAAACAGATCCTGGACTGTTATTTTCCTTGAAAGCCATCAGTCTTTGCGGATCAGTAGCAACAGCCCATTATGGGCGAGGAACTAGCAGCCCATCTGAAATCAACTTAATGTCTTGTAAACTACAAGAAGAGATGTTTCCTCTCCCCTGTAGAACTGTCCCCAGCTCTCCACCTGCAGACACTACCAGCCCTCCTGGCTGCTCTGAAGATCTCCCAGGGCAAGGATAAAAGCTCTGTCCTTTGAAAGCTTGCTACATGTGGCAGTCTCTCCCCTTGAATCCCTGAGTGTGCTGATGTACCCACTCTGTCCTCTTTGCTCCCACTACTCCCAGGCCTTGATCCTATTCATGCCATACTGTTGAATGGATCCTCCTAAGCTAGCTTGAGCCTGCCCTGGAGGCCAGCCCTTCCTCCCAGACCTAGGGGACCCCTCCCAGGCTATCAACAGTCTCCTCAGCACTCCAACTTCCACCCAACTCTCCAGCTGGCCTGACTATCCCATATTTATGGGCTTGTCCATCACTCTACCAGGGCATCCAAATTTGGTATTGGTTAAGACTCCCACAAACATGCAGACTAGGTCTCCACCTCCTCCAACTACTGGCTTCTGGAAGGTTTCCATGGTCCTCCAGAACCAGGTAGAGGCGATAGAGTTCCAACCTGTTTAGTCGTTCAGCTTGACCCGCAGTAAGCCGACCTTAATCATACACTCAGACAGTTACCATGAGTCATACCCAATAGATTTGCCTACACTATTCTAGTAGCACATTAGAAGGTGCTACACTTGAAAGCTTCTTATAGCTTTTAAAAATGGCTTAGCATTGCAGGCTAGCAACAATACATTCCAACACTAGACATTGGAACTTCTGTTCTTTGGATTAAAAAATGCTTCTCAGTGCTTAAGGAGTGAGTGTGCAAACACCGGGTTAAGTCAACAAAAGGGGGTTTTAACAAGAGTTAATGTTACAGGTGTCCCCTTTAATGAGATTTCCCTTCATTTCCTGTCCTGAAGGCGCAACAGGAAGTAAGAGGAAATCTTTTTAAAGTGAGAGGAATTGTTTCCCAAGACATTGTCACAGCAACAGGTGTCCCCATTGCAAGATGTATCCTCACCATCGTCTCTGGAGGCAATTGTAAAATGTAGATGTCGTAACTATTTCTGTCTCAGTGAGCCTGGACTCACAATGATATGGTGTATTCATGCAAACTGCTGCTGTGTGTGTTAAGTTAACAACACCCCAAAATCGGTTCACAAAACACGGTGCGATGTGCAGAATGTGAATACCCATGCAATCCGATTCTAGTGCGGACAATAAAAAGGGTCCTACACCTTTTTGGTGCGGATGTGGTGCGATTTGAGCCATACAAAATTACAGAATTCACATGTGATTTGCACAGTAATGTGGTGCGGTTCCTGTGTGAATTACATGTGATGTTCCGCACTGCAGAAGTGTGAAGCCAGGCTGATAGTTGTCACTGGACAAATAGGGATGTCAGCACTAAGAAACTAAAAAAACAAAAACAAAATGTGCTTTCAATTTATAACTGTATATGCCACTACAGTGTTGAATGCAGAGTATTTATTTGGACTTTAAACACTTGGGGGTTTATTTACTAAAGCTGGAGAGTCCAAAATCAGACTCCCTTCTGCATAGAAACCAATCAGCTTCTAACCTCAGCTTGTTTAATGAAGCTTTGGCAATGAAACCTGGAAGCTGATTGGTTTCTGTGCAGAAGGGAGTCTGATTTTGGACTCTCCAGCTTTAGTAAATAAACCCCTTGCTGTCCGGGGCAATTTTTTATTTTTTTCACATACCTTTTAAAATAAGTATTTTTTGCTAAAAAAATACTGAGAAGCCCAAACATTGTATATTTTTTGAAAGCAGAGACCACTGAAAATAAAATGATGGCTCAATTTTATATTTCACCTGATATTTGCACAAAATGTCAAGAGAAAATACACTAAATTGAACTTTAGTGCTCACAAACACAATATATTACTACATTTATGATAAAATATAAAATATGAGATCATATCGAGCAAATAGATACCAAACATGTCAAGACTCTAAATTGCATGCACCTGAGAAATGGCTACAAACTACTACAGTAAATTTGACTCTGATGTTTGCACCAATGCCTCACATACGTGGTGTAATTGCTGCTTACATATGTTCACTTTTGCATTTGCGTGTATGTGTGGGGCGGGGTGCTTTTAATATTTTTTTCTTTACAATTTTACGCTTTTTTTCATGTACTTTATTGCTATCGCAAGTGGTCTAACTAGCCCCTTCTGTAATAGCTAGCGGCGAAGGGGCTCTTCTCAGTACTGTAAAAGTTATTAGGTGGCTGTAGAACCACCCAGATCACTTTTACAAGGTGGCCGTGGACTGTAAAAAAAAAAAAAAGGTACCAAGGTTAGGGCTGTAGCTGTGGCCCAGAGCTTGTAATAACCACTTACAGTCAAGACATATTTTCTGAACAAGCAGTAAAAGCACAAAAAAACCTTGTTCATTTCTTTAGCTGTGGCACATTATGGAGAAATTAGACTTTAACCACTTCAATACTGGGCACTTTTACCCCCTTCCTGCTGAGGCCAGTTTTCAGCTTTCAGCGCTGTTGCACTTTGAATGACAATTGCGGGGTCATGCAACACTATACCCATATGAAACTTTTATCTTTTTTTCACACAAATAGAGCTTTCTTTTGGTGGTATTTAATCACTACTGAGTTTTTTATTGTTTGCTAAATAAAACAAAAAATCTTTTGAAAAAAAACACACTTTTCTTCGTTTCTGTTATAAAATTTTGGAGATAAATAACATTTCTATAAAAATGTAGGTCAAAATGTATTCTGCAACATTTCTTTAGTGAAAATAATAATAATAATTGAATTTGTATTTTTTTTCAAATGTTTCTATTATTTTTTTTATTTTTTTTTGTGAACAAAGCAATACAATGTTACCATAGTAACATTGAACTACTCTGGGCAAGTGCTCAGGATCTTTTTATTTTTAACACATTATGATTGCTAATACCAATGTATTTCATTGATATTTGCAATCATTGTTACTGAATGAAACTGATTCATTCAGTCTTTTGTTGTGATTACTGTGATTGGGCAAAGCTGATCACATGATACAGATGGGCTGTGATTTGCCCTGTCTGTATCATGTGACTGCCTTGACCAGTCACAGCTAAAAACATTATTGTATACAATGGCTGGCATGACAGGAAGCCATCCATTGTATACAATTGACATGTGAGCTGCTGTGATTGGTCACAGTGGTCACATGACACTGGCAACGGGCCAGTGTAGTGATATGTCATCAGATGTGTCCCGTGGACACAGCCTGTAACAGATCATGCTGCTGCGCTGCCCTGCGGCTGTGTGAGTGGCTCGTTTTGACATGTGATCTGCTGTGATTGGTCACAGTGGTCACATGACACTGGCAACGGGTCAGTGTAGTGATATGTCAAAAGCTGTGTCCCGTGGACACAGCCTGTGACAGATCATGCTGCTGCGCTGCCCTGCGGCTGTGTGAGTGGCTCGTTTTGACAGGACATCATATGACACCCAGTCACAATGGCTAGTGTCTCGCCTGGCCATCAATCTGCTATAGGCCAGGCGGGAAG